CGAGCCCCCCCCCCCCCCCCCCCCCCCCCCCCCCCCCCCCCCCCCCCCCCCCCCCCCCCCCCCCCCCCCCCCATTTCTCAATTGCGGTGATAATTACTTTGTTTGATTCAGAAACAGGAATAAGAGGGAAAAAGGAATTGTTTAGCGATTTTGCAAAGTGCTCGTGGATAGGCAATAAACCAACCACCAGCCTTGGAAATTTCATTGTTTTGTTTCGGCTTGTTTTTATTTGTTGATGATCTATGGTTTGGATAGGGGGGTGAGAGAGACACGCTGGTAAGAGAGAAGGCTTTTAATTGACCGAGCAAAGAAAAGTAAAGTGAGACAGCCCTGTTTCTCTTGTAGATGTATGTCATGCGTTGCGAGGTATTAATTACCTGGGTTCTAAACAAGGCCAAGATATTTTGTCGGTTGTATCGCAAATAGTTGCCTTGGAGGTTGTTGGAGATGGATCATTTCTTCGTGCCTTGTCTTGAATTGATTTTCCTCTCTTGTATTGCCGGTAAAGGGTGGTCGTGTTAGGTACTTCAGACCATCGATTGTTGGTTCTGCACGTGTTACCTACGGTACATTGTTAGGTGAAACCTGTGACATGTCAAAAAGACTTAAATTCTGTTTTCACTTGGACAGAAACGAAAAAAAAAAAAAAAAAAAAAAAAAAAAAAAAAAAAAGTCGGGTTTGTCAGCATCAAAAGTCCGGCAATGGCTTAAAGGAGCTTGCTTGATTGCTTATATCCAGACGGGAAAACGAAGTGTCCCGAGACAGAAAGAAAGTCGACTGAGAAGTACGTGGAATTGATCAGTGCAAGCGCTAACATGGCGCTTTGATGAACCGACGCCCGGTTCCGGAGCACCTCTACAAACACCAAATGGGGGTTTTCCTTTTTTTTTTTTTTTTCTATTCTCAATTTTTCTTCAATAAGATAATATGAATACGTGGTGTTGTGGGGGGTCGCGGGTTTTGCTTGGGGGGCCTTTTTTTAATTTTTTTTTTATAAACAAGGCGGATTATGCTTGTGATTGTGGATTCAGGTTGGGGTTACTTGTAGATAGGTTATGTACTATATTACGATGAGGAAACCACCTGCTGGCTGCCAACACGAGCGCTGACTGGAACCGTGATGATTACTGAGTGAATATGCAGACCCGAGTGAGTGCCTTGGAGCCGACCATTACTACTACTGGTGCGCCAAGGTAGAAATTCATGGGCGGCCGATGTCGCGAACAGCGAACAGCGAGCAGCGAGTGCACCAACTACAGTCCATGGTCGACCTTACATACCTACTTCGTAGTAGATAGCGGTCTGCTAGTAAGTATGCTGCCTATCTATCTACCATGTACGCACCAATAGACCTGTCTATCGTAGGTAGTGTGATGAGTTGTGCCACGGGTTTTCAAGCCAAGCCAATGATAGCGTATGCTTTCACCCCATGACTCGATAGGGCTCGCTCAGTGTTCCTCAGTCACACTGCACTACCTACCTAGGTAATAACCTGATTTGCTTACATGGCTGCACAATGGACGTATGACACAATATGAGAGTTGTTTGGATATCTTGTTTTGAATTGATATGAGCTACCTGAGAGGTTTCTGTTCACCTTCTACTTTGAGGTGATTGAATTCAGTTCCAGAACCCTTTAATTCCACTCGACCTCGAAATCCCCGCTAATACGCAGAAGACCAGGGAGCGGAACAAACCCCGCCAAGCAGGGTATGTACGTGGTTGCCTCATACAGTAATCCATCCCCTCCCCAATCCTGATAACTCGCTGAGTGGTGACATGTCTTTCTTCTCCTTCATCATCCCAATTGCCAGTAATAATGACTTCACAGTATGATCATGAGTAGCGTTGGGGGTTTCTGTCCCTCCTTGCTGACTCCCGGTGAGGGCCTTCCTCTAAAATGAAAACAGTGACAACTGTGTAGTAAAAACAAATGAGATAAACAACGTCGCTTTGTAACGTTGTGTAATGCCAATGCCGCTATGTGGTATTCCTTTTGAAACGCCGCCCAGATGCAGATGATGAATGCACTTTTTGGTAGTGAACCAGACCAATATATTATGTATTAATTCGAAAAGAGAGGTAGACGAAGACGAAGGCGATTGACGTCTAGTAGACTGATATCGCCGAGATTAATCGGTTAGGATTCCGCGGCGGCAGGTAGAATCCTTCATTGTAGAAATCTGATTTGTCTTCCTCGTCCTGTGTCGAATCGTAATACTTGGCTGTTATTATGCTTTCATTCTGCTTCTCGGAGAATGTGGGAATGGTTGCTGTAGGTGGCGATGGGGGCATTGATTCGTCCTCTGATGACTCGGAATCGTGCTCGAGATCCGGCGGCGATGCAGAGTGTGATGGTGAACGTGTGAGACCCAGGTTGGCAAAGTCCTCCTCATCATCCTCGAACTCATCCGCTTCCATTGTGTGTAATTTGGGTGAAGGTGGTGTAACTAGTTGTGAGGGTATTCTTGAGAGAGGAGCGGCGTCGAACATCTCGATATCCTCGTCATAGTCCATGTCACTGTCGTCATCAGAGTCTGATGAATCGGCTTCCCAGTCGTCCTCCTCAGGTACTGAATCTGCCCATTGTATGTGTCGTTCCTCCGCCTTGGGTGTGGTTGCACCTCGAACGGATTGGTTGAACCAGCTCTCTTGTTCTCGCTCGGCGTCGGCAAGGTCGAGCATCAACGAGTCGAGGAGGTTGGCGTGGCCGACGAGGAGTCGGAGGTTGTGATCGGGACGGGCGGCCTCGGAAGAGAGCTTAGCCCGTGCCTTGTGAGCGAGGAAGTAGGTCTGCGTGATAGACATGGTCTTCTTCTTCTGGAGCTGGTGTTGTGATGGTGAGTGGAAGGGCGACGGTGGGAGAATTGCGGAAACCATCTTGTATATCTTGTATCCCAGTAGCTGGATGGATGTCTTGTTATGTTATAGTGTGACTGAGTGTAGAGCTAATGTTATTATGTCGTCTTTTGTTGTAATAATTCTGTGAGTCAGGCACCGATATCCGGCCAAGGCAGCAAAGGCGAGAGAGGAAGCGGTTCCCTTTTGTATTAAGTGCTGTGAAGGCTCAAGGTGGGCAGGGATCTCGGGCCCGTCCAGAGCTCTGGTGCGGTGTGCGGGTTGTTCTCGGTACCTGGGTACTTGGATACCTGGATACCTGGATACGTCGGTACTAAGCCAGGCACGACGGATCCGACTTTTGGGTGGGCGTTTTGTTGGCGTTGCTAGCTGGAATTCAGAGCAGGGGGGGGGGGGGGGCCGGGCTGGCGGAGTACGAAGATACAAGGGTACGAAAATACCGAGATACCGGGGTACTCAGGTACTCAGGTACAGGGCAGCTGGTACAACAGTTGAATTTACTTATGCAAGCGCGCAAGGGATCGGAGCCTGCAAGCCAAGTAGGTACCTATAGTAGGTAGGTAGGTACTGTTTTGTGGTTATTGTAGTTATTGCTGGATCGGGTAATAGCCTGTCTCTGTGATGTTGGTCTAGGCTGTGCCACGATGCTGGGGCTATTGGACTTCTGAGGACGGCTAATGTTTTGATACGTTGCGTACGTGAGGGAGAGAGACAGGAAGCGAGGCTGGACCCAAGGGAGAAGAATGGGAATTGTGATTCTTTTGTAATGGGGGAAATGAGGGCATCGGGGGCATGAGAAGGTGAGGGAATGGGAGGATGGATTAAAAATGCATCTGCTGACATATTGCGATATGATACAAGGTGCTACCAACACTACCAACACACTACCAACACACTACGGCACTACACCATACTATACCTACTACACTACATTATACTACCTACACTAGGTAAATAATGAATGGTGTTAAGGGTGTTATGGCATGGACTTTGCGCGGAAGCCCGTGCTGTGGGCATCGCAGTCGCCTCGGGCTTAACGGCAGGCCGTCGGGGTCGGGTTGCTCTGAGATTTAAATTCGTAATCGCGTGTCGTGTCCACGATGCGAAGTATGTAGGGTATGCTACTAATACTAATAGCTACCTAGGTAGAGTATCTACTGCCTAGGTAGGACTAGCCTGGCTTCTTAACGTCAACACAACTACCTACCTATTATACATTAACCTTGGTATCTGCTCTCTACACTACTGCCTTGGTTCGAAGCAGGCAGGCAGGCAGGCAGACGGGCAGACAGGCTCGACAGGCAAGGCATGAGACCTGCGGCCGTCAACGACAGAGAAGAAGATCACGACGACCGTAGCGGTACGACTAATCAGTCCGCAGGAATTATGGAACCTGTATGAGAATGTACCCGACAACGCGAACTTAGTGCGAGTCTCTTCACCGCCGTGATGCAATGCCCAGCTCCGATCGCTGGTACCATGCTTAAGTCATAAGGCCGTTTTGTGGCCGTTCAACAACTCCCCGCGTCCAAGCAGCGGAGGTCATCGGAGCTAGGCAATAAACCACCACACCCACACGTACAAGGTCCTCGCATGTCGTACCGGATGCGTTTACTTGATCTGTCTCTGCGACCATGTTCCGCGACGAGAGGCCCATCTCCATGAGGGATCTCCATGAGGGCATGCGAGGGCATGTAGTGCCTGGCGAGCCTGGGCAGGTGGCATAAGAAAGGGCGAGCATCGGGGATATCCTGCTGACCGTCACAGTCACGGCGGCTTTGCCCATCCCGCTACTTAGTAGTACTGCTGCACCCACATCGCTGATGACTACTTACATAACCTGTCCGCTCACTCACTCACTACTGCTACATACTACATTAGCTTGCCAGCACAGCGCATCTGGGCCAACCACATCCCTTGCTGCTCGCTTGTGTCTGGAGTATCTGGAGTTGGCTGAAGTGGCTTTGTTGTATACATACAGTACTTAAGTACATCCAGCAGATCAAAGCAGTCCCTACCGCCTGGATCCTACTGTATGTACTATGTAAGTACCTAGATTATCTACAGCGAGTCCGAAAGCGAGGCGGCTACCTACTACTGCCTGTACCCATGTACACTAGGCGTCGAGCTTGTCAAGACTTTGCGAACTAGGTGCCCTACCACTACCGTACAGCAAATGCCGATAACTACTCACTTATCACAATCGATCTTGAAAATACCGATCGTTCATGATGAATTCTTTCCACTGATTTCCAATTACCAATGAATGCGTGTACTAGCGTCATGGCGCGGCACTATTGCCAGGACTGGGGGGAAATTCATGGCATTGTCCCGGCATCGTGGGGTGCATCAAAAGAACATTATGATGGAATCATGTTTAATTATCAAGGGCTCTGGGCTGTGTGACTCCCACAAGTGCTGATGAATCATCAGTCGGATTGCTCAGCACCCATGAGAAGGTCGACGATTAATAATTCGACCCACTCCGCTCTTGTGTCCCACGCCTGGGTGAATGGGCTTGGCGATGGATTTTTTCTATTGCCAACCGCTAACCTCGTCGCAAATCCGCAAGGCGTAGCCATAGCTCCGAGCACCTTCGCATTAGTGGAGGTGGTATGGGTCTTTTTTTCGCACACAATTCTATGACGCTCGTGTCGATCTCTTTCGATTGACAACGCCGATTATCTCCATGAGACAAATGCGACACTTATGCAGCATACTATGACTCCTTTCCGCCTTTCACTTGACAATCTCCCAAATTCCGAGTAGATCCTCGCAGTAGAATGATAGCGTAAAGAGTCCCGAGTCACGGGTGACGAGTGATAACTGCGAGGTTAAGCTCATTTTGCTGGCTGTGGAACAATTATCACCAAGCTATTGCTGCGCCCAATTGCACTCTAGGCACACAATAAATATGCCATCTACATGATACGATACGTTACCTAATGAATACGGTAACATTCCCAGATCTAGGCCACGTAAGGTAGTAGTAAATACAGCTAAGGAAAGAGAAAAAAAATATTAAACTCTACCTATAAGTATTCTCTGCCTAGTTTGCATACTAGCGGGACACATTATAAGGGTCCGGGTTCCAATTGAAGTACGGGATCAGGTAAGCTGTTCATTAGATACACTAGGTAGGTACTTACTAGGTAAGTCGAAAGATTATGCAAGCACTCTGAATACTGTATCTGCCTAGGTAAGGATCTGTAGATTGTGTCACTCTGAGATGGAGTTTTTCAATTGAGTCAAAGTCCGCGAACTCGTCCGAAAACCCGACCCCGCGCGCCCTATACACTAGGTAAGTAAGTGTTGCACAACCAGAGTAACAAATGATTCCTTATCTAGGCAACTAAATTACCAAGCCTGGGCTACGTCAATCAATTCCTCAATCCTCCAAGGCAGCCGAATACCTACCTACCTACTTACTTACTGCGACGGACTTCAATTGCCTTTAGACACGCGCAAGGAGACTTTACAGCACGTTGCATCGCAACCTGCGCCTCTGACTGCGAATTACGAAATATTCTACGCAATGGGCCTCGTGGCTGACCAGATCGAGGTAAATCAAGCGACGCGAGGCCCAGACCTGCAGGACTGGCGGACAGGGGGCTTTTGGCGACACCCATCATTGTCCCGTCAACGAAGTGCATTTGTAGGTAGGTATTGGAGACTGGACACAATAATTCAACAGATAGCGTTGAGGATACCTGGACTACCTATGCACTGCATTAATTCATAAAAGGATACAAGACCGAGTCTTGGGGGTACTGTAGGTTCAGGTGAACACTTGGCCTCGCTTTCGGCGACGGATTCTAAATACGAGTCGTGTCTTGGTCTTGTCGTGTGTCGTGTTCGCCGGGTTTTGATGAAACCCGCTGATTCCACTGGCTCTTTAAGCGAAAGCAAGGGGGGTTTAGATGGGGAATAACCTTACCTTACTTACCCGTCCCGTACCTAGGTAGGTAGTGGACAGGGGATTGATTATATAACAAGAATTGGTTAAAGGCATAACAAATTAAAGGGAAAAAAAGGTCCCGACAGTTGCTGCAAGGTACCTGCACGCCCTAGCTAGGCAGACGAGATACTTTGCTCCAGCAACGCCGGCGTAGGGCTGAGGTGGGATTATGATCTGGGCTCATTTCCCAGCCATGAGCCCCGTAACAGTCACTCGGGAACATTCAGCCCCCGGTCCAAGTCTCCTCTTCTAGGGGTCCTGACCCGTCTCTGCGTCTCTAGATACTTACTATGTACTGTAGGTAGTCCGCCGCTAGGTTGATATTGTGCCTGATGGACCTTTTGCCGGCTCAGCCACAAACAAACAAATACTGCCTGCCTATGCAGTGTAGAACAGGACAACGGCGGCAAAGGGAAGGGCAAGATACTGGTACACCAAGTAGGTATGATTAGGGCCAAGATACGAGTCTGTGTCATTCGCTTTCGCAAGATCTGCTGTATACTACTGTGTATACGGTTCAGACAAGTATGATCGTGTCGACCCATGTATCGCGTCCACTGATGCGTGATGGTATTCACACACGGCACAGTATGGTGTTGAGCGATCTGTCTCGGCACCGTGTTTCACGATCCCCAGTTCGTGGCGGGAAGCTGCTGATGGAATGAGACGAGATGGGGCCCTTTGCGCTTCGGTCATCTCCTTTGGAAACATTGCGCAGCGCCCCAGTCTCCAATCTCATCCCAGACTCATCCCCGACTCACCCCTACACACGGCGCGCCACACACCACACTGACCACAGCAGCCCGCCTTATGACGGTAGTTGTAGGCGATCTGGCGGTGACGGCAATCTGCCCTAAGCCAGTAACGTAGCAGCGGGATAGCAGCACCGCCTCAATATGTCGAATTGCGGCCAATCACCTCTCTGTAGTCTATATAGTAGTATACGCACAACTCTAATGGAACCCACCCCATATCTGCCGATTTCTTTGTCTTACACGCCTGACGAGCTTCATCATGAGATGGAGCCGCATACAGGATAGGTAAGTATATCATCACCATGATTCATTTGGTATGGTATAGTATAGTGTCTGTGCAACGTGCCCTAAGTAAGCAAGTATGTACTGCACCTTTGGATACGATCCGATACCGACAATTTGACTCGCAAGCTCATACTACCCATCCTCTACCTAGTCTACAAAACAACTCGTTTATGCGGGCATTTACATCAGATGGTTATCTCTGGTTCTCTACAGATATGATGGCACTCCGTATTGCGCGAAACGATTTTTCGGCCCTCTCTCGCGCCCGAGTTTCTCCCGACCATTGGCTCCGATTACCTACTTGGGCCAATGGAGAAACGGAGCCGGGTTGTCCCCGGGGGGTTTTTTTACTGATTGAATTATCGAAAAAATAATTCAATAAAATCATTATTAACTGTTTTTAACGCTGTATTATTCCATTCAATACCACTCCACACATCCCCCCTGACACAGAACAAGTAATGAATAACTGCAATGCCTGTTTTGCTTTGACTTTCTTTGGACGGTTCTTGGCGAGTATTACCTAAGTATATACCTAGAATTATTCCCCGTCTGCTACTCTACTCTATGGTACCTACTTTCGCTTCTCGGTCGAAAGAGATAGGCACGGGGGTGCTGGGGTAGGTTACAGCGACGGAGACGCTGACGAGCTTCGAGAAGTTTTCGCTGCATAGGCTATCCCTCCTGCATGGCTGACTGCACTTATTCAGCTCATCATCAATGCAACCCTTCAGGTGCAATGCAGCCGCCCCTCTCTCTCCTTTCCGACAGTGATGATCTGTTCGAATAGGTGGTATGAATTTCGCGAAGTGTGGAATATGGATGTGAGGTAACGCCGCAACGCCGAGCGACAGATAGCAGCGAAGCATTGTTCGCTCCGCTATGATAAGAGCCGAGCGGGTTATTGGGCATCACTAAAGCCTCACAAATTTATGCCGAGTTCATATAGGTACCTAGGTCCTGTTTTTTCCAGCCCTATGTCGTATTACCACTCACAAGAGAGTGTAAGGTTCCTGGGAGGATCCGGGGGTTCGGGGTTGGTTGTCATGGTATAACCATCAATGCTAATGGGATATTTTCTAACCCAGCTTTATGCAATAATATTGTGGAGTTTATGATCCTCTCCTGTCATCAACTTCAAACGGCAGCCCAGTCTCGCTCTGACAGGAGCAGCAACACTATTTACTTAATGATATTTGTGCTATTGATAGACTATCGGGTACGGCTGCGGATTTCTATATTATATTGCCATATAACCCAGCTCCTTAATGAGATGTACGTAGTAGCCATACTATATGATCATAACAATCATAACATAAAACAACCAGCACCCATTTTTAGGTTATGAAGTGTCTCGAGCTGACTTCATGACAATGGATCATGTACACGATACGATGCAATAGGCTGTACCCAATTACGATTCCTTCAGCTAAATGTAGGCTCGACTCATGCCAATACCTACACACGCTACTATGTATGCTAATACCCAGCCTGGTGGAGAGTTAGTATGGCTTTAGCCTCGTCTATCAGCTGTCATGGAATACCTGAGCGAACCCACCTAGGCGGCTAAGAAATCCAGGGTCCGAATTAACGCGAAATCCCGAATAATGAGAAAAAAGGAAGTAAAAACCAGACTGGTCGCGACTTAGCGTAGTTTAGGAGAGACCAGCCTCGCCTCCCCTCGCGCCCTCGTCGGCATACCATCCGCTTGAAGCTACCGCCCGTTCATAAGGAACCTGATGTCAATGTACCTGCTTTGGTGCTTCAATAGTGCGAATGGAGGCGAGAATTAAGTTTAGCCAAAACCCGACACCTCGGACGAGGTCTCAAGCCTCAACGACTAGACCCGTCGACCCGGGTCCGACTTGTACTGTAGATAGTTACATTACGACAAGTTTAAACGCACTTATGCAGAGCGAGCGCGCCGAGGCGGGATGGGATCCAAGACATGCAGATTACTATTCAACACTTGGCTGCTGCGTTGTTTGCACAGATACCTGTGCCGTACGGAACTGTTGAGCCCTTCCTAAATTTCGTATTTAGAGAAGTTGTTATGATGGAAAAGGGAGCACTCGTCGTCTATCGCATCTCTCTCTCTTCGAGTCCTACGCTAGGTACATGCCCATGCAGGCACGTAGGTATGTAGGTAAACGATCTTCTCATTTCTCATCATTTGATGCAAGGATCGTGGAGTTCATGTACTTCCTTCCGTATATCATGATTGTAAACAGCAAAGTGTAGGTACATTCCTAAACACCTAGACGCATCGTACATTTTCTACGCGTGTCCTACGGCCCCTTACTCTTAATGCCTGTCGAATCTCACGCCACGTTGATCATTCCCAGGCCGTCGGATACCATCCTTCACGATGTGATTCAGCCCTGTACCAAAGGTGTGGTGTGCCCAGCTAAGTGGCCGGGGGGGAAGGCGTGTTTCTTTATTTGCAATGGCCCATGAGCCAGGGGTAGTGGTGGTGGAAAGGACTTTCTTTTGGTTTCGTTCGGCAATGGACCAGTCAGAACGAGCCGTGGTGCCTGGATCCTTGCCTTGGGCGGGAACCTCGTGGCTTCACGGCTTGGATGGGTGATATTATCTCACGCACCTGATCGCCTACTTATGCTCATTTCTGGGGCAACTCCCTTCCCTTCCCCACTCCTAAGCATGGTATGGAAGGGATCGTGTTGACGTTTCTGTCGTGAAAACCTTAGCTCTCTCGTGAGACCTCATCTGACCTGTCTATCGCAATATCTCCCGCCCGGGAATTACAGCACAAACCTGCGCGGTCTTTTCGTTTACAGCGTAATGACATAGCCAATACGACTAGTGCCGCGAGATACCTGGAGCAGTTTCTCCGTGTTATGATATGTAGCAGATATCCTTTACCGGGTTCTCCATTGTTCGCATTGTTGACGTTGCCTGTCAGCAAGCCAGCCAATCTCGTCTACCGGAGTGGTTTCGTCTACGTTCACCAAATTCATTCTTTGTGCTATTCTCGGCCACCGACCGTCCTCGTAGTAATAAATTGGATCAATTACAATTGTATTGCAGTCCTACAGTACACGAAACACTGCTGTGGGTTCATAGGGCTGGTTCCTTCCGTTCCGTCGCCATAGGGCTCCGAAACAATCGCGGACTTTTTGCTCTTTCAGGCTACGCATCGCGAGCCTGGCGGCCTACAGCACAAGTAAACGCCGATTCACAGCTGGCTGGAATTGTGCAAGTGGTGTGTGGAACCCACACCCCCTTCACCACGTATCTCCCTCATCAGCCTGTCTATGATACATTAAGTACTGTGGTGTAGAAGTAGCGTAAGCCAGGCGCGGCTGGGCTCACCTGGCCAGGGCCTGAGCAATGCTGTTCCAACACCGTGGTTCAGGCTCTGCCAAGAGTCCCCGGACTGTTCCTGGTACTGAGCTACTATCTTGGCCTCATCAATCGCCCAAGCCGTATCATCCAGCCAAGAGGCTCAAACCAGTCTTATGATATGAAGCTCCCATGGGCCAGGGATAGTTATCCAAAAGACACTAGCTTCTTCCCGTTCAGTGGCTAGGTATACGGCCATGTCTGACTTGATTCTGCACCACAGTGCAGGTCGAGCAACTATTTTCTCGAGTATCGGGTCTCAGAAACGTTTTCTCAGGTGATGAATTGAACTAGTATTTGTGGCGGATGAGATGGTCTCAAAACTGACCCGGGAACTAGCGGCGCGGCAAGTACCGTGTGAGGAGTCACAATATTATGACTAGGTAGTGCTTAAGATCAGCAGCGAGAAGTCTAGTGACGAGGCGTGACTGTTGAGCCGGAAATAAAGCGTTGCAGTTATACCGGCGTTCCCAGTACCATGGCTATGGCTACGATGTTTCGGCTGTGATTCAACCAATCCTCTAAGTAACTTGACCTAGTTTCGGGCGATAGAATGCCTCCCCGCAGACTCGAAACTGACAAATCCAATATGACTGCCGATACATGTATCAACAACTTAGCTTGAGGTCAGCTTGGTTCTTAAGCCGCAGAATTAATCAGCAGTCAATACCAATATTCCGTAGTGGTCAAGGGAGTGCTAATTCCGTCATAATCCCACTCAATAAGAATTGTCTAGTGGACCGCCAATGCCATTATTCATCAGCGAGGCTCGGATCCTCCCAGAGTCCCGCCAGCGTTGTCCTTGTGCTTGATAACATAAAGGCTAGTGTGCCGAAGGATATCTTTAATTAATCAATGATCACACTAGTTTGACTACCAAGGTGACGGCGCAAAAAGTCCAACAGGCAATAGCAATCTCAACGATCATTTTCCGAAAAGGGCATTTCGGCTTTCTTTTTTTCGAACTTAAGTGTGATGTAAGATTTTCGTCGTTAATCTTTTTCTTTTTCTTGTTTTTAGCGTGGCCTCGACCCAAGCTGCCGGAAGACCCAGACTATTGGGATAATGGCGTGATGCTTGCCGTTCTTTGTCTGGCCCTTCATCTCCCCCGTTGCTTCTGGTCTAATGTAGTGTTTAGTGCCTGGACGAGATGAGATGAGTTGTAAATCCCGTGCATGTACGTACGTAGTAGTCGGCTAAGATAAACGGTGGATGGAATTGTAACGACTGTGAGACATTGTCGTAGGAGAGAACAATACGCTGCTGTCATACTAGAATTGGAACTATAGGGGGCGTATTATTGTCTTCAAAATGAACGTGTCACCTACCGTACCTGTTCCACTACATCTTATGATATCCAGAGACATGGCGGCGGCGTCTCTGTCACCTTTACAGAAGGCACTGTTATGTTGACACAATAGCGGGGGATACAATGTTGCTATGTGTCCATATTGTCTGCCACCGATGCACAACTGTATTCTTTCTTGTACGATGTGGCTGTCTTGAACCCATTTATCGTTTATCGGGACCGGTCCCGTCTGGGTAGTTACTGGTTGTTATTAAACGAAGGATGTGACAAGGCAACTTGAGACAGCAATTCGCGTTTGGCATCCCCGGAATGAAAGGATTTAATGATATGTCATTTTACCCCATGCTATCTATGGCTTAATACGACCCTGTGTACCGATCGACTGGGTAGGTGGGTGGTATCTTAGATCAATAATCCGGGGTAAACGCAGTTACCCAAGATGCGGTATGGTAGCCAGCCAACCAGATTCCTACACGAATTGATGATAATGCCGATGTATTGAAACTATCACTCTAATGAACGACTTCCGAGTCATAAAGGCTCTACACGGAGTGCGCGGGATGAGACATGGGACCGAGACAACCACGTGGACGAAACTGAGATTCCGGAGGTGCTGGACGTGAACCTTAAGGTCTAAGCCGAGGGCTAGAAGGGGCGAGAACGTGTTTCAGACCTTCCCGAAACAGCCTGCTATGTTGTAGGCTTGACATAGTGGTATAGACATTCCCAGTTTCTATGTTCTAGCCCAGGGAGGCCGGCGAACGTCTCATATGCAATCCATCGAGAGGATATCACATCACATCACATCAGCCGCTTCATTTGCTGTGTTGAGATTGGTTGCGCTGCGCACAGCTATGTACGGTCGGATATTATCTTTCTATTATTGTCTTCATTGATTGTAAGTAGATGACTAGTGGTAGGCTGTTACTGTAGTCGTAGCTTGGTCTTTTTCCTTTTACCGCCAACTTCCCTATGCTCTTCGATATTCAACAATGCCTCTCGTTTCTTCTCACTGACGGCCTTCATATGATCGCGTATGAAGCGTGTTTCCAGATTCACTCCCTCTTCACTCCACTCTTCCATTTGCTTGCCGCCAACACTTTCTTCTATATTATGAATTCGCTCGACGTCACGTTGCCCTACGAACGAGACACAGTCGCCTTTACGACCAGCTCGCGCGGTTCGACCTACTCGGTGAATATAATCAACTGCTTCTTGCGGGATGTCATAGTTGAGAACTAAGGATACCTCTGGTATATCCAAGCCACGACTTGCTACATCAGTGGCCACCAGTATTCGGGCTGCCTTGGCTCTGAATCGCTCTAAATTGGATGTCCTCTCCCGCTGGGGCAACTTCGAGTGAAGAGCTGTAACACGATGATCCAGAAGCCGTAACAAATGGTGAAGATCTGTATTGAATGAGTTAGTATCGTCGGTTCTGCTGTAAAGGGATACAGATAGCCAAGCAGGTAGAAAGATGGTTAGAGGTCAAGGACTTGCATACATTGAGCTGTCGAGGCCCGGTTGCAGAAGATAATGAGTGACTTTTCTACATTTACGTCGGTGAGAAGAAATGCATGAAGGTAGTATTCCTTGTGAGTAACGTTGACTTGCAGATACATCTGCCGTAAAGTATCTGGAACAGCGATTTTTTCTATGTCCACTTCACAGACATAGGCCCCTTTCTTACCGGGCTTTGCCGGCATGTCCTTCAAGGCTCTGACCTCGGGGGTTACGGTGGCCGTGTAAAGAAGTGTCTCTAGGAGAGGGTTAGCGTATATGATTTTCTAAATTGGGTATGAATCAAAGGGTTCTCCTCCGTGGGTAAATGAGGGCTGAAAAAATGTGTAGCATACGGGCAAAGAGATGTCAGTATCACTCACGTCTTTGTGTTGATGGAGGTAATACACCGAGGACTACTTCTAGATCTGGCAACATGCTACCAGGCCCGTTGGCGGCAAGTATTCGATCCGCTTCATCAAGGACAACGAACTTGGTTCGTTTGAGACCTGCAACAGTGTCTTCTCCCGAAGATCTAATATGATCAGCTAAGCGGCCAGGGGTCGCTATTACGATGTGTGGACGCTGCGCGAGCTCTATTGCTTGCTGGCGCATGTCTGCACCGCCTGTAACTAGTAGTGTCTTCAAGGACCTCACTGCACCAATAGCTTTCACTTGTTGCTGGATTTGCAGAGCAAGTTCTCTTGTAGCAGTCAAAACGACAGCATATATCGAACTCGGGTCTTGAGACCACAGTTGGAGAATGGGAGCCATGAAGGCCACTACCCTTGGTATGAGAAGGTGATGCCATTAGAAGCCTTAGAGAATGAAGTTCGGACTGACCTGTTTTACCGGAGCCTGTCCTAGACGAGCCGATCACATTGCGGCCTTCTAAGATGGCAGGTATAGTGAGCCGTTGAATGCGAGTAGGGCGATGTATAGCCATGTTTTTCAGACTCTGGGTAAGCCATGGCCTCAGGTTCAGATCATGGAAAGACAAAGATGAGTTTCCGGGAACAGTGACCTCAGCCTCGGCGACAGTCACGGGCGTAGGCACATTTGCCGGCACTTGAACTGCGGCAGCCCTTGGCTTTACTCTCGATGGCACATTTACTGACAAAGAAAGCACATCTCCTCTTGATGTAGAATCACTGGACAGCCTACGGCGTTTGCGAGAAGCATTGTTGTCAAGCGAATCAGATTCAGACTCAACCTCAGACTCGGAGCCGGCTGGGGCTGGGCTTGACTGGCTCAAGGCGGCATGCTCCAGGTCGCTTTCGTGGTCGGAGATGGATGACATTGAAGGACCGGCACTCCCAAATGAGATTCTTCCAGATACACAAGACCTAGCCAGGTGTTCGAGTGACGCAATGCAGTTCGGGGTTTAGATCAGGTACAGCAGGGGTCGTGAAGTCTTCATGGTCTGTTGAGAAGCCAAATAAATTTTTGATAACAACGATAACGACCACTGTGCTTGGCACAGAGCGGTAGCGGGTTCTGCGGAGATGTGGGGTGCAAAACTGGAGCTTTGGCCAATGAACGACAAGGCCCTTGTCCCACTTACTTAAGTAAACATACAAGCGCGCGCGTCGACGCTATTAGCCGCCCAGTCCGCTATGCAACTCTCTACTATGTACTTAAGCTTACTGTATCTAGGTAGGCAAGTACATAGTAGTAGAATGTATATCCTACCGGTACTACAACGTAAGTTCTAGATGGCTTTCCGTGCATGGGAAGAAGAATAGGGCAAGAGTAAGTAGCACACGCTGTCAGCGTGATCACGCGTGCAGCAAACTCAGGGCATCAACTACATGTATTTTACTCGACGCAGCCTACATGTGCTGTATCTGTGTAGTTTAGCCATTTCGGTAGCGATACGGACGTACCTGAGTGGTTACATGCGTACGGAAATTATCCATTACGCAGTTCGCAATAAGCGTGAGAGGGCACCCAGACTACCTACCAAGATCAGCTCGACCACACCTATTCTCCTTTACCTATATGTAGTTGTACCAGCTACAGAGACGTCTAAAGACGTCTAAGTTGGCCGAGGCGATGATATGATAAATTCTCGCACCCTGAAAATTGTTACTGTGCCCTGGTGTAGGTCAACTCACCTAAGTCAATAGATGACAACGCACTCTTATGGAGAGTTGGCAATCATACAGTAGAGTAGGTACGGAGTGGGCATCTAAGACCTGCTGTTAATCGTCCGGCAACTTTAATGTTTATTTAAAACTCGCGTAGCGATGTGACCGCGAATAATAGGAGGATCATTATAGCTCACCGTAACCTTCTGGATTTCATTAAAGGCTGATCCTCTCCGTGGCACGGCAGTTGCCCTGAAAGACTCCCCAAACTATGCTTTAAGTTTGCTTTGATGACGGGACATTTGAATCCACCGGACCCCAAAGCTGAGATCAAAAGCCCCCATCCTCCCAGTGAACGCGCTCGTGCCCACCGTCAGGATCTGATTACTCGGCGTCCGTTGCCCAGGGCATCGAAGTGTGACAACCAGTCACCTGTCCTTGGAAGTCGTATGGGCCGGATGGATAAATAAACAGAAACAAAGACAACAAGATGTCGAATTGACCACCTCAGTGAATGTAGACTGGATGGGCTTCGTTAGAATCTTGTTGAAAGAGAAGCAGAGTGTCTGGGTGGTTAGCGATTAGCTTGTCACCTAACATATCATACATTCTTGTATGGTCGGGCTTAGAAACTAGGGCGAAGCCTTAAAAACATTTTGATAACTAGTATTATTATCTATTCCTGTCATGTTACCCGTATCTGCCTTGTATTCTTCATACCTCGCTTATTTGAAACCTTTTGGATATAGTAGGAGATACCGCGCAAAAAGCCAAACACACATCTGCGACATAAAAGAAGCGTAAAAATCACACCGAAAATGAACTGAAGCCCTCGGCCAACAAACAGCTTAAAGCTATCTCAGTAAGATTGGTCTGGCGGAGGTCTGGCACCACGGTGACAGCTAGCAAGTTGCGCTTGACATGGTGCAATGTGTGATACCACCTACACTACAGTGCTCAGCTTCCCTGCATCAAATGAAGAACCATATCTGCAAGGAAAAGGGAGTAGTGCCGGTACCTTCTAATTATTGGTATTGATTGACATCCGGTTTCGACGGGTTGTCAATGCCCAGCAGAGGCTAGTACCCAGTCTCGTCGGTCAATGTCGCTACCGAAATCCAACGTCACCAACACGCGGGATATCTGCTTGGATCCGAGGTTCATCTGAACAGGCATCTTTGCCCCCCTACCAGTGCTAGCGTAGATGCGATTGCGGTACCAGCTTGCTCTTGAGTAGGTACAGTCGAGTCTTGGTATGGGTTCTGGTTCTGGTATGGGCCTGTATGGGGGATGTCTACAGGGATTGTCTAGGTCGACCGTGGGGCACTTCCTTGTGACGAGATGGGGTCGACCCCGTTCATTCGAATGAGTTGGCGAATCTAGCATCTCGTTTGGCCATTGCGCGCTTCTACATACCGGCTGGTCGATGTGACGCTTGACATGCTGGGTTCTAATACAACGCAGCACCTCGACAGCACAGTGATCAGTGGCGCAAGTCTGGCTGCGAATGCCGTATCTGGCTACCTACCCAAGATTAGGTACGTGTATATACAGTTGGTACTGTGCTCTTGCAGCTGTCGTGGGGCTGCTCGGTCTACTCGGGGGCTCTTTGCCGAGGCCACTGTTGCTTGTTTATTGTTGTCGTTACTTTCAACCTTTCAAGCTTTTACAATAGGTACCGTAGTCTTTGGTGATTCGCGTCCGTGTCACACATTAGTGTACCCAAGCTAGGTATCAATTATATGTTATCGCCGTTGTCACTATTGTCAGCTTAGTAGGTAGGTGGGCGGCTTACCATTCGTTAGCCGCCGAGGACTTGTCTCATCTCGACATCCGAAACAACGAGAGCCAGATTCCACATCACCTATTACGCCATGGTAGACGTGGTAGACATGGTAAAGTGCGCAAGTGGCAGGCATTCGTCGGCCCGGCCGAACAAGTGTCTCTCTGTCTCGCCCTGGGATTGGTTCTGGATTGGCGTCAGGATAGACACGCCAATATCCACCCCTACCTACACAATACACACAGGCTTACATAGGTAGGTAGTAATAAGTATGTACACGTACCTGTTAACCTAACTACTTACCTAGGTACACTACCTCGAGCATCGTCGACCTAGATCTCGATACGTGGGCAAGGTGGGCACAGTCAGTCGAGGAAGGGATCGGGGTCGAAATAAAACACCGACCTCTGACTAACGCGCACGCATCCACGGTATTTCGTGTGTACCGGGCAGATACAGGGTATTGCGCACCGTAGCTGAAAATCAATGTCTCGATACTATTAAGTGCGACTGACTCTGAATAGACTGCTGAAGAACAAAGGACTGGACGAAGTATCTGTATATGTTGTAAGTGTGTAGGTACGGCCTGGAACTGAGAGTGAGGATATGGATATTTTATTGGCTCACCAGTCCGGCCCATCTTGAGAGGGAAGCCCCCCTGTCATTCCCCCCCCCAAAAGCCCCTCACCCCCAAACACATGCCTGCTGGTGAGCAGAGCCTGTAGTGTAGGTAGTGTAAGTACCTGAGCGTGCCATAACTACCTACCTATACTAAGAGGTAACCTACTAGGTCAGGTACCTACCTACCCAACTAAGGAGGCAAGTAACTTACAGCCCAAGAAACCCAAGATAGGAGGGGAAACCTCGCTGCCTCGAGAGGCCGTCCATCCATCCATCCATCCATCAATCAATCACACCAACATTCTTCAATGCTTGTTTCTTTTCCGGTTTGCAACACCTTTTCATGTTTTATTATACCGTCTTTTGAACCTCGATTCTTGTTTCTATCTGGCTTTCTAGATTACATGCACATCTCGTCGCATATCGTCTGTCCCCCTCTCGTCCTCCATCTTCTGCTGTAATCTGTCGACACACTTGGCTCTCTAGCTTTACCTTGGGCCACTGGAAAGCCACTTGAGCTTCGGAGGAATATCCGCTCAGAAATACATACCTATCGAATAGCCTTGATGTAGTGGCCCCCTGCTGCCGCATACAGACGCATATACACTACTTAGCATCTCCTTTGCCGTCTCAAGGCTCTTCCGTTCGTTCGCCCGCTCCCTCGACCGACCGTCCGTCCATCTGTCCGTCGCTTTGGCCCTTGTCCTGCACCACTGTGTAACCCGTTGCGAGCCTTCCTTCGCAACGGCTCGTCGCGTAACAGAAGGCAGGCTCGGCCCTTTTGTTTTGCTCTACTGTGCTCGACCGACCGGACCGCCAGCAGATACTACCTGCATACCCGTGGCTGCAGAAGGCGTTGTGCGTACCGAACCTAATATCCCATGTCTGAGCACAACTCAACATCCCAGGCTCCTGAGCCTGTGGCACTCAATGTAAGTTAATAAACTTTTCTTCCTGTTCCTCTTGCCTCCCTCACCACCTCCTTTGTTTATACGACTCTCACATCATTGCCCTCCGAGAAAGGCAGTAGGGTCAAGAAAGAAGGAATTTCCATTGTCACATAATGCTGACTTTGTATTCTACTCAAGGGCTCAACTGCCTCGCGTGACACTACTGCCGCAGCCCCTATCGTGGGCACACCACCAACATCAGCTCCCATAGCCATGATGTCGTCCCCTGCTCCGCTACGACCAGCGCTCGGCGGCCGTCCTGGTGGTGCCCGGACTCCAAGACTAGGCTTAGCCATTCCCCCATCTCCTAATGTGAAACCTGTTGGCGCGGCTATGGCTGGGCCAACCCGACCACAGCTTACCGTCCATGTCGCTACTCCTATGGGCAGCACTGTTGCACCGTATGAACAAACCAGATCCTCTATCCAGCCAGGCCAGTCAGCTAGCGGCGGTAGTGAGAGTAGTGCGGCACACTCAAGGTCGGGTAGCTTTGGGCCTTTGGATGGGAGAGCGAGCAACCCTACATCCGCAGGGTCTCAGTTTTCTGCATTATCCTTCGCCTCACAATACGGCATCGGATCACGCCCACAGGGTACCCCTGATCCGATATCCGCGGTTGGCTCCATCTACTCGGAAAGAAGCGAAGGGGGCGTCGGAATGGAACGAGATGGAAGCATGCATGGCCTAGAAAGCAGCTTTGACAAACTAGCGCTCGACAAGGCTAGGACTGCCGATGTCGAAGAGCTAGATAGTGATCAGAGTTGGAAACTTGCCAGCATGGAGGGACGTATTATGGAGTTGGGTAGCCTTGGTGAAGGTGCTGGAGGGGCAGTCACTCGATGCCAACTCAAGGGGGGAAAGACAATTTTTGCGTTAAAGGTCCATTCGCCTCTTTGTCACTACATTTTTCGCGGTAATGCTGACATGCATATAGGTTATCACTACCAACCCTAACCCTGACGTAAAAAAGCAGATTTTTAGGGAGATAAAGTTCAACATGGGCTGTGCATCGGAGCATATCTGCCGCTATTACGGAGCTTTTGTTGATGCTGCAAATGGTACGATTTCTATTGCCATGGAGTTCTGTGAAGGTGGATCTCTCGACAGCATCTACAAGGAGGTCAAGAAACTCGGTGGCCGGACAGGAGAGAAAGTCCTTGGTAAGATTGCAGAAGGTGTGTTGAGTGGTCTGACCTATTTGAACGACAAGAAGATCATGCATCGCGATATTAAACCCTCGAATATTCTACTCTGTCGCACTGGCGAAGTGAAGCTCTGCGACTTTGGCGTGTCTGGTGAATTCGGCACTAAGGGTGACGCCAACACTTTCATCGGCACTAGCTATTACATGGCGCCGGAGAGAATCACGGGTCAAAGCTATACCATCACCTCTGATGTCTGGTCTACCGGCGTTACACTCCTTGAAGTAGCACAGCACCGCTTCCCATTCCCTGCCGATGGGACAGAAATGCAACCTAAAGCCGGTTTAATAGATCTTTTGACATACATTGTACGGCAGCCGATACCAAAATTAAAGGATGAGCCGGACGCCAACATTTACTGGACTGATGGCTTCAAATACTTCATCGAATGCTGGTAAGTTTCAACGAGTCATTGTTTTCATTTGCTCTTTTTATATGTGTGCACCCAGGTCAACACGAGAACAACCGAAAGTTAACGCAGAAATTTGTTACAGCCTAGAAAAAGAACCAACTCGTCGCGCAACTCCTTGGAGGATGCTTGAGCACCCTTGGATGGTTGAAATGCGTGGTAAGCGAGTTAACATGCAGAAATACCTGTCTCAAGTATGGGGTTGGGATGAAGTCGAGACGAAATCATGAGAGCTCCCTCGTCAAAACACAGAGGTTATCAATTCGTTAATTACCCCAACATCTTTACCTAGATTACAGCAGTGCCCTTTATAACGGGTCTTTTCGGCTCGAGGAAATTTGGATGGCGCAACGCCTAGGGGAACAGCATCTCTCCCAATAACACGCCTCGTTTAAACAGGCGCTTGATTGCATTTGACGCGCAGCATAAAGATACCCCCATCGATAATGCCTGGCACAGGATAAGACAAAATCCATGCAGCAAACCACCATTCTATACAATCTTGCAATGAATAATTGACAGGGGAGGGATGGCATCGACAACCTCGACATCAAAATAATGCAAACACTTCCACGGCAAACCATATACTCTGACTTAAAAGCGTACGAAAATCTACCCGTGAAGTATTACTAGCGCAAAAATCGAAGGCTGAGAGAGAGAGATCGGATTTCAAAGTCAAAACATTGGTCTTTGGGTGACCGGTAAAGCCTGCCCGCTCGGTTGAACGGAACTAAGTTTGAAAAGATATATTCTATCCACGTATACATGCTCAGCTTTGAGCCTAGGCCACAATTGTGAGGCGAGAGCAGCGGTCATCAGTTACCCAACGCCCAATTCAATCATCATTGTCACCGCCTCAGCGTTATACATTCCCAGAGATAGCAGGTAGTGGTACATAAACGAGCTTGGTCTATATACCAAGTCGCATGTATAAAATAAAACCTTTCGATTTCAAAACAAAACGTCTAGTTCTCACGTAAACCAAGGCCTGCGGAAGCAAGTGAGTTCATCTCACCGCGGAGTGGTTATCTCAGGTATCATTACATGTTTGTCTATCGTAGTGGGTATCGTAATAAGTATATGCCGTCCGTTCTCATCTTTTGTGAACCATGTCCCAAAGCCAGGGCCAAGAATCTACAGGATCATATTTGTTCGTCAGTCGTGTGTAATAACTGGTTCGATTTTCTAACTCTTTTTTTTTTTTTTTTTTTATCATCCTCTTTATTTTCGTCCCCAGACCGTCGGGTTACCCATCTGGCGACGTCGTCACAGTGGTAGCAGCAGCAGCAGCAACAGTCTCAGCCATCTTGCGCTCTTTCTCCCTCTGCGCGGCCCTCAGTTTCTCCATGAGTGAGGAGGTACCGCCTAGGCCGGCGTTCGACGTTTTCTGAGCTTGTTGCGTCGTGGCCATCGGTATAGATTGAGGGATGGGTTTCGCGATGGGTGGTGGTGTATTTGTTGTCGTTGTCGTGTTTGTTTGCGCGGTAGTGGCTTCCCCATCTCCGCCGCGATTATCATCGTTCTCGCTTCTTCGAACTCTATTGCCGCTCTTGTTCTTCTTTTCTGCTTTGCGCGCTGCTTTCTCGGCTCTTCGCTCCCGGAGCTTCCGCTCGAGATCCGCTATCCGGTCGTCGTATTCGTCTGCCGGTGGCTCCGCATGTGAGATGTCTGCATTTGCCGCCCCGTTACTCGCGGAGGTCGGTATCGTTGTGGAATTGAAGTGCATCGGCCGAGGTTCGGGTTCTCTCTTCGAAACATCGCCCATCCGCTCGCGCTCCCTGGCTTCGGCCTCCTCCTTCATCCGCCGGCGTTTCTCTAATCGTTCGGTCGTCCTCTCCGCGAGGGCCCTCTTCTCAGCATCCGTCATCATCGTCCTTTCTCCTCTCCCCTCCGCTTTCCTTTTGACGCCGCGTTCCCTGGCCTCCAAGTCATCGATCATAGCCCTCTTCGTTGCGTCGAGTGCCGCCCGCGCTTGCTGCGCCTTGACAGCCGCGGCGCGAGCCGAATCGTACGCCGCGCGCGCCTCGGGCAGCGAGAGCACGTCGCGCGCCCGCTCGAAAAGCTGCCATGTCTCCGGATCGAAGTTCTTCGCCTTGTCAGGGTGGTGCTTCAGCGACGCTTTGCGCCAGGCGCGGTGCACCTCGGGTTGCGCAGCGTCCGGCGCCACCGACAGGAGCTCGTACAAGTCTTTGTTCGCCGTTGCGTACTCGCGCGCATATTGCAAGAGATCGGATTTGTTATCTTCCATGATTCTTCACACCCTCGCCGCTATTCTATTCTTCAGTTTGTTGTCGCTAATGCGAGGTTGAAAGCAATCTTGGTACGCAGTTGATGTACATTGAGAGCCGGCTCACGGAGGCGTGTAGCTACCTATGTAGGTAGACATGTGAATAGCTTGATTCCAGGTAGATAGTTCAGTTGGATTGTATTCACGCCAAGACATGCACGCGCCAGCTGTTGTCGGGCCGAGACAACTCGCCCGTCCAACTTGGAGCTTCGTACCACTCACGATTCAGCTTGGAAGTACCACATGGTTATCTCGTACATCATTATTATGTACGTACCTGCATCAGATCCCGGCCGCCGAGAACCTGTATAAGTATGTAGATATATGTCTTCACTAATAAGCAAGTTTTTTTTTTTTTTTTTTTTTTTTTTTTTTTTCCCGGTGTTTCGGCGTCGAGAAGGTAGTAGTTCTTAGTCTAAGTTAATGGGAAGAGGTGGTACAGCTATGAACTATTTAAAAACTTGTATAATTGAACTGTCTCCAAACTATGCCCTAGTCGCTTCAAGCAGTATACGCTGTCTACCTTGAGTAAAGTAGCGAGTAGTTAAGTAGTTTATACATGCTCCGCCAGCCCCTCATATCCCATGATAAGCCCGCATGGGCGATTCTGAACATCCTCTATTGAAAACTCCCATCTCCTTACTTATATGCATATTCCTATCCACCCCTAAGTTTACATGTGGAAAGTGCAATACGCAAATGCAATGATACATGAACCCAGAAAACAACGCCGTCGGGTGAAGCTTGAATGCAGTCCGGACAAAACAAATCAGCTCAACCAGGGTATCTCAATGTCACGCTCGGTAGACAAAGGGCAGCTGATGCAAATCCCCCACACGCTCGTCTAACGCCACTAAATGCCCAGCTCAAGTACGCGCCATTACCATGCTGCTTGTTACATAAAAAGCCGCGACATCATGTCTTGATATCTGCGACAGCTCGTGCTACCTCTTTCGTGGCGATTTTTTCGAACCGAATTCGAGCCTGGTCGTTGAGTTCCTGTTCCGATACTTCCTTGTAAAGTCTGTGGCTCAGGTCTCGGTTGATGCTGGCGTACTGATCTGCTGTGAGCTGTCCGGATTTCCAGTGTGGCTTGAGAGCGTCCTTAACGATGCCGCTGATACTCTCCTTCATCTCAATTGGCAGGTCGCTACGGGTTGGCGAGGCGTCAGGCGAGTGTACAAGATTGCTGCTGATATCTGCAGACCTGTATCGCCGTGGTCTTGGTTGTCGGATTTCGAGGGATATAGTAGTACCATTAGTCTGATGATGATGCTGTTGTCGTGGTCGTGATTCCGAATCACTATGCTCTCCATCTCTAGCCACGACATAATTCGCTGGTGGGTAGATTGGTTCTATCCTTGAGCTAAGAGAAAGGGGCGAACCAGGCCGATCACTGATCCCACGAGGTGGTGGTGTCATTGATAGCGCCCGGGGACTGCTATAGCCTGATGGCGAAGGTGATGTTGCGGGAGAGTGCGGGTCTGCGGTAGGTTTGATCGTAGGCAAAAGTGCCCGAATACTCTCGTCATCCGATGCTGTGCTCATTTCAACCTCTTTTAGTAAGGAAGACAGAAACGAGGGCCCTTCTGAGGTTGGGACAGGTGATCGAGCCCTACCGCTCGTCGATGGCCCTGGGGCTGTTGGCTCTATGTTTTGTGCCGATGCCTGGTTAGATGTAGATGCTTCAGACTGGGTAGGTACCCGTCTTGTTCTGGGACGTTTAAGCTTCCTCTCGGGCGGGGGAGGTTCAACTGGGGATGCCGTCACCGAACGGGCTTTACGCTTTCGCTGGTTCGGACTAGACGGACTCGGCGCCTCAGCTTCCATAGCCCTTTCCAGTGCCCCCCACGCTTGCTTCTCTTCCCGGCTCTCTTGAGGAGGTGGTGCTTGTAGTGGCGGCTGCCTCGTACTTTGCTGGGGAGCAACGATAGGGAGGTTCTCGGCGAAAATATCATGGGCGCCAAGACGACTTGCGATGTTAAGACGTTGTTGCCATCTCTGATATTCACGTCGCTCTCTTTCGCTGCGCTGCTGCGATCTCCGGTAATGATGTAATGCCTCATCATCCTCATGATTATCAAGATCTATATTCAGGGCATCCCATACGCGACCTGCAATTTGGCCCCAGGCGCCTTGCCACTCATCCGAGCGAGCTCGTTGTCTAGCACGTCGCATCGTCGCTTGAGTGCGTGGCAGGTAGTCGGAGCGACCATCAGATAATCCAGCCAGGCCAGAGGTTGTCACATCAGGATCATCCAACTCAGCTGCAAGTAGTTCGGCAGCCCCCTCAGCGCACTCTAGGCAGAACCAGTGGCCGCGAGGGACAGTGTCCAAGCCAACACAGTATGTATGGTATGGTGCATCGCAGCCGTCGCAGAGGAGAAGGACATCTTCATGGTCGGCATTATTACAGATTGGGCATGGTCGCACCTCCTCCTCTTCTTCGGGGTTCTCGTCGAGCCATGCCTGCGGATCAAACTCGGCGACTTGCTTCTTGTCCTCGACCCTGTAGGAAGTAATTAGGGTACCTTTGATTCTCGTTAGCTGAAATCCGCAATGTGCACAATGTGAGTAATGATGCACCAAGCGACTTACCCCCAATTCTATCATATACATGCACCAAATGAAAAGCCTGCCGACAGATGGGACAACTGTTCGCTTTTCCTGTCCATTCCCTCAAACATGAGTCATGAAGAACATGGCCGCATACTTGAATAACAGCGATTCTATCATTGTCGTTGCTCCCGGGCGACTTAACGTTGACCGAAGTGGCGGCGTTGCTACTGCTCCCAGCTTCGTCATTGGTTGTGTGAGTTGACGATGGTGACGTTGCTCCATCGCGGGCATTGGTGGGGGCGGGTGTGGAAGATGCAGCCTGCACAATGCCATGTTCATGATGGCAAGTGTCGTGGGGTGGTGACTGTGGAGGTGGCGAGGGTTGTTGGACGTCTAGATTATCTAGACAGACAATACACTGATCAGCCATCGGGGGAGAATCTCATAAGCCGGAAAATGTGGAATTGGGACATATAAAAGACTGTGTAGAGCCTTTGACAGAGTATTGCAAGCAGCAGGTACGGTACCAGGCACTAGGCAGCGAAGCGGGACAGAGCAAATAAATGCAACCAATACTACTTTTGGCCAAATAGAAAGGATACCTTTTAATCAGGTATTCCTCAGCTGAGCGAGAGTGGACGGGCGGTTGACGTGCCGTGGACCAATGGCACGGCGGATCAGAGTTTAGGTGACAGCTCTCTGTGCAAGCTGTGCAAGTAATTCGGTGCTGTGCAGACGAATGAAGATGCAAATGATTCGCATGTGTCTCGCGGCGTACAGGTAGCTGTATTGATTGTCTGTCTTGGAAGGAAATGTGCAAATGCAAATGCAAATGCAAAAAAAGAGTACTAACTAGTAGCCTTTTGATTGAACAATGATTGGAAAAAGGGTACTAGAAAGTGGCCAATTTGTGGGTTTGCAGATACAGTGCAGAGATGAATAGACCAGGGGACTGTGATGGTCTGTCTATGTATGGATCAAGGGTGGTTGTGATGGAGAAGAAAGTACCTAGGCTGCGTGGCAGAACGATGGCAGTGATAGTAGTAGTGGTAGTGGTAGTAGGAGTAGTAGTAGTAGTGTTGTTTTAGACTCGACGGAGCTCGAGGAATTCGAGATCAAGGTTGATAGGATGACAGCAATGGGTGGATGAGTCTGGGGCGGGACAGAAAGACCCGGTGTGGTTGGGCGGGTGAGAGGGAGGGAGGGAGGGAGGGAGACAATATATGAAAGCCGTGTTTGGGGACAAGGACGTCTCACGAGACCCCAGAATGGCAGAATGGCAGATTGGCAGAAGGGCTCCAGAGACAAACGAAGAACGAATGACCTGTGACCTGGGACGGGCTTTGAGAGTCTTGGATAGCGGGGAATCGACAATACCTACCTACCAACCTGGACTATACAGTAAGGCAGCGGAGGCAGGCAGAATTGGAGAAACGGACTCGGAGAACAAGAAATAGGGAGGTATGTAGGTACAGTAGGTATGAGGGGTGGGAAGCAAGCAGTAGTAGGTAAAATGGCGAGGATTGAGGATGAGTAAGTGTGTTGGGCAGGGGTGTGGGTAGGCTGGCAACTTTAAGATTTAAAGAGACAGGTTAGATAGAGTGAGGTATGGGGAGGTAGGTATAGATGGGAATGAGGTAGGTATGAGGAGAGGAGGAAACGATTGCACTCGATGTCTATTAGCCCCTCTCAGAAGGCAAGTGGTAGTAGTAGGTATTGTGTGCACGGGGTCTGCCAAATAAGAAGATGGAGAGAAGAAAGAGATAGGTAGAGAGATAAATATCTGGGCAAGTATCGTGGTAGGTAAGCTAGGTTAGGTAGGCAGATACTACCTACCTACCTACATACACAGACACAAAACGACGAACTAATACTACTACTACTACTACTCTCTGTCTCCGAGCTACAGCCCTAGAAGGAGAACATACGGCGTTCGCGAATTGCAGGTTGTAATACCCGGGCGCTGTGTATGTGTAGGTGGGAGTAAGTAGAACGAGTAGGGATAGGGAATCGAATAAAATAATACCGTGACAGAACAGACAGGAATTGTGTTAGAATTCGTGTCCCAGTCAGGTACCTGCGTACATACTTAGGTAGTATGATGTACCTAGGCAGGTACGGTCAGAGGTAGCATATAGGATATAGCCGACTAGTGATGCACTGTACCCGTAGATACCTGGGCAGCGTTCGTTTTGTTAGGTACATAGTATACCTATGCAGAGCAGAATATGCGGTAGGTGGGCGATGTTATTTAAATATAGTGGGGTGTTGGTGCAGGTACGGCCAGCAGGGGGGGTTGTGGTTGGTACTTAGGCATGTGTCAGGTAGAGAGAGATACGCTACTACGCTCCAACTACCGTAGGAAATACAACCTCAGTATATACATACATTATTATGTACATAAGTGGGCAATATGTATATAACAAGTATTTCTTTATGTCTACCTACATATGTACAGTACCTCCTACATAGCAGTAGGTACCTTGGTAGTACCCGTGTGCGTGTGCCCAGTGTAATCATGAATTGCATGTTGCCTCCAGCAGACTCCAGATAATGAGGACTGGAGACAAAACCCATGAATGGTCTCCGAAGCACATGAGTACATGCTGATGTGGTGGAGGTAGATGTGGTACCTAATACATAAATACCTACATTACTAGCGATAGAAGTCCGACAAGCAGAAATCGGTTAGGTACTCAGTACCTGCCTTGGTACATATGTAGGTTGGTAACGCGCCCGTAGAAGCTCACGAGGCGCAATTACTTATCCACTCGACAAGCTCCCGTTCTGGGCGGCACAGAATTGGGAACGTCGAAGATATGGTATTGGCGTCTCGAGAACACTGAGATATTAGTAGCAACATCCCGAATAATTCTACTGACAAATTCAACCATCTCTAGTACGGTAGGTGATAACAGAGCTGGAGAAGAGGGCGCAGGTGACGGGTGATGATGAGTGGGTATTGAGAGGAAAGGGTCGGGTCAGGTCAGACAGACAAGACAAGATACCACCCATCAGCTCTGTTCTCTGCGTTTACTACCTGTCATGGTCCTGGCCGCCGTCCTCGTTGGTACCTTGTTAACTCATATCCGGTATGGTGGCAGAGTCACCATACCCAGTACCTCAAGCAGACTCAAGTTAAGTTACCAGTGACCACACACATGTGCACACCCGCGATCTCCCTGTTTCTTGGCCGCCCAGACCAGCCTATACTAACCTATATGGAGAGGGGAAAAGACGCCTTGAACTCTTGCCAGGCATACCTCACCTCGTCTATCTAGTAAGAATTGGCTTATACTTACCCAGGTAGGTTGAGTAAGTATGTAGCATTGGGTATCGTACTTGACATCAGCACAGGGAGTGGGTAGTATCAAGTCTCGCAGCGCAATACATTCTGACCAGCCCCCCTCTGTTCATGGCTGTGTTTACATACCATACCTACTTAAGCTGTCATGTTGGTTGCAGTTTCGTCGTTATTACCTAGTATGACTGAGGTGAATGAGTAGATCGGTGGGACCAGACACAGACACACCTGTAGGATGACGATGTTGGTGCTGTGGATATATAGTACATTTCGTGTGCGTGTAAATAGTCGCCAACGCTGGCTATGTATGAAATCCCACGGCTTGCTGAGCGACTGTGGAACGAGTCCGTGCTCGACCTATGTCTTGCCTACGTGTTCTACACGCCGCATAATACACCACCTTTTCATCCAGCAGCTGTCCAATACTTGTCCACAATTGGCCTATTCGTCACCCTACCTAGCTTGCCTATGCTACGTATATGCAGCTGTATGTTATGCTACGCCCCGTAGAGGCAATGTAAACAACGTCGAGTCATCGGGTTAAGATACTACTTACTCGTAGTCGATCAACCAGAAAAGAGTAAGCGTGATCAATTGTGTAGCTCTAGTTTCCGCCATCGATAACTTCGAAATGCGGGTTAAGCAACTAAGAACGAGAGGCAGCATTTAGATCTTGTATGTGGGCTTTAAATTCCAATACATAAGTACCCAGGTTGTCAGTAGAACTGAGTCCAGAGGCATTTAAAACATAACCTGGGAAAACCTTGAGACTAGAGCTATCGTCTCCAGCGTCAGTTATACAGTAGGTCAATCCGGCCCTTGGCATCATTAAATATCTACCATATAACAACCATTCTCTATTGTTTAGCCTATCTGTTTCGCTTGACTGGAACCTCTTGAGGTATCAAGAATGGGCAAGGGTAATGAGTCACTAAATATATCGACGTGTAGGTCGGTAGGTTAGAGAGTTGCCAGATATAGTCAAGTCCTTCCTTATGAGTTGCGGTCCAATAACAGTGTTCCCTAATCCCGTCCTATCTACTTCGTATGTCGCTATTCTTTCAGTATTAGAAATATCGAGTAGATAATATTAGTTATCTTCATTGGCTTGGTCCATTCTGAGGAGATCGTCTGTCTGCCGGAGCGTCGCAGGTTCGATCGCCGCCCCGCTCCATCCATCCATAGAGTATGGATCTAGATGAAGTTTCTTGGCGTTGAGATACCAGGTAGCATAGAAAGTACTCAGTCAGCTAGGTACCTACCCAGGTTCAAGCCAGTATCAACCAGATATGATGGGAAGAGGTAACGGCTTTGTGCAACCCGATAGTTTCTGTCTTCTTCTTCCAAAGGCAATGGAACTGCCTGGCCAAGAGCCGATAATGTCATGGATTCCGAGTTTCATCCAAAGCACCGCAAGATACAACTACCACGGGTGATAAATATTACCATGTCTGGTATATGAGTAGACGTTGACGATAGGGAGCCTCGGTACCGCTCGGGACAAGGTACCTATAATTAAATTGCACTACGTATCCACCACCGGAAAATACGGTGGCATGTAAGTATCCCGGTGCTTGCAGATGCCGCCGCATCGTCGGAGGCTTCCTATTGGCGTTTCAAGAAGGATTTAACCAGCTTTCGAGGGCTTCTGTCGGAAGTGCACCAGCCAGAGACGGTGCACACTTAGTTAGAGAGGCCATCTGGATAGCCCCTTCCCGGAAACCCTGGCCGGTTCAGTTAATCAGCCGTCACGCTATGCCGCTTCGGTAACCCTAGCCCGAAGCTTGTCAGCGTCTAACCAGCTCGTTGGCAAGAGGCGACGTCGGATCAGCCTTTCTTCGAGAGTTGGCACGCCGAGGCATGGACGGCGATGATTCCTGACCTGGCTAAATCCCATCGTTGCGAAACCACAAATTCGCAATCCCTCGGCCAAGTGCAGGACGGGCGGGCAATATATTTCGGCGGCAGGCTGGTTCATATCTGTTTATATAGAGGGAACGGGGACCCCGAGAAAAGCTTGATTATGAGAATGTGTACTTACGACATGCCGAGACAAGACGCCAGGGAAATATAATTAATTTTTTCTTCTCTTTCGAACCTTCACCTATCTCCGCTTGACTGCGTGACTACTTAACTCTCAGGACAATTGTGAGCTTTTGTCTTCAAAACTACACTTTCCAGCTTCCATCCGCTTCTTATCCTCCGCCTTTCGCCGTGATGCCCTTCAAGAAGCACTCTCGTCAGTACGACGTAGTTATCTATGGTGCAACAGGTATATAACCTCCTTGTTGACCCGTCAAACACCCGGAATCCGCCTTAAGCTGATATTTGCCAGGCTACACTGGACTGCTAACTGCTGAATTTATCGCTAGCCATTTTCCCACGAATACCAAGTGGGCCGTAGCTGGGCGGTCCGCACAGAAGCTAGAAAAGGTCGTAAAAACATGTCAAGACCTGAATCCGGACCGTGAACCGCCCAAGGTGGAGGTATGCAGCCTGAATGACGCTGACCTAGTCGCCCTGGCTAAGAAGACATTCATTCTCATAACAACCGTTGGTCCTTATAGCAGATATGGCGAGTATGCGTTTAAGGCATGTGCTGAGGCCGGCACTCACTATGTTGATTGCACTGGTGAGGCTGTGTGGCACGCAGAGATGATAAAGAAGTACGGTGCAGCCGCCAAAGCTAGTGGAGCACGCAGTGAGTATCTCTCTGGCTGTTCTATCCTACCCTTCGTCTCATTACCGAGAGTGCAAAACTTCCCTATCCAGGTGGTCGATATGTTGCGAGACAGGTTCGCCTCCTCAGAACTAGTTGCTAACTCGGTGTGTTTCAGTGTTTCCTCAATCGGCTGTCGAATCAGGACCTCCAGACTTAGTCACATTTTCCTTAGCATTGCTCATCAAGTCGAAGCTGTCCGCGTCCCTTGGTGACGTTGTCGTTTCGCTCCACGAGATTCAGTATGTTTCATTCTATGAAACCAGAGGACCTCTCACTGACACCGACTAGTTCCGCGCCTTCAGGAGGCACATTAGCTAGTGTTCTCGGTTTGTTCGAAGTTTTCAGCTTCAAACAAGTGGCGGAATCTCACAAACCATATGCTTTATCGCCTATTCCCAATTCAAAACCTGCGCCTAAGGCATCGGTTCTGTCACTATTAACAGGGGCCTATTATATCCCGAATCTTGGTCTTCAGTCAACGTCCATAACGGCAGGGACTGACACCGCCGTGGTACAACGCACTTGGGGCCTCTTCCAACAAGAATCAACCTTACGGAAGAATGCTTACGGGCCTAATTTTACGTACCGGGAGTTTACCAAAACCAGAAACACCATTAGTGCCATGGCCATGCACTACGGTTTATTAGTAGGCGGCGTTCTCCTCGCATTCTGCGCTCCGTTCCGGAACCTCATGCGTAGATTCGTTTTCCAGCCCGGCCAGGGCCCGACACAAGAGGATTCGGCCAATGACTACATAGAGTATCGAGGCGTTGCTATTCCGGACATACAGCCAGCTCCAGGAAAGCAGGCACTATGCCGTGCCTGGTTCCAAGGGAGCATGTATTCGCGTAAGTATGCCCAAAACAGCCATTTTCGTACACTTTGGACCTAATGAAAACATAGTCACGGGTGTATTTCTGGCACAAGCAGCCCGAACACTCCTAGAGGATAGCATCGAGTTTGGTGGAGGGGTTTATACGCCCGCTTGTCTTGGTCAAGGGTTCATAGATCGCTTGGACGAGGCTGGTTTCAAGATAGAGGCCAAGATCATCGAGGGCTGAAGGAAGCCGTAAACTTACGAATTATGACGACCATTATATACCGCCAGTTAATCCCTCAAAACATAAAAATTGACCATTCTCGCTTTTGCTGCAGTAGATACGCCTTAAGAGGTTTGGCTGAACACGATTGTGGGAAGAGCTCAAATCTGAGACATTGAGAATAGGTAGTATTCTCACTATACACTATGTACGTAGGCCTGGCCAGCGAGACAGTCTCACAACGCTATTGGGGTTGACGTTGTTTCAATAGACTGACCCGGGTTGTAGATTGCTTGTTTGCTTGCTTACTTGCTTGCTTTCAAGTCTTGTTACCTATCTTTACCTGAATCAATGGTCTGTCAATGGGATTTGATGCCGTTGAAGGTTCCCCGCAAAGCCACTTGCTGGGTTCATCAGACCAATCAGAACTTTCATCTCTTAACCTAAAGCAGGTGGTGAGCCTGCAAGTGATCGATCAGCCGTTGAGGGCACCTGTTCTGACCTGTACATAATACCTACAGTAGGTAGGTAGTTAGCGGCGCCAGGCCTGTCTGGGCTTAGCTAAGTACCATTCAGTAACCATTCTGGGAAGAACCCAACGTCATTATCATGTACGGGACTACTCGGCAGTAGTGTACATCAGAGTACATGTACCCAGTTGTAGCGCCAAAGAGTCGCTTGCGAAATGGGTACTGTTACAACGGGTAGTACACGCTGTAGCTCTGCTGAGCCGTGACCTCTTGGGTGCAGGTGGGCAGATATTGACTGAATCTTTTCCATGTGAGAACAAAACGTAGCTTTCCCACCAGCAATCTACAATTCCGATATCCCGGAGAATCTCAATTGTTTCCTTTTTCCAGTTCCTTGCCTAGATTTAGTCCACGGGCCGTTGCTTGCCATATGGCAATACCAGGTGCAATTAAGCCTGCCGCGATACCTCGTTTCCTGACGGTGGCGCACCTACGTATGGGTTTGGTTGCCAGCCTGGAGAGCTTATAAAAGCGTCTTTTCGCTTCTTTTGTCGCCAATGGCTTCTCCATCGGCAAGCTCTGGAAGTGCAAGCTCAGAGAGGACACCGCTTCTGCGGCAAGACACCGCTCGCCCGCGGACAATTCGTAACGTCACATTTAATCCAAACCCTGTCTCAAGGACCATCGATCCTGAGCCGCCATCTCTGAGCTCTTCGCCAGGTTCTACACAAGCTGTTAGCAATGTACGAGCAACGCGCCCCTTCACGTCGGGGAGTTCTCCGGCTGGCCCCCCACCAATGCTTTCTGCTCTCAACAACCGATTACGTCGCCGGAACAGCCACGGCTCTGTCTTTAATGCCCTTCCCCCAGCCATTTTGCCCAAGATGGGGCCGCAACGGAGCTCAAAAACTGCCGAGAAGTTGAAACTACTCCCGAACCCTGAGCTAGAGGAGGAGGAGCTGGACGAGGAGAGCAACCGAGATGTTTATTCGCAATACACACGTATCAAAGATCCTATGGCTAGGCGGGATGCGGCGAGGTTAGGGAAAGCAGACCGCGAGAGACTTCCACGAGTCACCGCATATTGTACGGCAAACAAATACCAGATGGAAAACTTGATGCGGTTTCTCAAAGGCCGAGGAAAATCAAAAGGGGCAAACCCAAAGCTAATAGATGAGTGCATCTATTCACCATACAACTACGGACCGTCACATCCCACTCAAAGGCCAGAGCTGTTTGAAGAGCACAGAGATCGACCTGTATACGTACATGAAAGACGCCATTCTACTGGCGAACTGCAAGCCGAAGACCATTCTGATGCATACCAGCGCGGCGCCCTAGCTGATTTCCGGGCTCAGCAGCAAGAACATGGCCACGAACCGGAACATTCCTTTAACCCCGGCCGTGACGCCAACAATGATCTAGCTTATCCAGAGGGAAGCGTGATGGACCACTCACGCTCGCATACGGTAGATGCCGACTTTGATACCCATGTGCACACACCTGAGGTTTTCCTATTCGACTATGGTGTTGTGGTAATATGGGGCATGTCAATTACGCACGAGCAACGGTTTTTAAAGGATATCGCTAAATTCGAACTCGAAAAGTTGGATCCGGATGACGTCGAGACGGAATGTTTTAATTTCTATTATACCCGAGAATATCAGGCGCGTATATATAACGACTTCATTACGTTACGGGATAGGGGAAATTACATGACTAAGTTGGCGATATCGCATGCTCTGGCGCAAAGTGTCAAGGTACGCAGACTTCTCTCTGAATCCACCTAGTGCCTCTATAATCGAGATTGATTGTACTGACTAATGCGATGAAATGCAGACCTCTCTCTTCGAAGAGTTGTTAGCATCGACGATAGATGCATGTAAAGACATTCCGACCCAGATCGCACTGGCAGGCAAGATAGCACTGTCACAAACACAGATCAACATGCAAATAGGCGAGCTCTTCATTCTGCGTATTAATATCCATCTGAACGGAAGCCTACTAGATACGCCCGAGCTCTTCTGGGTTGAGCCACATCTCGAACCTGTCTACCAAGCCGTCCGCAGCTACTTGGAGATGGATCAGCGCGTTGGCCTGCTAACGGAGCGTCTGGATGTGATTGCTGATTTGCTCGCCGTACTAAAGGACCAATTAAGTCATGGGCACGGTGAGATGCTGGAATGGATTGGTGAGTCTTTATCTAGCCCCTTTCTACCTATCTCTATATCCAATATTGCTTGGGCATGAAAAGCGGTGGGGATACCCGCCACCAGAGAACATTTTTCACTGATATATGGTCTAATAGTTATTGTTCTAATTGCCGCTGAGATCCTCGTCGCTGCTATCAACATAGTCGTCGATCTGTACGCAGGTGTCTAGGACATACAATGGCGGCTACACCACCTCTGGACGCCTCATAAAGGGAGAATCTGACGGCGTCTCTTTACATTTTCCGCAATCTTCCGCTTCCGTACACGCAGCATTTTAACAACAGCCATGGTGTTGGTTGGGTTGGTTCTGGCATAGGGCGGCCTTGACTTGTTTGTCCTTATTATTGTTGCTATTGTAGTGGTCGTTGCTACTACTTGTTTGCGTTCCCTTTCTGAATACCAAGAAATCATAGTCACTGTCAGATAGTTAGGTACCCAGCGTTGGTATTTCGCAACTTGGCGTAGACGGGTCTTTCTTTGAGAAAAAAACAAAAAAGAGAAAAATGAAGCTTCACAGCACTACCAACAGGAAACGCTTGGGTTCTATTTAGAAGAGTAGCACAATAAGAATGCCTTGAAGACAGTAATATAGTTGTTTCAAAAAAGGAAATAATGAGTTCCGCATTACCTATGTCGATCTCTTCATACTCATGTGCTCCCGGCACCCGGTAGTTGTGTAATTCTAGTTCACGCCATCTGATGAATCTTAATAATATTGTTACAGCATCTTCGTTCTTTCCTTCCTCTTGTGTCGGGCAAAGAAAGTATGTCCATTCCCAGAGCCAGAGCCAATGCCTTGCTTGCCCAACGCCTTTTATAACATAACCTGGGTAATACTTGAAATGCAAATTACGCGCCGCAACTCTTGCAGTTTTGAAAACATCTCAGTCCCTAGAGATGAAGCGTTCGGTTGTTTGGTGCCCCCTACCTCCACCGACGATTTTGGTCTTTCCACGCGCTCCACTTCTACTCCGCAGCGTCGTGGTCAACCTCAGTCTCCGGATCCGAATCTTGCTCGGCGCCAGGTTCAGGCTCTGCCTCAGCCATCTCAACATCCTGGTCATCATCTGCATCTTCTTCGTCGTGGACCTCCGAGAATCGATGTCGGCCACCACGGCCAGTCCGACTTTCGCGGGCGCGCGATCGCGCAGCGGCATCCTTAACGCCCTGCTTGAAGCTCTCTCGAGCCTCCTTCCACTGAATGAGCTCTCGTTCATACCGTGCTTGGAATTCTTCCTTCTCCTTCTCCGCGAGATCCTTCCAGCCACGCGCCAACTCTTCTTCAATTCGGAACTCGCCAGCCGCGATCGCATCCTTGTGCTGTGCCTGGAGTAAGGGTCGAGTATCGTTACAGTAGATCTCGAATGCGTTACTAGGACGTTTTGGTGGCTTGGCCATCCCATTGGTAGCACGGCCATGTTCCTTTTGTGATTCTAATTGCGAGTGTGAGAAACCATCTGAGCTGGGCGAGAGGGTCTTGAGGTGTTGGCTGATGAACGTTGCACCCAATGTATTTCCGCCATCGTTGCTGGGTAAAAGAGATGGCTTACGATGACCTCGTTTCGTCCGAAGCGGTTTGTCTTGCGGCTAGATATTTGTTCAGCATACAATGATTATAATATATTTAGTTGAAGGACATGGCATCGGGGATTGTGCTGTAATTCCACGTACAGTGGGTGGGGGGCTAGGACTGCCTTCTGAATCTTCAACGTTGGTGCTTGTGCGTTTTGAGATCTGATCCAAGAGCAGAGCTCGTTCGAGGCGTAGTTTCTGGATCTGCCGCTTGAGTCTGGAAAGTCGTAGTCTATACGCGTCATTCTCGTCCTCAATCTCTTTTGATCGTTCTTTTAGCTGAATGCATTTTCGTCGGTAGGCTTCCTCGACCGTTGGAGGTAACGAAGGAGGATGTGCTATTGTGTAAAAAGAAGAGTGTCAGTCTATTAGTCCTAGCACCTGTGGGCGAAAGAATAGTGTGGATAATGATTCGCCCGGTGGTTCCATTTGCCATAGGCGAACTTCACATGAACAGTGTCTAGTCCGGAGAGCCTGGCTTCCCAGATCATCTGAATACAGCCACATCACTTCAGCGTCCCTGGTGACAGTGATACGGGAATCGCGAACTTGTTGCGACGATGTGGAAATGGAGAAAAAACGTGTTAGTGCGCCAGGCCTGTTACTGGAGGTAGCTAAGACGCGTATCCCCGACAGAATCGCATAACCCATACACATCTAGGGTGCGCCATGCACGACCCAACATCCCATCAACAAACACCGGAGCCCCGACCTCATGATGGCTAGGGGGTGTATTCAGCTTTTGTCGTTGGGGTGCGTGGCAGTTGGGCACAACAGGGAATCGAGTTGAAGGCGAGAAGGCATCTTCAGATCTGCAGGGTTGCAGATTCGACTTACAGTTTTGAGGAGCCATCTCGCGACGCAAGGAATGGCAAGCTCGAAAAATAGCGCGTTATGTGTTGAGGATAGGAGAGTGTCGTCGGCCAAAGGTGCAATTGGCAGATGGAGGAGTAGCTCTGTTGCTTGAGTGGATAAAGTTGGCGTCGGGGATGGATGGATGGATGGATGGTATGTAAATGACAAGCAAGGATGGGTATTGAAGAGGGCGCCAAAGACAAACAGCGATCAGAGAGCGGTGACGCGCATTGGGGGCCGAGAAGGAGGGAGTAAGATGTGAGAGAGAAAAGCGAGGAGGACGGAATGGCAGAGTGCGCAACAAATCCGGCGCGTTTCTTGAGGGCAAGGCTGGAAGTAGGTATTCAATGCATCCTTGATTGAAGCTTTCGCAAATGGAACCTTGCTTGGCTGGAGTGCTAGTCTAGGTAATGGGCCCCATGGATGTTGTTTGGCGTATGTGAACCTGGATATTGAACTGAACATTCTAGCCCGGTACGTACCCTACGTAAGTACATACTAGATATGTAGGTAGATGTACCTAGGTGCGCTGGGATATGTACTGTCTAGCGGTGGTACAAAGAGTACTTGGGCTCTGCGAAGCCAGATATTTTTCGAAGCAAGGTACCTAGTACCATACTTATACCGTGGATACCTCTCTGACACTTATAAATCGAGATCATATGAATATACCAAAATGGTATAGAACTGGCTATCTAAGTTGAGAAATTTGTAGATTGACTGATTTTAGTCTTGCGCAAAAGCTTTGAATATGGGAATTGGACTGGTTGATTTGGAAGTCTACGTTGAACTGTTATCGATTGATGATAAGATAAGACCCCTCCATACCTGCATAGATATCTACAGTACTGTAGATATGTAGCACAGGTCTGCACAAGCTTAGAAGAGAGCTAGGTAGGTACATCCAATACCTACCTACCTACCTACCTGTAATAGCTCCACTGATTTTTTGCAACACAACAACCGCCATACCGCTGCCCTCTCCTTTTGATACTCAGCATAAGGCAGCCAGGACCATAACTCAACACCAGAAAATAAAAGGCCAAGGTCGAGAGTGGGAGGCTTCGTCAAAATGTCTCTTAACATCCCCAGCGCCCCCAATGCCGGGTTGTTCAAACAAGGCTACAACAAGTATGATCACAAACCCCCACCATGCCACCATGCCAGATTTATACTCGGGATTCCTAATTCTTCTCCAGCTACGATTCCGAAGATGGCGCCGTCCTACGAAACATCGATGCTTGCCGAGCCATCTCTTCCACCGTCCAGACATCACTTGGCCCTTATGGCCGCAATAAGATCGTCATAAACCACTTACAGAAGATGATCCTGACCTCCGACGCCGCCACTATCCTAAAAGAACTCGATGTTGTTCACCCTGCTGCTAAACTTCTTGTTATGGCCAGCCAGCAGCAGGAGGCCGAGATGGGCGATGCCACCAACTTAGTCATTATCCTAGCCGGCGAGCTTCTCAAGAAAGCCGAGGACCTTCTACGCATGGGTCTGAAAACTGCTGATATTGTCACCGGCTATGAACGCGCTCAGACATTCGCCCTAGAAGCTCTAGAAGACTTGGCTGTAGACAAAGTCGGGGATATCCAGGACCAAGAGGAGCTGAGCAAAGCTATCCGAACGGTCGTGGCAAGCAAGCAGAATGGAAACGAAGAGATCCTAGCTAACCTTGTTGCCGAGGCCGTCTTGGCGGTCATGCCCAAGAACCCAGTCAACTTCAATGTCGACAACGTTCGAGTCGTCAAGATCATGGGTGGAAGTCTAGAGCAAAGTCGGGTTGTGAAGGGCATGGTGTTCCCAAGAGAGCCTGATGGATCTGTCAAAAAGGCAAAGAAGGCCAGGGTTGGCGTATTTTCTTGCCCCATCGACATAAGTCAGACGGAGACCAAGGGAACCGTCTTGCTCCACAATGCTAAGGAGATGATGGAATTCTCAAAGGGCGAGGAGGAGCAGCTCGAGACGGCCATCAAGGAACTCCATGACGCGGGGATAAGAGTGGTCGTTGCCGGCTCTACAGTAGGGGAGCTTGCAATGCATTACCTCAACCGCTATGACATCCTCTGCATCAAGATCTTGAGTAAATTCGAACTACGGCGACTCTGTCGTGTGGTGGGTGCCACCCCTCTAGCGAGATTAGGCGCTCCAATGCCGGACGAGACAGGAAATGTCGACGTTGTTGAGACGCTTGAAATTGGCGGTGATCGTGTGACCGTCTTTAGACAAGAAGACGAAGTAACAAGGACAGCTACTTTGGTACTGAGGGGCGCTACCCAAAACTTCCTGGACGATGTGGAACGAGCAGTTGACGATGGCGTGAATGTGGTAAAAGCCATAACCCGTGATCCCCGGTTAGTGCCTGGTGCTGGCGCAACGGAAATCGAGCTAGTTGGACGCATACAAGCGTTTGGTGAAAAGACTCCTGGTCTACCACAGTACTCTATCCGGAAATTCGGCGAAGCCTTTGAGGTTATCCCACGGACTTTAGCAGAGAGCGCTGGCCTCGATGCTACAGAAGTATTGAGCAGGCTTTATACAGCTCATCACAAAAAGGACGACTGGACCACTGGCGTCGACATTGAAGTGAGTGCTGTAATGTTCTGTCTGTCAGCTTCTCAACTAACATTGAACAGAATGATGACAGCACCGGTACCCTTGACGCTAAGGAGGAGGGTATATTAGACCTCTTGGTCAGCAAATCCTGGGCGATCAAACTAGCAACTGAGGCGGCTCGAACTGTGCTCTCGGTCGACCAGATCATAGTCTCAAGGCAAGCAGGTGGCCCCAAGCCTCCAGGGCCCAACCCAAACTGGGATGAGGATTAAAGGTACAAGGTGCTTATAAGGGGATTCTATCGGGTTTTAAAAATTCTAGCTACGGACATAGAAATACCGCCTGTGATACCAAGAATTCATCATTGTCAACGTGTCGCTTTCACTGTGGACTTTGTGTTCCTAACCCATATTGTGACGGAGGCAGAGAAGCCAACGGTAGCCGAGTTTTTGAACAGAACAAACTCTGAATAGCTATGTTGTCAAATCAAACAAGGAGCCCGAGAATAAGTTTATGCTGTGTCTGTATTCCAACGCCACCTGCGTTGGGAGAAGCAAATTTCACTTTTAATGCCTTGATTATTCTTTCATGACAACGCTAGAAACATGATCCCCCGGCACATTCAATCTAGCCCTCAATGTGTCAATATCACGATAACCACAGTGCGACGCAGCCATCTTAAGCTTCTCAACCGAGAGGTCTCCCACCACTTAAACCAAGATCCAGGGCAAATAACGTCTCCAGAGAGAGATCAAGTTATCAAACGTTAGCACATACCGGCCATCAAGGAGGGAGGGGTCTCCGAAATTCAACTCCTCCGTGATTGCATTCTATGGTGCATCATCCTAGAAATTCGCGCTGATGAGTCACATTCCTCCCTTACAAAAGTCGGGGAACGTGGCGCAATCCGTGACAGTAATTGGTTTCAGGGGGTACCGAAAGTCGTTTTTCTTGAGGCTTCGATGCTAAAACATTAGTTTCAAGTAGCAATCATAAGGAAGAGTGCTAGTAAACGCCGTGACTGTTCCTTCATCACACATACGCGGAATACATTGGGTTTCTCGAAGGGGGGGAGACTTCTATTGAGGGTGGCATCTATGGCATAGATCTCATCGGATTCCGTTTCTCTGCCGTGGCGATCTTGCAACTGATAATTCCCGAACACAAGCCTGTAGTGATATACGGACCTTCACTTGGCAATGCTCATACTTATGCTCAAGCTTGTTCCCATCATCCCTGAAGGCCTAGCACAAAGCACCTAATTCTTGGATAACAGAGGGGGACAGGGTAATCATACACCTAGCTCTGTCATAACTTATTTATGGCTTCACGGCGATTTGTAACACTTACATATAGTACTATATGTCTCTGAAATAAACAATCACAAACCCCAGTGATGAAATGAGCAGTATGCCTATATACGATCATGGGGACTGATTTGTGTCGAACCTTAGACACCACCAACCAATGGTGAGCAACACGGTCTTCTGGAAGTTTCTGGGCAGTGTCGTAATTATCTAGTTTGAGACACGTTGCTTATGAACAAAGAGCCGGCCCATCCTTGCACCCTCTATCTGATCCGTGTCTTGTATACCGACAAGTGTGAACAATATCTGATAAGAATTCTTACTTCGCGGGACCGGGGATTTCCACCAGCTTATTCACGGTCACCTGGAAGTTATTCTACATGGAGTGTATCTCATATCAAGAACGGGCCAGGCAGGTTACCCAAGCAGTGGCGTCAAGTCTCCAATGATACAATTACGATGGAGGTTGTAGTGAGGCGACAGCCTGCTAACTTGCAATCCCACATCCCATTGCAACCACATCCGTAACATTGATGCTACTAAATATATGCACGTACATACAGTTGGACTACTGTGGATGGAGCTGATCCGGTGATCGTATCTCCTGCGAAAGACTAAAACAAAAGGAAATTCAAGCAGCGTTCGCATTCCGAATGAGATACGATCTTCATTCATCTATGATGATGGTGCATACCTACATCACTACTCTGACATTGAACATGTTCACCTGATGGTGGCGAGCTAAGATACACACCTCATCTAAGTGCAGTAGGCTGGTGGGCGCAGGACTCTCTGTGAGCGTAAGAGGTTCCATCTGACCTGTTTGAAGGCTTGATCATCATCTTTCTTTGGAATATGCAGATAGGTGCTGCACGAATGAGGCGCCATAGAGTCCGGACAGAACCACGTGCCACAGGGGTGCGGGATGACTACTGGTAGTTTGCTTTTCCCCTTGGAGGGTGAGAAGGGCCGTACATTAGACTGCTCGATGTCCAAAGCTTCCTTCAGGATTCCTGTACGGCACAGATCTTGATAACATGCCGACACCTATGGATATAAGTACGTGGATACCTATAGGTCCGGCTGTATCTATTACGCATGTACCTAGGTAGTTACTATTATCTGTACCGCCCAACATACATATCATGGAAATAGGAACGCAGATATTCTGCAGATGTCCGACAGGCGTAGGTGGATTTATCCAGCGAGGCAGCCAACTACGTGCAAATATGCTGTGCCATTCTGTTGCCTGGCAGGTGTGGGACAAGACGGACAGTCCCTAGATGCAGGACTAGAATATTTCATGATACCTACACAGTATAAGGCAATTAATACATGTAAATCATTTAAGGCGTTGCAGGTACAGGCTTAGGAATACCTAGCTTATCTGCACACGGCTCTTGGTAACGCGTAGATTGCGTGTGCTACTGAGCATCTCTCCGTCAAACCCGCCCTTTGCCACAGCACAGATGTGACCGGCAGGACTTCCTAGCCGGCAGCATTCCATGCGTGCTTGGTTAAGCGTCTACTGTTATCCGTGGAGCGAAGGGGGGGTTAGACGGATTCCCGAAGGATTGTCTTCAAGCTGCAATATCGAATCCCACGACCGCGAGTCCCCCTGCGATGCTGCTTTCCCACAAAATTCTGATTGGGTGGGATCAGACATCCTCCGTATCGCCACACAGTCCCGAAGCAAGACGATTCAAGGTGTGGTAGGTACAGGATCGCCGAGTTAGCTCTCCGTCCACCCTCTCCTCTCATCTGACATCGTCGACGGTTGGAAGGGGTAGTCGCCACGATGTGTGTGGGTGGTAAGACTTTTTTATGCCTTGAGCACTTGCATCTGTGCATCAAATGGCCCTCATTGGATATCTGCTAAATTGTGCTCTCGTTACATATGTCCATTTTTATGCCGGTCTTGACCTGGCACATGGCTCAGCTGAAAGCGGGAGCACAGATTATGCATCCGGGATGCAACATGTTGCCCCCCCAGATGGCTACCTGCCCGTATATTACCTATGCTACTTGGCCTGTAGTTGTAAATCGGCCAATGCTGGCTCGTGGTAACGAAGGCACAGATGTTAGTACAATATGTATTGTGTCCAGTTCCCCTAATTTCAAGCCAATTGGTCAAATGGTCGGTGAGACTTCAAGAGTTCACTCTCACCATCAAATGATCTACCGAGTGTAAATATGCAAAATCCTCCGCTGCTAGGATAGTTATAGTAGTAAGCATCATCGACGCCGATTGCCACGTGCTCTTAGGAGGGAGCTCTTAATGGGGGAGGGGAGGGGGGAATTAACTACCTACCCGAGACAGACGGGATGTGGGAAGCGGCATTTGGGGGAGATCGAACACTCTAGCCGGCGGAGATATTCACGAAGCTAGCTAGTGTACGATGCAGAAAGAGAACTCTACGAGCCACCTGCTTAAACCGGCTTGAATCATCACGGCTCCATGGCGTATAACTCCCTAGGCGGGTTTCCCCTTCATGACGGGTACTAAGGAACGGTGAAGGTTTGTATCATCGTCGACTACCACTGCCGACACACGATCCCACGCACTTCCCACATTGGGACTGGTTTCTTTGACATGGGATGGTAGATCAAACCTGATAAGACAATGCCTAGAGCATCTAGGTCAGGAATACCTGACATATACTATGTAGGTATAGTAGACATTATTCGATATTCTCTATATATGAGTGAGATCCATCCTCCGGCACAAGAAACGTGGGGTTTCAGATGGGGGATCTTAATAAGTACCTGCTTATAGTAGATAACGAAAAAAGAAAGAGGTGAGCTTAGTGCAATAGGGTTCTTGTAATATACCAAGGTATAGCATTACTTACGAAGTACAGCCAGGTCGATCGTAGAACGCAGGAACAGAAACAGTTTTGTTCGCTCTAGTGACGACGATTATCTATGAGTACCTACACTCGGTAGTGGCGGTGAGCGAGGGTTGCAACGCCATGATTGAACGATGTAACGACTTGACTCGGATTCTTGTATTATTTTCGCCTACCATGGTCGACATCAGTACTAGGTATGTAGACCAAAAATGGGGCATATCTCCAGACTTTACTTACTCCAAAGCGTTGAGCAAGATGATCCACACAACGATAGAGCGGCGACAAGTGCGAGCGCATAAGGATAGAAAGGGCATGAGTTCAGAATACCAAGCTTGTAGATCAATCATACTGAACGCTCTATTAAGACTCCAGTGCCTGGCCATCGATCCTCCAGGAACGGGATGAACTACCTATACTACATTACTACTGTAGGTACAATAAGAGGGCACATATACTACGGTATTATATGAGAGGGGTATGAGGGGTTGCTTTTTCTCTGTGTGGTAGGTATAAGTGAAGCTTTCACTCCCTACACATACATTGCTTACATTAACACCACACGAAAAACCCCTGGTCTCGTATACGCTTCCCCAGCAAAAGAAGCCGAGATGATGTACACTACAATACCTAGGTATAGTAAATGGGGTCGTGGACCTACCTAGCTTAAGTACTTGCATAGTACAATTGTAGAGATACTGAGTTGCAGAAGATAAGTAAGCGCTTGAGCCCACAATTTCAGGAACGTCGAGAGCCTGGAAACGTCCTACAACTGGTTAGCGCATTCCTGCTTCTGCTCGAAGATGGTACCGAGATGTCGTGGTTTACATGGGTATAGTACAGACAGATACGGATAGCTAGGTACTGTACAATGCAAATAACTCTCCGAGCTGGGTGTTAGTTACGGACATAACCTGTCTACTGTACTTATGTATGTAATGTAAGCACTGAATTGGGGGTTAATCGACTGAGCACGAAAAGCCTCAACATAAGGGAGTAGGAATACACAATCTGGGTAAGTAGGAATGATGATTACGCTACTGCTCTTGACAGGTCACACACAATGTGACCGCATGTGACGCATGTCCCAGGTGAGGATGAACTGCCTAGGTAAGTGCTCAGTACAGAGTACATACGCTAAAGGCTTCTCTGGCGTGTTCGGACAATTGATTTCGCCATCGCCATCGCCATCGCCATCGTCAATGTCAATGTCAACGTCAACGGCCAACCCACATCGCCTTATCCACCGTACTCGGACCAAGATCAAGCATTCCGAGTTAGTGTAGAAGCATCTCGTTGCTCAGTGCAACGGTCGAGACTCAAGTAATTTTCCCCGATTGAGGACCGCCACTAACAGGCGTCAAGCTAGAAACATGAAGGAATACAACTAGTGTAGCCGTTTCGAAGTAGTAGCTTGCCCATTCCTCTCACCCTGCTACTAGCCGAGCCGTGAATGCCGTCGAACATACAGTACATACATAGTAAACAGCAGTACGTGTAGATATCGAGACCATACAGAGTACCTACCACTACCTATGATGCATACACTATTAGGTACTTAGAAGTACATTCATAGAGGTAGGGAGACCATGGTAGGATTTCTTATCAAATTGACTAGGACAAAGGAAATGAAGACTACTGTAGGTACGCGTCTAAATGACCTATGGTGCAACTACCTGCCCTGGCATCACTCTGAACTTGCCAATATATTAGGTAAGATGCTTATTGAGCAGTTCCCGCCTGTCACTGATGATACCCATTGTCGTTTTCGATAAAAGTTACCGAGATCACTCTCTCTTAATAGACACTATAGTAATTAAAATTTTTTTTTAACATTAATATTGCCAGATATTTAGCTGTACCTACCTCTTTCATTGCATGTGCTGCCGCCCCTGTACATGTAAGTCAAGGCGCCTCGGGGCCCCGGTGATGAACTCTTGGTTCGTTGGCCCTCGGCCCTCTCGCCTGTTTAATCCATGTCAGAGGATCAACCTACCTACCTATTGCCGGGGTCACGACGGCCGCCGCAGAGATTTCAACACTAGAACTATTGCTTAATTTTGATTATGTTCATCGAAAGCTCGCTTGCAAAGGCTTCTAAGCGAGCGAGCGGGCAGTGGGATGATCTTGAAATATTCAAAAGCAGCTTTTGATCTGTGCGCACCGTTGGTAATGTACACGTACTGATACCAATGCCCTACTGGACCCTGTTCCACTCTTAATGTACACCCATTCAGGGGCACGCTTTGGACTTGTGACGTTAGTGCTACCGTTGCTACCTACTATGTATGTACATTCTTTATGTTTGCATCTGTGGAGGGCATCCCTTCGAGCTCCTGTGGAACGGGTCAAAGGAAACGCCTCTTGATTTTTCATATGTTCGTATCTAGCAGAACTTGGCATAGTCAAATATTACGATAGAAAGACTCTTCACCTTATCAAGTGCGTAGACAAGGCAAGAAATACCAAGAGAATTTGCAACGTTACTCTACTCTGCCTTCAATGAGCCCATTCTTGTGGTATTTGCTTGTAGCGGCAGCAGCACCAGCGATTCGTATCACACTACTAATCAAGCGCCATACTACCTGTTACCTGTATCTGCCTGTGCCTACACTACCTATGTTTCCTAACGTGTGACTACGCCCAGTTGTCAAACCCACGAGATTTACTATGTAGAACAGGGGTATTATACAGTAAGTAGAGTACATTAGATGCTACTCGTATACCCACTCAGGACAGTATCAGTCTAGTATACTCCGCAATCGTATGGCCATACATAGTATACTTATGTATTGATACCTATGCTGGTCATGACGAGGGTTTGGATCCTGAGCACTGCCTGAGGTTTGAGATACGACGCCCTTGTATTCATTTCACTCCATACTTACGTACAGTAGTGAACAGCCGGAACCTGCAAACCATACTTACTTACAAGTGAGTACTCTATGGTGTCTTTCCGAGTGGTTGAGAGAGGCGCTCCCTGCCATGTGTTATCGTTGCATGCCAAGGTCTTCACGATACCGAAGTAGGCAGGTGAATTCCACTCAAGTGGACTATTTCAGTCTGGTCTGGTTTAAGTGTTTCTGATCTTGAATGGCTGCTTGTGGGGGCGGGCTACTAGTACTTATCTTGTTATTGACGAAACATACTTCTATGTACGGGCGAGCTAACATTTCGAGCTTGTGGCATAGGATAGCTAGGGGAGGGAAGAAGAAAGAAACGGGAGCGTTGCTATGTCTGGATGATGTCTTGAGAGAGGTGTTGGCCAACGAGGCTCAATTAGTATTTTGTTTATCACTTCTTTCCCATTCCAATAGCGTAAACGCATCGTCACGGCGGGGTTCGACGTAAATGCACATGTTAAGAGCACGCAATATAGCATTACGATGGTGATGATTTGGAGAGCTCTCTTCGCAATGAGATTGGTAATTGACGACATTGTTTATAGACTGCTAGCTTTCGTAATGGTATAAGCATGCGCTGTGTAGGAAAACATCTTGTTGAACATTTTGTTCCGCTGTGCATCTCGAAGACTTGGATATTAGGTACTGATCTCATTGCCTACGATGAACAAAGCGGGCGATTCCCGGGGATCCGAAACGGGCCGGACCCCAATCCAGCACGTTGCCGTGATCGGTGCAGGCATTAGTGGGGTAGTATCGGCCGCTCATCTCCTCAAAGAAGGCTTCGGGGTGACAGTGTTCGAGAGAACTGATAGAATAGGTGGCGTTTGGTGCTACGAGGAGCGAGTTGATCGAGATCCGTCATTCCCCAACCTTGTTCCCCCAGCACAGGATTGGGCAGACGTCGACGCAGAGAACCTGAGCAAAGATGAGGCCTTGATATTGCATGGGCCTCCAGGACCATGTTATGCCGGCTTGAAGAATAATGTTCCGACGTCACTAATGAAGAGTAGTCTCCTTCCTTGGGTGGAGGGGACAGAAGAGTTCATCGATCAAGGTCGTATAGTTCATTATCTACAGGATATAGCCAGACTGTACCACGTCACAGAGAATGTGCAATTTCATACGCGAGTAGAAAGCGTGACGAAGCCGGCAGATAAGTGGATTGTTAGGACAAGTACACTCCGATTAGAGGCTGACACATTCTCTATCTCACGGAAAAGTGAGAGCTTTGACCGAGTTGTGGTAGCCAGTGGCCATTACAATATCCCGTTTGTACCGAATACTCCTGGGCTGTCAGGCTGGAAAGCTCGCTTCGCAGGGCGTGTCATTCACTCCAAGAGCTATCGCACGCCTGAACCATTTAAGCACAAAACCGTTCTGCTCGTAGGTGCGGGCGCTTCGGCCTTGGATATAGCACGTGAGGTCTGCGCCGTGGGCGGCAAGGTATACCAGAGTAGGCGCGAGTCGAAATACGACCTTACCGGGCCCCGTCTCCCGCAGGAGGTCGCGAGAGTTGCGATGGTGGCCGAATTCATTGCACACGGGATCGACTCGTCGGAAGCTCCATGGGATGAGCACAGTCAAGGTGTGATTCCAGGCAAGGTCGTGTTGGAAGATGGAACGACCTTGAAAGATATAGACTATGTGGTGATAGCGACGGGCTACATTACGTCATACCCGTTCCTCGAAGGCTTGGAGCAGCCGCATGTAGCCTGGGAAGATGCGGACGAGACGGTACTGATCACGGCGGACGGATATACAACACACAATCTCCACAAAGATATTTTTTACATCCCTGACTCCACGCTGGCGTTCATCGGTGTTTCAGCTCTCGTGTCGACGTTTTCACTGTTTGATTTCCAAGCTAAGGTGATGGCCAAGGTGTTTGCTGGCCATGTTCAGCTACCAGCCGACTCCATAATGAAGACTGAGCAAAGGGAACGCAAAGCTCGTTTTCAGCCGGGCGACAGGTTTCACGCCTTGCTCCGGGGGGAACAGGATTACATTGGCGAGGTTTTGACTTGGGTGAATGCCAGTTTGACAAGAGCTGGTATGCCAGCGATGGAAGGGATGGATGCGAAGTGGCTCATGGCCTATGACAACTTCCATGCTAACCGCCTTTGATAACGGTGATGGGTGGGTGGCTGAGGGGTAGGGCTGTTGTACACTACCTACTGAGTCCTGAGTATGAATGATGACGGCTACAAAGGATCGTCGATTTGCATACGCGTACGGAGGACGCAGTGTCTAGACAAAGAGATATTAATAGATCGACTCACATGAGATGATGAGATGAGATGACGGCGGGGTTGATGTCGCCGGTGCATGGAGATTTATATATACAATACACAATTGGGCAGGTCGGCATTCAACGTGCCTACGAAACCCGAGCTGAAGGTTTCAAGTTTTGAGGATGGCTTCGATTGCGGATTGTGGCGCATTAGCAGACCCTCCAGGAAGTGTACTCCCTAGATAGCACATACCTATTTAGGTATACTCTCGAACTTGGTGATATTCATACACGTTTACTGTGGACAGACTGTGGAGGACAGGTTACTATTCCAAGTTTCAAGGGCGGCTTACATTAAGAACAGGTTGGATTTGTTTCTGTCACTGCGGCCTCCCGAGTACAGTAGCGCACATTGAATTTCGGGTATAAGTCTTCGCTTCTACTATGTATGGGCTTAGATGGATGACTCTAGATGACGCTGGGTTGCTACTTCGTAAGGTCAGGACCAAGGCTAATCTAAGCCGCGATCTGATTTGGACAGCCAGAACGCTCGGAATCCGGTACCTGGGCTTTTGTGTGACATACCATACCGAAACTGCCGGTACACTACTATGTAAGTGCATCATGTAACACGTGGGTACGAGGGCACCTCCACTGTCTCTGGTATTAGCATGCCGACACTTTGTCATTATTACATACAGTAGTACCTACTCTGTAGTACTAGCATTGTGATATTGTCATTATCATCTTGATCCTATGCAGATGTAAGGAGTTTGCTTTGCAGTGTTGGCTCCTTGTTTTCTTGAGCTTGGAGGACGTTGTATTCTGACTTGGTTGGGTGACATAAGATGTATGGTCTTTTTTCTTCTGTCAGATCTACGTGTACCTGGTGCACTGTAATTCTCCGTTAGAGATTCAATGCTCACTGATTTTGTAGATCTCAGCGGTCAAACAACGTTGGCTTAGGTACTTAAAAATGTATCTACCGTGCTATATACCAGCTGACTATCCGCCATCGTATGCCTATCTTATGTTGGTAGTGTAGATGGCATACACATAAGCCACCAGCATACTTAAGTAAGTAGACCTGCATCCTCTTACTGTAAGTTCTTGGTACTTCTTACTAGGTGGTGTTTTGAACTTCACTGCCGTCCTGATTGGTGATCTGCAGTGCATCGAAGGCTCTGCGACCCCATCTTCTTTTTTTCCGAGGGACGCTGGTTGTCACGGGCGTATGACACTACACACACTACGGTAGGTATAGGTAGCCTACTGCAGTCGCCGGTAGTCTGATACTCCTCGCAACCCAAAAGTTTTGCTCGCAGGGATTCTGATTTCCGGAGACATGGACTGCGTGAAGCCTAATCCCATTTAAAGACTGGCTCTAGACTTTACGCATATTACATACTGTATATATGTAGGTAGGCAGGTATAGGTACCTAGTATCACCGGTCCGTAGCCCGGGTCAGGGGGCTCTCCTCGGCCCTCTTGCTCTCTCTCGCCGGGCTCTACCGAAATTCCGGTATTTTCTCTATTAGGTCAAAGTCTAGATATTATCCTATGTACACTACGATGAGCGATGAGGCGGGAAGCATGTCTTTTCTTACAACCTAAGGCTTCACTTTACTACTCCTACAATCTAAATACCTCTGCATATAGAGGCTACTCGAGCTACGTCCCATGTAATTGTCATCCGTCAAGTTAGGCTTTGCATACGTAGGGCCGTACTTGCTGTGAATATGATGCATTATCCAGTTCAGTCACAGGTCACAACTTGGAGCGTAACAACCTGTGACATACTATACTTATACATGTACACTACGGAGTACTTACTATTAGATACTTATATAAGCGAGGGATATCATCACCAAACAGGTCAAGGACCTATCTTTGTAACTAACTTTGTAACTAACCCTAAGCACAAGTATGTTTCAGTTAGAACAATGAGCGGGTTGAACTCAAGTTAAGTGAGTAAGTGCCAATAAGTTATAAGTACTAGCTAGCATGCGCGACATGCTATCCATACCTATCAACCCGGGCTTCTTGTAGCACACAGACGATGCATCTGCAGGAGTAAGAACTGCCAAGTGTGATGAGAGTCGGATACGCAGCTTCCACAATTGTGACACCTTACTTACTACTACATGTATGTAAATGGCTCAAGTACCAACATGCCAGTACTTTCCTACCTAGATTACTTAAGTACATTTAAGAAGCCCAGGATTAGTGTTACGAAGGGTTACCGGTATGCACTGAGAGCGATCGCTACAAACATGGATACCCTTACAGTTGAAGTACCTAAGGTATCTATCTATACAGGTACCTACACTACATATAGGTAGAGAAAGGGAGGGAGGCAGACCAGGAATCGATGTGGAGGGGTAAGGGTCCCATGTGAGCAGCGACCCAGGCATCATATCCTACAGTACAAAGTAGGTGGGGGTTGGTACTACTCTAGGTAGTGTAGGTAGGTACCTAGAGTGATAGGTACCATAGATTCTGTACTTACGAAGTAGGTAGTATGTAGCCTGGGCAGATGCTCGCACAAAATAGGCAAGCTAGCTGCTCTTGTAAGCGGAATACCTACCACATTAGGTTAAGTACTTAGAGTTACAGTAGATGCGGGTAGCTCTCATTAACACCTCTCTGCAAGGCAAGGCACACTACCAGTCGTCATTTTCGATAGTGTACGCTGCTTACAGTCCACTAGGTAATATAGGTAAATTATAGCGGCAGACAGCCGTTTTCCTCTCTACCTAAGGTAGGTACTCTAATTAGTTGGCGCATCAATTGATTGTAGTAGGTCTTGGGGTGTGCTAGTCTCTATTTTCGCCTTTGTCTCTCTGTCCTTGGCTGCCTTTTCCGCTTCGTCGCTCCTTTGAGTCAGAGTCGCCACCCTTATTCTCTACTCAGATACCTTTGAGGTAGGCCAAGTAAGTGGGCAACTGAGGCAGTCAGTCAAGTACCTAGTTTCTGGCATAGTTTCGCGACAGAGCTCCCGTTGCCACACTGTATCCCTGTTGTTGCTGAGGAGCATTAACACGCCTTGCTATTACCGGAGTCTGACTGGAGCTCTTTCCAACGCTCAAAGCCCATCTCTGCTCATCCACGTCCAGACAATGTCCTAACGGCGTGACGAGCTATTGGTCATTGAATTACCCACCCAGGCAGGGTAGCGCAGCGGGGACCGAGTGGTGCCTGCCTGGCTCTGGCACGCTACAATACCTACTTACTTACTTAAGTAGGTAGTGTACCGGTACTGTAGAATAAGTACCTCGCCATGGCTGACTGGGGGTGTGTCGGACGAACAAAGGCCAGGGCAGTCTGCGCCAGGAGCCGAAGAACCGTTGAGAAGATGACCTCTCCCTTTTCAGGCGTTCGCTTCGCTCAGCCCAAGACCATCCGGCTCGAAACATCTTTTTCCCTTTTTCCCTTTTCTGCCCAGACAGAACGCCATCAGGCTACCTAGCTCGACCCGAGCCATAGCGTAGGGACGCTCTCTCGGCCGTTTTCTCATCATCTTGCGCGCCCCAATAGCGTTGTGCTGGTATCTCGAGCAAGCCACTCGCTGCTTGTGCGATTCACCACCAGACGTCTCTGCTCCTTGCTTGGTCGACTGGCTGATCACCCTACATATCCCGAAGCGCTATCTAGAAGGCGGGCGCATTGTTTCTGAAGTAACCCGGCGATCATCCAACCCGACTGAAGCACACATATACACATCTTCCATCGAGACCACACTACTTCGTGCGACAGCGAATTGCTTCTAGGACATGTGCTATCGCCCTTTACCAGTTTCTCTGTTACGGCATTGAGGATACCACCTTTTGAAACAGTCTTCCAGGGGGCACCCGACGAGGTGTGACGGTATCCGACCACGCATCCATCTTACCTCTTTACCCACTTACTGGGACGACCCACGCATTCTGCATTTGGATGCCACATCCATCCTTCTTCTTTTCCTTCTTACCAGTAGTACATCTCTTACCTTGTTAGTATTTATCGCCACATGTTTGGTAATCGATCCTCGTCTAAGGAGCACCGGTTTCTTGAGGGCCAGGTTTCGGCCTTGCGGGAACTCAACCTGTTTAACCCCGCCGACTCACATTCGCTCCGCTCTCTGCGCAAGAAACAAGAGGACTGGGCTAGTACTAACAGTGGCCCATCTTATACGGAAAAGAGTAAGTAACACGCATTTAGTTCCAGTCACAGTCATAGATACCGTATGCTTTGAAGCTCCTAAGACACACCCATTAGCACGGCCACCTTGTCTTACCTATGACTGCGCATTGCTGATTACTTCGATCCTTTTAGGTCATCTATTGGGTGCGCCTTATCGTCAGTCGCCTCATCGTGCGCCGTCCCATCGATCATCCGCCTCCCGAGGCTCTGCGAATTCGAGGGAAACCGTGCGTCAGAACCCTACGATGTCCGGCATGATGAATACAGATAGGGGTCGCAATAGGCGAGAAAGGACCTTTGTTGGCAGCGAATGCGCCGTATGTGAGGAGCCGCTGGAGCATACGCTACGTGGAGAGAGAATTCTCCAGTTTTCCTGTTCACATGTCTCTCACGAAGCTTGCTTTTATGAGTTTATCAAAGAGTTTGATTCTCAATATTGCCCTTCATGTAATGCACCTTTACATTTGGACACTAGTCGTGGAGGCAATGTCCTGGATATTGGTAAGGGAGATGACAATCCTTGGTACGTGGACGAGGTGCTGATCACACCTAAACAGAGAAAATCACGAGCATGGTACGCTCTACATCTATAAGCGACAACAGATCAGTGACTACTCCCACACCCACGACCTGGGAGGGTCAGTCCGGGCGACCGCCAAGTGGGGAGTCTAATGCGCGGTCTCTACCTAGCAATGGTCGCGAGAGTGTGGCAAGAAATCACGTTCAAGGACGAGATGGATATGCGGGCGGTCGAGGTCATGGTCGCAGTGATAGTGAAGCAACAGGAGTCGCGTCTTCTGGAGGCTACCCAGAGACCACACAGAGCGGGCCACCTCCACGCCGTCACGACTACGACTTGCAGGCTATGGAAACGACACCGGGTAGCCCGAGGGCCATCACGCGTAACCCAATCCCAGCACCTTCTGTTGTAGTGCGGTCAGAATTTCCAACCATCAATCGCTCGCGACAGCAGCAGACGCTTACATGTCTTGTGACGGTGGAGGTTGCGGACAATAAATGGAGGCCAGACCCTGAGGATCTTGGTATACCCAATCTGACGCCGCAAATGCGAGTTGAGGAAGCGTTTAGTCCCCCAAGACCACCATCGCCGGCACGGAACACTCAACCACGTTTCTACCCATATGAAGCACCGGGGGTTCTGGAAGAAATGACCGAGACTCTGCGGAACAAGGTCGATAATTGGCACGGATTAGAGTTTAACCGGTGAGTTATCTCATGCGCACATATATTGCTCGTCAGCTGGGAGTCAATACTAATAACGATCAGGTTTGGTAAACTTCGCCTCTATGGTACTCTGCGTGTTGGAAAAGACAAAATCTCGTGGCAGGAATTAGAATGCTTCTTGTTTGCTGAAATGCTTATATGTGTGAAAGAAAAGAAAATCCCCCCTGCGGCACAGCAATGGGATGAGAATGGGATACCCAGGAAGACAACGAAATGCACCTTGAAGGGTTCTATTCTCATCAAGAAGCATTTGAACGAGGTAATGGAAACTGGCTCAGGTAAGACTTAATTTTTTTTTTTGTTTGTCTTCGTTTTTTACGGCCAAGAGGGAGACAGTACCTAATATCTGAGCAGTTGATGAGAATATTCTAACATTGAGCCTTTCTGTTACCGAGCTTCCTCAGTTCCACCTCCGTTTCGATAATCGTAATCAGTTGAAACTTTGGCAACAGGCTTTACTTGATCTAAATGCGATAGAGGGCTCGCCTGTCAGAAGCCCGGGGTTTGAACGTGACCGAGCTGAAACCTCGGAGACTGACGAGGAGGACTGGGCTCGAGGAACACGTCCTCAACGGGTTTCCTCCCTCGCTTCCTCCTCATGGGGTGGTCCTAAGTCGGTCACCACGGCACCGACCGAGTACACAACTTTCGCCAGAAGCCCATTGTCAACCATCCATGTACCAATCGACGTGGTTGTTGTGGTGCCCATCTCATCTTCAATGCAAGGGGTAAAAATCAACTTGGTCCGAGATGCATTGAAGTTTATGGTCAATACTCTGGGGGAACGCGATCGAATGGGATTGGTCACCTTTGGATCAGGGGGAGGTGGCGTCCCCATCGTGGGAATGACAACGAAGGCATGGCAAGGATGGAACAACATCCTCAGTTCAATCAAACCAGTGGGACAGAAAAGCCACCGGGCGGACGTTGTGGAGGGGGCTAACGTCGCAATGGATCTGCTGATGCAACGCAAATATAACAACCCAGTTGCGACTATTATGCTTATCAGCGACGCATCTACATCTGATGCGGATAGCGTCGATTTTGTTGTTTCACGGGCTGAAGCTGCGAAGTATGCCAGCATCCTCCCATTTTTTGAGAATTGAGGCTAATTAGAAACAGAATCACGATACATTCGTTCGGACTTGGAATGACGCATAAACCGGATACAATGATCGAACTCTCTAGTCGGACAAAGGCGTCATATACCTACATCAAGGATTGGATGATGTTGCGGGAATGTCTGGCTGGCTGCCTTGGCTCGGTCCAGTCACTATCACATCAAAACGTTAAGCTCAAGCTTAAACTACCGGAGGGCTCGCCAGCGAGGTTCCACAAAATCAGCGGTGCGCTCCAGATCACCAAACGTGCCACGGGCCGGGATGCAGAAGCTTCACTGGGTGATCTGCGGTTTGGTGACAAGCGAGACATACTTGTGCAGTTGGTCATAACACCTGATACAGCCTCTCAAGAGCAACTCCCTCAAGACCCTTGGGAAACCATTGTGTCTGGACTAGAGGCTCTAGGTGGGCCAATGGACCATGACGACCAGAGAGCGATTTCGGTAGAGGAAGTCCCTCTGATCCAAGCAGATCTGGTATGGGGCGATATCTTGCGCGACGGCACAATGATGCACCTGCCTAGACCATCTTTGCTTGCTATCACCATCCTTCCAGCAGTCGGTAACCCGAAGAAAGCTTCTTGGGTGAACAACCCTCCAATTCCACCACACCCTCATATAGTCCAGCGACGTATGGAATTATTGACGTCAGACATGCTTACTCGCGCCCTCACACTTGTCGCTAGAGGACAGCATGAGCGTGCGTATACGCTTTTGAATGAAACACGCTCAATTCTAAAGGGGCTTGGAAAAGGAGGTTTACCACCGGTTCCTGCTGGCCCCGTCCCACCATTGCCGGGTAAGCAATCCAACCCTTCTACACCGCATCCCGGCCTAGATCCATCACCTACGGGCACGCCTGATCGAAAACATTCGCCCTCGCCAACTGCTTCAGCACATTCGTCAGGAGGAACTACTGGATATGCGCCGCCCATTCCACGCAGCCGGTCCAATGATGGGCTAGCTTTGACCAACTCGGTCGCAGTCGACGCCGTCACAGTTTCAGCTTTGGACGCCGAACTCGAGGCTAGTTTAGAATGGATCAACCACCCTGCTATCTTCAGTCGCGACAACCGCAAGGCAGTTCTTCAGGCTATCGGTGTTATTAGCAGCCAGCGAGCATTCACATTCCGCACGCCTATCGAGAGTCTGTGGGCCTCGAGGGTGGGAGGTGTGAAGCGTTTAACAGAACGAAGTCGTGAATGGAGGGAAGAGGGCGGGGCAGGTGGTGAGGGGATTATCGAAGAATCTTAAGATTCTTGCTCCTTCTCCTAACGAACACAATTTCCTCATTTTACACTAAATTCGAGCAACGCATATGGCTAGTCAACCATCTCTCGCGGAACTTATTTGGGGCGGAGCGTATCTGAACCCATTTTGCCAACCATCTATGATTTATTATATACTTTGATCGATACCAACCTATCGTCTAACGGCTTCTTTTTTTCTTTCTTTTTTTCCACTTCCTCTTCTTGAATAGCCGAGGTCTCTCTTCTGCATTTGCGCCCTGGGCACTTTTACGACAGCTTCAAAGATACCATTCTCATTCTCCATCACCGCAGTGCTACGATTGCATTAGCAGAGCCTTTGATTTTCGTTATTATTTTTTGGCGATTATACGATAGCGCAATGTAACGGTTGTTTTATTGGAAAAGCCCAGGTTCGGGCCTTGGTTGGATAGCAAGGCAGCGATCGTTCTCTCATATACTCATTTGTGACAGCCTACAAAACTTTGTACCAGTGTTGTGTGAAGGAGTATAAGGCGCGAGTACTTGGGGTAGGGAACATGGCATGATTGGAACACATTTTGTCTTGTCGATCGCACAGGCGCACTCCATCTCTTACTAGCTATATAGCATGTATGAATATTACGACTCAAAACGGGTTTCAAACGTACAGATTCTTCTTACCCTATTTTGGCTTTCAGAGTATGATATGGTAGGGATTTTCTCTATCCTAACCTGTGAAACTGTAGTAGCTAGTCGGGAAACCCTATGTGGCCTCATTCGTTGTTGAATATATACGTGAGTGAGTTGCACCCAGAGTCGTGGTGTTTCATTCATAGCCAAAGGGCAGATTTGGCGCCCCTTCGAACATGTAAGTTTTTAAATTGTTTCCATGCCAAGATATACCACTCACTGTATTCCCTTACAGGGAAAGACCTTGGCAGGTACAAGGAAGCCATCATCGTTGTAATAAATCTAAAGTTACAAGTAACTAGGTTTTAAGTAAGCATTTCCACTTTGTTCCGCGGTCATATCCAAGACATGGCGAGAGAATAGGCGAGACAAGACGCTGACTCGGCTAATTTTCTTACGTCATGACGGGCCGTTGCGCATAGGTAATGCACCACGGCGGCGATGCCGAAGCATCACAGCTCGCGCATCCCGTCCGTCGGTTAGACTAAGTCAGTCCACTTTCGCTCCAATCTGTCGTGGTAATTAGCGCGTAGTGTACTGTGTCGAGTGTGTCGCGTGTCTTGCTGACTGGAAGGATTGAGCTATCTTTTTTATTACTTGATCGAATACCCTTTGCGGTGATGATAGTCCTCCGCAATGGATACTCGAAGATCGCATACGGATTAAGTTTACAGATCTAATTGATACTATGCAGGTCCCTACCTAGGTAGGCTACGAAGTAGTTTAGATCTGATCTGATAAACCTTTTTTAGAAGAACATACCTAACCTACGTATCTGCACTCTCTCTGCACTCTCCACACCATACATAAATCGGGAGCCTTTTCTCATACTGTCGCACTTGTTCTTCAAACGTACACCAAAGTAAAAAGGTCAAAAAGAACGCACGAGGATAGGTAGAAGGAAAGACAAAAGTCAAAAGGCTCCCAGCTGTATGCTGCTTGGTTGTCTCTTCATTCGCTCCATCTCTTCCTCGATCGCGACACTACTCTTTTACATATCTACGTGATAGACCACTTTTCTCGTTATTGCCGTTCATTAGCACTGTATATTCCCCCAACATGACGGACGTTAAGATGCCCGACATTGTCGGCGACGAGCCTAAGGCGGCACCAAGCGATGACGCGCCCGATATCGAGCGTCCAGCCTCGAGCGGCACCGAAGTCACGCAGGAGGGTGTGAAAGCAATGGAAGCTATATCGATGACTTGGTCGAAATGGGGTCTGGTCGCCGCGTACTTTGGCATCTTCCTCATGGCCTTCACCACTTCTCTCGAAGGACAGGTCACATACAATCTCACCGCCTTTGCAACAAGCTCATTCAGTAGCCACTCGCTCATTGCCACCGTCTACGTTATCCAAGGAGTGGTTAATGGTATGTATGTCTGAAAGCAAGCAAGCAGAAGGGCGAACGGCTGACTGACTGTTTAATTAGCTGTCATCAAACCGCCCATGGCTAAGATCGCCGACGTATTCGGCCGGCTCGAGGCGTTCACGATATGTATCATCTTATACGTGCTCGGCTACATCCAGCAGTCCGCCTCAAAGAACGTCCAAACATTCGCAGCGGCACAAATATTCTACTCGGCGGGATCTACCGGTCTACAAATCCTACAGCAGATTTTTATCGCCGATACAAGTGATATGCCCAACCGAGCCCTATTTTCCAGTCTACCTGATACTCCTTTTCTCGTAACTACTTGGATTGGTTCCATAATCGCTAACGCCATCATCTCTACTACAACCTGGCGCTGGGGATATGGTATCTGGGCCATCATCTTGCCGGTGACCTTTCTGCCCCTCGCATTGACTCTATTGCTGAACACTCGCCGCGCGAGGAGGATGGGGCTGCAGCAACCCACGCGCAAGTTCGCGAAGGGCAAACCCTTGACCGTGGTTACCACATTTGTCACTAACCTTTGGAATGAACTGGACATCGGTGGTATCATACTGCTAAGCGCGTCTTTTGCTCTGATCCTCATTCCCCTAACGTTGACCAAGTCAGCTCCGGGCGGGTGGCAGAGCCCAACGATTATTGCCCTCATCGTGGTTGGCGGTGTGTTGCTCATCCTGTTCCCATTGTGGGAGAGCTCGAAAAGGCTCGCTCCACACCCCCTGATTCCCCTTGAGCTGCTCAAGTCGCGCACCTTCTGTGCAGGCTGTGGTATTGCCTTTTTCTACTTCAGTAAGTCGAGCAATCATTCCAAAAATCTTTCGCGCTGGCTCTTTCGTTTGAATTAATGAATTACCGTGCAGTGGTCTTCTACATGTCTGTCCAGCCTTACTTCTATTCGTATCTTCTCGTTGTGCAGCACCAAGGAGTCACAGCCGCAGGCCATATCACGCAGGTCTTTTCTTTCTCTTCGACAGTCACTTCCATAGTCGTGTCCCTCTTGATCAAGTATACGCGCCACTATAAGTACTTCGTGACGTCGGGCGCGTTGATCTACTTACTAGGCATGGGCCTGATGATCCGATACCGCACGATGAACACGACCGTAGGCTCACTGGTCGGAACACAGATCGCCGTTGGTATCGGCGGCGGTATGCTGAACGTACCGGCGCAGCTTGGAGTTCAGGCCTCGGCAAGTCACCAGCAGGTCGCAGCGGCGACCGCCGTGTTCTTAACGGTGCTCGAGATCGGTGGTGCTGTGGGATCAGCCATATCTGGAGCCGTGTGGACGCATCTCGTGCCCTATAAGCTGTCACAATATCTCCCCGCCGACGTGCTCTCTGAAGCAAGTACCATCTTCGGAGACGTCAACGTAGCGAGCGACTACACTACTTATCCTACCGGCTCGGCCGCTCGCATGGCCATCAACAGAAGTTATCAAGAGACAATGCATGTGCTTCTCACCATCGCTATCGCCTTCTGCGCGCCGATTGTCATCCTGTCGTTCCTCATGCGGGACTATAAGCTGGATGACATCAAGCAGGGGGTCAAGGGTAAGGTCATCGGTGGGGATACAGGTGAGGACGAGAAGAAATAGATAAATGTCTGAACATAGGAGTGAAAGCAGAATTTAAATCCAAGAACGTGCTATTTACGTTTTTAGTCAAGCGAGCATGAACGCGCACAACTATTCCAAGGTCTTCAGTGTTAGCTCAAAAGCAAAGGCAAGGATTCAGCAAGGCGTTGTTATCATACTACTCCCGTAGTAATGTAAGCAAGGTGTAACGGCATGAAGCCGCCGAATAACAAGGTCGATAGTAAGTGTATAGTCAAACCAATAGCTAAAGCATGCTCATGGTTTAAATTCCACACAACTAGGAATGGTAGAAAATGCAGAGTATTGGGTTAACATTGAATATACCAGAGGAGGTGCAGTACTCTTCTAGGACTAGTCCACCTTTAACTTCGATGAAAAATTGAGTAATAATGCATAATTAGTCAAGTTTCCCAAGTAAAGGCCGAATAGATAATAACATGCCATATGGCGATCCAACGGAACCGTTTTGTATTGGTATTTATCGCTCTAGATAGCGTGCTTTTACCGCTTTACGAAGAAGCCCCTCTTCTTATTCACAGCGACGCCAGTGCGTCCCCGCCGTAACAAGGCCTCCTTCGACCTGAGCGAGTTGTTGTCCGCCTTAGGCGCAAGCCGTGGATCGCCCTGCTGGGCTAACACACGATACCGCCTTGAACCTACGACCTCGTCCCGCGGCTTCTTGCCCTCGGCATCGAGGACCTGCATGGCCGTCTCAAAGTTGATCTTCTGCGGTCGCTTCAACATCTTCTTCAGCGCCGTCCCTTCGTCGTCCTCGTCGTCGCTCGAGTCCGTCAGGAACTCGACCGGTAGTATTTCAGGGGGCTTTTGTGTTCTCCTCTGGCGCTTTGAGGATTTATTCCGCTCATCTTCCTCCTTATCGTCCTTGTTGCTCTCGTCCTCATCGTCATCCTCTGATAGGTCCTCCTTTTTGGATGCACTGGGTTTCGTCCGTTTCCGCTTCTCAGCTTGTTGTTTGAGGAGGTCGTCTCGTGCTTGTCGTTTCCGCTTCGTTGTTGCTGCGTATCTAAGGCTTAGGTTAGCATCTTCTTCCTTCTTCCTGAGAAGTTAGGTGATAGTTTAAGAGAGAAAAAAACACGTACTCTTCGGCAGCTTTTATCGCGGCCTTGGCCGATTGCAGTGTCTCTTTCGCAGCCGCTACTGTCGATACTGCCTCGGGTGCCTCATCGTCACTGTCTTCCTGTCCTTCTTCGTCTTTATCCCCAGATTTGGCTTCTGCAACAGCCCCCTCCTTCTCTGCAGCTGCCGCGACGAATTTGTCTACGTCGTCATCATCTCCAAACACAACGTGCGAAGACTTGGTAGCTTTCGGCCTTGGTGTTGCCTCATTATCGGGTTCGGCTTGTTTCGACTGCGACTGTGACTCTGACTGTAGTGTTGTCTCCCCGCGGGTCTTTTTCGCGGAGCTACCCCGTGTAGATTTTGCTGTCTTCGGCACTGGTGTTGACTCTACACCAGACTCTCTCAGGCGCGATTGTGACGCCAGCTTCTGACTTGCTTCCTCCTCCAATTGCTTCGAAGCGCTTAAGGGTTCGAAGTTCTGATCCCCATCGTCGCCAGTATTCGCCTCCTGGGAGTCGGGAACGGGGCTCGAACGAGAGCGCGGGGTCTTGAGAGCTGAGCTGGGTATCTGAACCTCAATTGCCTTTTTCGTGCTCGATCCATCCTCTCGTATCCGAACTTCGAGCTTCTTGCTCTTAGGCGTCACTACTTTGGCATTCTCAACCCCACGTTCGTTCCGCCTGCTTCGTAGAGCAATCGGCTTTTCTAATGGTGTCTCGTTTGAGGCCACGGGTGTAGAAGTCGCCGATCCTTCTGTGGGTGAATTAGTTCCCGCCTTCGCAGCTCTTCTTGTAACCGGGGCCATAATGCGCTATAATCCAAACACGATAGACCTAGTTTGTTCGAGAGTTGTCTGTCGCAAGTTGCCTGAGTGCTCGATAATTGAGTGGGCTGCTCTCCCAACTTTTTTGCTTGATGATAAGATAAGACTCCAATGCCTTGATTAACACATAGTAGCTTCTTTATGCATGGCATCATTTTTTAGGCATTCTCCCCGCTGTTTTGGAGGCGAATCTATTTAAGTACCAGGGTATATGCAGTTACCGAGACCTCAGCTCTCATCCCATGCGTCGTCCACCTGAATGCCATCGCAGCTTGTAGAGTACAATAGGTAGTTCTCTCTTTCGCACTCTATACTGGCCGGTCGCAGTCACATATCATTGTAGATTCAGATGAGCGTGATTGAGTATTCATGAGTTGGCTGGCTTCCTGATGATCATCTCTTTTCGCACCAAGAGCGGACAGAGGTTTCTGCTAAACGATCAAGCGCTGCTCAGTGCCTCTCACAAGCTTAGTTCATCTTATTAACTATACGCGACCACGCAAAATAGCGAAAAGCGTTATGAGTCAATTTGCGATGTCATTTGGGCGTTTCATATGTGCTCAATGCACTAGACGGCTCAGCCGCGTAGATCGATCCTTCAAGTCATTGAGCAATCCCATATACTCGCCAATTATGCCAACATCACAGCTCTCACAAAAGCTCAATACTTTCTTCCTCGCACACTATTACAGCACTCGAAAAGTAGCCCGCATATCGACAACACGGGATACATTCGCCAAGGTGCGCTTTACGCGTGACGATATACCGCCACAATGGTTCTGGGAGAAAGCCAAGGAAATGCCAGGCGCAGATTTAAGCGCCAATGAATACCAGAAAGCAGCAGAATTATACGTAAACATGGCGCTGAAAAACACACCCCAATGGCGACAACGGTTCATCGCCGTCGATGACAGCTCGCCTCCTGACAGCGGCCAGGGCAAAGCCCTCTCGGCGCACATATTACACTACGTTGCATTGATGCTCGTGATGACAAGGACCTCTTCATCCAAGACGGCCGGGCATCTGGCTATGCACATCCTTCATTCTCTTTCAGGCCTGGGGTACGCGCCAAGCACACTCACTATAATGCGTATGGCGTTGGCTCGGAACTTATTGCGTGAGCCGCAATTTGAGCCCGCTGTAGAGAAGTTTGAGCGCATCCTAAAGCGCATCGGCGACGGCAGCAATAGTAGCTCCGATTACGAAGTTGGCGAGGGCGACTATGCGGCTGACGCCTGTACACTGCGCGCCATGATGTATGAGAGAGAGGACACGCGCGAGGGAGACATCAGCGCGCTCCGATGGTTTCGCCGAGCGTACGAACTCGGGCAATCGACTGCGTCAACCACCGACCATGCGCATTCAGAGGAAAAGCAGGACGTAGATACTAGCACGGCCTTGCAAGGGGATAAAAACGCATACTTCAACCCTCACTGGCAATGGAAAGTGAGCTTCGCCCTCGGCGTCGGCAGGATCCGCATGCGACGTGGCGAGACCGAGAAGGCCAAAGACATGTTCACAATGGCATCTTCCGAACTCGACAACGCAGACGGGTACTTGGCGATGGCAGACGTACTAGAGCAGATGGGCGAGGCAGATACCGAGAAGTATCTCGAGTCTGTCGAGAAAGCGGCCATCAGTGGGAAGAGAGAGGCAGCACGTAAACTGGGACTAAGAGAGTGGGACAGGGCGACGGAGAGAGGGTTGAGCAAGTGGGAGAAGAGAAAGAGACAGGCCATGGCTGAAGAATGGATGGCCATCGCTGATTCCGCAGCCCCGGCAGAAGGAACAGTATAAATGGTCGGGTGATACACAACCCATAGTTTCGTCGAATCAGTGTGATTCAAACCGCGAGCGGGCTAATATCATGTATAAGTTATAATAACTGTCTAGCTTGCTTTGGAGCCGCCTGGTATACAAACTCTACAATATACCTGCAACGATCAAAAGTTGTAAAAACAACCCAAGTGTAATCTATCTCTACCAACCTCTACGTCATATAAACGCTACAAACTGAACGGTATTGAGTCTTTTCACGCAGACCAATTAACATCCCTACTTACCAGTCACATCCCACGCATTAATATTCGAAGAGGCTGAGTTAGCCCTGCAAACTTAGGTAGTCCACAGACCCAAACACGTCGCAGTCACGGGCGTGGCTTTTATACCAACGACTACCTACTGCAAGTCATCTTTAGTAGAGCGCCACATAGGACGAGGACCCCTAAAAGAAACAACATAAGGCGCCCTATGTCTCTGCTAGGACTTGATCTACCTATTCACCTCTCGCACTTGGTGACCCAATATTTAGCGACTTTCTTTCACCAATACTTGCGATGAGAAAGGTAATAAAACTAGAAAATGCACAAGGCTCAAATTTCTTTCAAATGTTAGATACAACCGAACTTCCATTTTCTTATACAAGGGCGCGGGCAGCTCGTAAGGCTCCGAGACACTGATTCAAACGTACCACAATACCTATATACCAAATAATTTTCATTAGAGTGATGTTGTCTACCTGGGCGAAGATAGTTGAGACGTTTCAGACTGCTCTCGAAAGACCAGGTAGACTACCAAGATAGGCCTAATATGCGCAACTACGCCCCCTCAGGACTGCTCATGTCAGGGCGTCCTGAGAATATACACGGATGTGATGGCACAACGGCCAACGTCTATGTTCACACCAGCTTGCCAAACCATGCATTTCCTTGTCCCGATAAGCCTATAATTCCTCCAACTCCATCACGCTTGCAATATTGCTTGAAACCAACTTCTCTGGTAATCATTTAACCTGTTATAACGCCGGTAATGCTTATAGTTAAGTGTCCGGTGCTGTACACTAGACTAGAATGCTGCGACGCTACTATGGAAATAGACAGCAAAAGGTTTAAGATGCACGGGACCGAAGCTGCTCAATCATCCCGGAAGAAAGTATTCCCTGGCAAGGGTGCGGTAGACGGACCAGCATCCCTCATAACTACGTCTAGTCCACCAGAGTCATCTGAATACGCGGATTGACTGAGGCCGAGGGTGGAGCGCCGGAAATCGGCTGATAAAGGACCATTTGGTGAGGGCTCGGCTAGCCGTTGGGGCAATGAAGTTGGCCGTTCGTAGAAAGCATCCTCGGGCGGAGAGAATGACCACACCTGTTCGTATTAGAGTTGGAAGATACCGCAGAAGTTTGTGCAGTGAAACATACCTCCATCATAACTCGAGCCCCCCTGTTTGCCACAGCAACACACTTCTCATCCTCGAAAACAACTCTCCACACAGACTCAGCTGTGATGAGTTCCCGTACTAGATGCCCAGTCTTGACGTCCCAAACCTTCACTCTTCCATCACTACCTCCACTAACAACTCGCGTATCGTCAAACTGTAGACTTGTGACGCTGTTGTCGTGTGCAGCGAGACGATGAATAGGGCACATTTTCTCGAGTGACCAGACTCTGACTGATCCATCGGATCCCCCCGTGACGAGAGTATTTCCGCGCAACTGCAACTGGCCTACCAATGAGGTATGTCCCTGTAAAACAGCAATGGCTTCACTATTCGAAGAATTAGTGAATGACAAAGGTACATATATATGGTACATGATCGTAGATCATGAGACTTACCCAGTATGAGCATCCCAGACTCTGACACTAGTGTCGAGACTACCAGTTACAACTCTCTGGCCGTCGAACGCAATAGCGTAAATCTGACTGAAGTGGCCAGTGAGAGTGTGCAGGCATCGACCCTCCGAGATACTCCATATTTTGGCTGTTGCGTCATAACTTCCGGATACGACAATGTCTCCCTTGATTTCAAGACACCTCACACTAGCTTGGTGGCCAACCAGGACGTTCCTGCATACACCTTGTCTAATGTCCCACACTCTCAGGGTAGTATCCCGAGAGCCAGAGATCGCGATATTGGCATCAGACATCTTGAGACAACGAACAGTAGACGTATGACCGCGCAGCGTATGCAGGCATGCCCTATGATATTTAATTAGTCGAGGATTAATACCCAAGTTGTGCCGATCTTACCCATTAGTCATGTCCCAAACTCGCACGTCTCGGTCACAGCCGCCGCTAACAAGAATATCCTCCCAGGGCACCATAGCCCATACGCCCATAATGTGACCTTGCAGCGTTCGGAGAGCATTTCCCTTTCGATCAAAGATGTGAATTCTCGCATTATCAAGCGCCACAACGATGTATTTTGGCGTTAGATGTAAGCTAGTTACGACCCTTCCGTCTTGAGTAATGGTACGAGTGGTGTTGCGTCCACCTGTCCTCCACGCCGATTCAACAAGATATCTTTGTTTGAAGTGAGACTTGTATGAACGTAGTATTGGACGAGTAGCAACTTCGCTACTTGTAGATCCATCGACGCTTTTAGACGCATTGTGAAGTGAAGACGAGCCAGGTAAAGCGCCCGGAAAGCTTTGATTCGAATGCTCGGCACCAGACAGTGGCAGAGCACCAGGTCGACTCGTCGCATACGCTGGCATGCCATAGGCAACCTCCGAGAGACGCCGACCATAGTCATGCTTCACACACAGATTCTTCCAGGTCACGTCATCACTAAGCAAATCTCTCCATCGCCTTGACACCTGAGATGCCCGTGCTAGCACCTGGGGATCGTCGATGAATGATAGGATTCTCAGGCATAGTTCATCTGGCAGGCTGGTGAAGGGGTCCTTCTTGAGTAGTGGGCTCACGAACTGGTGCACAAAGCTCAGCTGTTGGGTTGTGCACATGTTTAGCAGATCCGCGAGAATTCTATTCCGACGTGGACCGGATGATATCTTGAACTGGTGGCGGACGTGGGCAAGAAAGAAGTCCTCATCATCAGCAGCGTCGCTCCAGTCCAGCTGGATATTAGCCGGACCAGGAGAAGCAGCCGGTGTAGGCGGCGGCGGAGGGGAACCCGTAGGTTGTTGCTGGTCAAATTCGGGTGCTGGTGTGCTCATGCTTGGGGTAGGTGGACCTCTGGGTCTCGGTTGGGCCATCTTGTCCATCCTCTGATTCACGATGACGGGACCAGCGCCAGGAAGATTCAATGTCAACTCCTCGCCACAGCTCATGCTCATAGCACTTCCCCTCCGTTCCGAGAAGCTACGCGATGGACAATAGCCGTCCATGTTTATCCCTGTGTAATGCTGTGTTTGCTGATATCATTCGCTGTCGTTCGACGTTTGACTGAGAGCGGCTGAATTGCTATAAACAATAGAACTAGGCAAAAGCGGTGGTTCATTCAAGAGGTGCGATCTAGACGGTATTAGCAACCATATCCCGTCTACAGACTAAGAAGTTCTGGTTCAATTATGATCAAAAGATCATAGTATCCAGCCAAAGAGCGCTGTAGGGGAGGTTGGTGTGACTAAGACTATTTGCATGTCAGGAAGTGGCTGACCGTAGTGAACTTAAGAACGATCTTGTGTAGCGCGAGGCCAGCAAACGTGATGGAGATGATGAGACAAGGCTCCAAAAGGCTTACTACTGGCGATGGATGGGTAGGTGGTGTTGCAAGGAGGCGGACAGTTTTCCGAACAGGTCTTGGGAATAGGGCGGCGGGATCGGAACGGGAGCAGTACTAGGGACTAAGGGCGACAACAAGCAGTTGTGACGGTGGTGGATGTGATCAGTCGCAAATGTAGACGACAGGGTGAATGATAATCGGCATTGTCTTGAGGTGTCCGGAGTGAGCAATTCGAGAACAATCCGCCGAACGCCAGTACAAACACACCTGATGATGCCTTGCTTTGCCGGCCTAGTGTCTGGCGTCTAGCGAGGTTTCGATGCTAGCAAAGTCTCCACACGCCAGGGAGCAGGAGGTTGGCGACGGGGCTTTGCTGATCTCAGTGATCGGGTAGCCCTGGCTAGGGAAAAGCGACAGCAGACGAGCACTTCCTACGGGATGCGCGATCGAGTGCGGTAAGGGACGAGGCGGTGATGGGAAGAAGAAGGATGAGTCTGAGTCTGGATGAGGAGGACAATAGTAGTAGGTAGGCGACGCAGAGTGCCAGACAAGGCTTTTCTGCAGCGTTTCGAAGGGACGATGAGGGATGATGGACGGGGGGCCAGGCGCCACGGGTCTGCACGGGGTCGAGTGAGATGACTAGGATCGGCCATTGAGCGCCAATTTAGAAAGGGACAGGCGCAGAGACCGGGGGGGCGGGTTGAGGAGTTGGACAGGACAGGGGCAAGTTGAGGGCAGGTTGAAGAATTGAAGTGGGAAACGGGTCTTACCGTGTGAAGAGAACTGTGACGAGATGATACCCAAGGTACCCCCCTTCAACCTGCCCTCAGATTCCCATCTACAGAGAGTGAGCAGAGACAGAGCAGAGACAGGGGTGAGCAAAGGAAGGATGGTGACAGGAGTACCTAGGTAGGTACTGTGCGATTATTCGCCGACACAGCATATATACTGTAGGTAGCAATAATCGTGTCACACACCCGAGAACCCAAGTTACCTACCCCATATCTACCTATGCGCGCCATTCCTTACATAGTACACTTGGAGTACTATCTACGTACTTTAGTTCAATTAATAGCGTGGTGTGCGCTTGTGTCCTTGATTTCAAGCATGAAACTTGGAATATATGGGGTTATACCTTAAGTAATGACTATGTAGGTAGCTTTACAATTACTGCATGTAAGTATGTATGTAGTAGGAATAAGTAAAGAAAAGTGATGGGTAGCCCTTCTCTGCCCCCCACGCATTGCGATTACCTATTCATCCTGTGCTTAAATTGCTGTCATCCTCGTGGCTCTACTCGCTACCTACCCAAAATGACACGCCTTGCCACATATCCAGCCTATCATCAACACCCAACCAAGTTGGTCGACAAGTAGGTCAAAATAATACATACTTAGATCCCTACTTACGGTATCTACACGCCCACATAGGTATGTAGTGTAGGCAGCATGTAGATAGGGATTCTTTTCAGGGCGGAGATGCCGATTGGGCATCTTGGCAGCGCATTCCTTCCCAATTGCCGTTGGAGCTGACTTCTCCCGATGAAACAGTCTCAGTCGCCTCCAGCCTTCCTTGACATGGTACACGAAATAGGCGATTTGATGAATGTATCACTTGAAGGTCTTTAAAAAGCCACATACATAACTCGCTGCTCATCGTTGAGAGATTGCTATACCTCATAGACAGCGAATAGACAACAGAGAGACTCGTTCATCATTTGGACATATACAAAAGTTGTGTTAGTGCCGCTGCTTACTGGTGCTAAAGAAGATTACCCTCACGATATTTAATACGCATTTTTAACACGAGGCAAGCTTCGTCAGCTCCACCAAAGATAGATCCAAGAAGAGTATTTCAGCGCGAAAAGTCAAGAGCATTGTTGGTTCCAGTAATGAGCGCCGGGTTGTCATTTATGCATTACTCGCCTTCATGAAACATGAACCCTATATAAACAAGTTACACCATGATCCTTGGATGGATCCACATAGCAGGCTATGAGTATCAATCACGTGCTATCGTTGTAAGTTTCGTACAGCTCAAAAAATAATCGGTTGCTTTCTGCTAAGCCAATTTTGACAAAAGTTCCATGAGGGATGAATGCAATATATATAGTTGTCCTCGGTGAGGCTCGAACTCACGACCTTTGGATTACCCGATCTTGGATCGAATCATATTTCTATGAGACCAACGCTCTAGCCAACTGAGCCACGAAGACTGATAGTAATCCGTTAATAAAATAACATAAGTAGCTTATCTCTAGAAGCCTAAGATCGGTTACCTCGAGATAACCTTATTTATTCCATGGTTGTCCTTGCCCCCGTCTACATTACTTAATGTCAGGCTATTATCTAACAATTTGAAACTAATTCTAGGTGGTGCTATGTCTCTATAAATTTCGCGGCCGTTTCAAGAATTGGTTGTGCTCAACATCCCCCATTGTTCGGTTGGCTATAGTCTCGTGTCATTTGTTGCCTTGCTTATGCGAGCAAACAATGCTAAGCTAGACGAGACACCAATATGTCCTTTTGTTCAGGATGTCCAGCTCTATTTATGTGAACATTACCAGCGAAATATCCATCGCTACCTAGATACTAGAGAATCCGGCTCCCTGGCTTTTATTTCGGTTAGGAATAACCAAAGGATAGATCGATGAGTTCAGGCCAGAGCTTGGTGCTGTTGATAGAACCTCCTGGAGTAGCAAGAGAGGCCTGAGCTTCTACATAGATCAGCTAAGTAAAGTATTATATTGAAAAGGCCTTGGTAAGTATTCGACCTTCCACCCCATAACAACAATGGTGTGACTCTGCCACGTACCGCTGTCAGATTCATAGTAATATGTCCTAAGAGTTCCGATGCATATACACAGGGTTGGCAAATCTAGTACTAATAGTATTTTTGCATTTTCTTTGTTTCCAAATAACTTTACAGCCGAAATACATATAAGCCTATATAAGGATTCAGCTAAAAGCTCTTTTCCTAAGGATTCTAATAGTTATTTTTTTAATTTTTTAAATTAAGTATTCACTTTATAAATGCCTTAGTACTGATTAGTACTAAAAGTAGAATATTAAAGTATTAATTTTAATACTAATGCTGATTACTAAGCGAATACTTGATTTAAAAAAATAAAAAAATAACTATTAGAATCCTTAGGAATAGGGCTACAAAAAGCTACTCAATATGCTTTTCTATGTATTATGGTTGCGAAGTTATTGGCAATACTAATGCATACTAATCGTACTATTAGTACGTACTAATTGCCAACCCTGCATATACATTTGGCTACCTCAGTTTAGCTTGTTATCTTGTGATGGATAACCCGAAATGCGCTTAATCACCGTTTATCTTTCCCTTCTGATAAAGCACGTTCCTAAAGATTCTGTCTATGCCTTCATTGAATCTTGTAAGCCGTTCAGCTCGGATACATGATGTCTAAGAAGCAATCGTCACCTCTGGTTGATTCTGGCAAGCTAGTGTTCTAGGCACATAGCCCTGAAATAGCAGAGAAATCACACCAGAACGGGTTCTTCTTCATCAACGAAAGCTTCTGAAGCCTCGATAATGGCACAGCGCAGAATATATATGAGATTCTAGTATCTCCGGGGTTTTCTATATCATCGTAATGCAGATTGGTAGTAAGAAGAAGGCAATCTCTTCCTGGTGAAACCAAACTGGAGCCGTCTCTTAGAAGGTTCACGACATCGTGTTTGGAATAGCGAAAATCATGGGAACAACAATTGCACTACTAAATTGCGTAATATTATATAAAATCATATTCACAAGATTGAAAGGCACGATTACCCGTCGCTTATACTCGGAAAGAACACATATACGCTACAGCGACCACACTGTCATAGCATATCTGAATCTTTAGAACTAGTTAATCACCAATACACAAATGTCTCTTCCTCGACAGTCAAAAAGCTACCTGGCAATGACGTGTTGACGAAGGATGGCGGGGAGCAAGAGGTCATCTAGAAATAGCATACACTTAGGAGTTTAGAGAAAGAGAGCCTGCCAAAGACCATGCCGTTCAAAGATGAAATCCAATACCATGCCCCAATCTCGCTCCTGTAATTGTTGACAAGTCAACTGACGGGGTGAGTGTCACATATCCCATATCAACTGCACTACCTATATGAAGGACCAAGAACACAAGGAACTATCGCTACTATAATGTATATGATACTGCAACCCAAGTGGGCTATTCTGCGTAATATATATTGCCTTCGAGTGCTACCAACACCTAACGAAACTTGAATAAGAGCTCGATTTTAACGAGATACCGTACTACGATGACGAGGAAGATATACATGTAGGGGGAAATCAAGCAACAGACCACAAGACGCTGCTAAGTAGTCTGGTTAACGTGAATAGGACCACGGTGTGTGATGGGACGTACCCGCTGCGACTCCGTAATCTACTTTATATACGACAATTTTGTTCTCCCTAAATCTTAACATGCCCATATCAGCACTAGGGTACCGGACTGGATCGCTGGGATCATCCTCGCGTATAATTCGGGAAGCACAGCATAAGATTCAAGGATCGCAGACAGCCTGCTGATGATCAATCCAGGCCTAAGTCCATTGATTTCTCGTATGGAGAAGCTTGAGATGTTGAGCTGTATTGGGGTTGACTAACACGCTACCCAAGGTCTTTTTCTAGACATGACTTATTTTCCCTGAGACTAGGAGAAATTCACACTGTAGTATGAGAGATTGATGAAAGTTCAAAGTAAATCATATCTGTAAATGATAATAACAACTAACTCTTTGATGTGGTATCATGACTTGGTAGACTGACTAATAGTTACATATGGTAAAATAATGGGAAGGAGTGCAAATAAATGCGATAATTCGTCCTAAACCAGCACTCCATTCATCACTCTCGCCAAATACCACACTTGCGTAGTCATGCATTTGATCAAACCCATTTTGCCGAGTCCCCAACACCTCGCAATGCCTAAATGCTTCCCAATGTAAACAACACATTAACTCTCCTCCAAAACATACAACCATGGTATCCCTTCCCATTCTAACGGTAGCTGCTGGAAGATATCCTAGATATGCCTAGCCACACCGTTCGTCGCTCTGGACCTGGGCCGGGGCCGGGGCTTGGATCGCGGCCGTCCCTCCCACCTGCTTCTATTTTCATGCCCACATCCTGCGTCTTTAACTAGGGCGCGAAGCGCTGCTATCTCTTCGTTCCCGAGTATACTGTCGTCGACGCCGAGATCGCTGGTTTCGGCAAATAACTTGTGCGCCTGCTCGATTGGATCCGGAGGAACTACCCACATGCTCTCGCGCATGCGCTTGTGTCGCTCACGGTCTTCTTCTATGCGCTGCTCGACTTGTCTTCTCGTTGGCTTCATACTAGCACCGTTGCGTTGTGTGGCCTGAGCGCCACCGACCTCTGGATCTGCGGTACAGGCTGGGGCGGCGGAGGGCTCGTTGCCGTTAGTTGGAGAGGAGAGGGTGAAGTCATGGGCGGAGGTGTCGCGTTCCTTAAGACACCCCTCGATTTCTGTCACGGTTTGTTCGAGAAGGATAGTTTTGTTCTGGAGACCTTGGAGAACCTGGGTAGAGGGGCACACAGTCAGTCAATTGTCTGCTGCGATTGGACAATAAGTTCATAAGGTCTTTCCCACAATAGAAACATACCTTGCGGACCACCTTGACATTTGCTGCGCCAGAACCATTTTCGGGGCAAACAGCATCGACGACTCGGATAATGTCCCGTTGCATCATACGCACATAGTCGTTGTGTCGCTCTTTCGAAGCCATCTCTAGCAGGTGCTCGATGAAATACATTATATTTGCTCGTGTGTTCATGTTGGTCTGTGGAACGAGCAGCCAGCGTTAGCAATCAGCCCTTTGAACTTCGCATGGCATTAGCACCCCCTGCGGATGGATGTGGCCAGCGGCAAAGTAGAGGGGGGATAAAGAAGGACTGTGTGTGCACCTTCTCGAGCTGTTCCAAAATGCATGAATGCAGATCTTCGTCCATATCCTTAAATTTGAGGGCATACTGAGCAGCCTTCTGCGCGGAGGTGGTACTGGCATTAAGGTGTTCGAGCTGCGAGCTGAAGCGCATGCGTACTTCGAAGGGGTCGGCCATTGTGTTACTACCTAGGTGGCATAGAAGAGTAGGTAATGTGGTGTGGGCGAGTGGGGGTGGTGGTGGTGAGGTCGAGAAGGGAACGAATCCGCAGCCTCGTCTAGAAGGCCACCTATCTTATCTACCTACGTAGGTGCATTCCTAGATAGGTAGAGAGTGAAGCGTGAATCGTGAATCGATGGATGAAGAATGGAGAATGGAGAATGGAGAATGGAGAATGGAGAAATTCGATCGGCTGGCGTGCGTGTCTCAGCGCGGGGAGCTCCCGGCATGGCATGGCATGGCTGTCGCGGGTGCAGCGTGCCAAGAGGACGGCCAGGGTTCGTTGTTCTGCCAGTCCTGCCAGCTCTGCCAAGGGTTCCAGGGGATTTTTAGTCCGATTCTGACGCTGCAGGCCATCCGAGCCATCGTCCACACTTGGGCACCAACCATGCCCTCTAACCCCAATACGGCTAGCCGGCCCAGCATCTCAGCCAAAAAGGGAAGCCCCATAGAACAATTCCAGGAGTCGGGACGATCTCGGCCCCCTGACGTTGCCTTAATGAGAACGCATTGTAGGGTGAAAATTATTTTATATAAGTATTATTATTACCGGGTGAAATAAATCGGAAGAGATCCTGTTTACCTGTCGACACTGCGTTACTACGTGTCAGAGCCTGTGTTGACTAGGAAAGCCGTAATAAAAAGCCATTGGCGCATTGGTCCATTCCATCCTAACGTCCTCTGATGCCTGCCACCCTGCTGCCGTGTTATTCTCGTGCGTAATCGTATTATAAAACTGTGACTGCTTAGGTCCTGATCCGATGAGCTTGCTGTTCTAACTTCTACTACTGCTTGCGATAACGAAGGCGCACGCGAGCTCTCCCTCCACTTCTCCTATGGTCTATCTCTCTCCCACTTGTCCAACTATTCTGGTTTTCCCTCCGTCTTCCTTTTCCTTTGACATTCCTTCGACATTCCTTCAATCTTAAAAGTTTCATAGACGGAACCATTAGAGCATACAGAAACATCACAATATTCACTACTCAGGATGCTGGCTATTACACAACACGCTCATGAGGCGGCGGACCTCACAATGGCCGTCCTAGGCTGTGGTAAGTGTCAATATGCGCTCCTAAATCTGCTCGGCACACAATTGACATACCCTAGGCAGCATGGGTGTCGCTATCCTTTCTGGCATCCTCTCGTCTTTACAGGAGATGAGCGGCCCACGACCTCTCCAGACCTCTGGCAACTCGACACCAAGAGACGAAGTTCCATCCCGCTTGCCCTCGCGCTTCATCGCCTGCGTCCGGCGCCCCGAGTCCGCCAAGCGTGTGAAACAAGCTCTCTGGGAGCACAGTGCTAGCGTCAAGGTCGTTCAGAAAGACAATGTCGCAGCCGTGATGAAGGCAGAAGTTATATTACTGGCTTGCAAGCCCAACGCCATTGAGGACCTGCTGAATGAACCTGGCATGACTAAAGCTCTGCACGGAAAGCTCCTCATCAGCATTTGCGCTGGCGTGACCGTACAGCAGCTGGAGATCATTCTGCACGGAGCCGTGCCTGTGAAAGACCCCGAGGTTGACGGCCGGTGTCGTATCGTCCGTGCTTGTCCCAACACCACTAGCACCGTACGTGAAAGTATGACTGTTATCGCAGATAGCGAGCCCCCGCTGCCGCCCCAGACCTCGAGCCTCGTCACTTGGATCTTCAAGCGCATTGGTGACGTCGTCTACCTACCTGCGGCTAAGATGAACGCATCTACTGCTCTTTGCGCATCTGGCCCTGCTTTCTTCTCTCTCATGTTGGAAGCTGCTATTGATGGCGCTGTAGCCATGGGCCTCCCTAGAGCCGAGGCTACGAGAATGGCGGCGCAGACGAGTAAGTGATTTTTGTGATTCATCTCTTTTCATGTAGGCAAAAGCTTTCTTCGGAAACTATGTCCTGAATACGTTACGTAACCTCAACCCGCTTATGTATCATGCTTTGAGATTATAATTACTGACTCTTAGTGTTGTAGTGAGAGGTACTGCAGGCTTAGTTCTCAGTGGTGAGCACCCTGCACTTGTGCGCGAGAAAGTTTGTACGCCTGGCGGATGTTCTATTGGTGGTCTTCTGGTTTTGGAGGAGGCAGGCGTTCGTGGAACGGTTTCGAAAGCCGTACGAGAGGCTGCCTGCGTGGCGAGCCAGTTAGGCCAAGGTCAACAGGGCGTGAATGGTACTAAACATTGAGCAGAGGAGGGAATGCTTCGAGTAGATTTAATGATGCATATAGATGGAGTTGGCGGTTGAATTCTTCACACGACGGTTAATCTTATGTACTACTGTCATCATATATTCAGTCTTTGTCCATGATTTATTTAATACTTGGAATAAACCATGCGATTGCGCAAATCATTGTGCTCATCCCTAGGGACCCCTAAGTTGTGCCGTGCTGCCCAGAAGCTACTACGTTAGAAACATGCCCGTTTATGTGTATTGACGTATCCCAAGCGCAGCCATACTGTAATGTCATGCAATGAGAAGATACACAGCCGGATTGATTCTCTTTCCCGCAGACTTTGTGTGAAAATCAAATGTAATGCAGGTATCAACATCTGTAACGCCAAAACTCCATCGCCCACCTATTATACATTCCAGCGATCTTTCAAGCATCATCGACACGGGCCTTTTTGTTATATGGGATCTCCTCACTGTCCGTTTCTCCATCTGATTTCCGCTTTCCATTAGTAGCAACAGATCTGGGTTGCACCCGCTCAAGAATCCTAGCGTACTCCCATTCCACGTTGTTAACGGTTTCATTGAGCTTAATAATACGCTCTGTCGTCTCAAGTTCGCTCAGAAGGAGGACATTTCGACGGTAAATACGTTGCTTAAGTAACAACCGCCAGAGGGAGTACATCTTCTGGTCCGTTTTGGATGGCAAAGGCCGCGTAGATTCAGCATCAGCCTGTGGTTGTACGGAAGCTGGGAGTGTCGACATCAGGTGCATCTCCACTAGGCGCCAGAACTGCCGAGGCGCCATCTTTGCTTTGAGACGGATCTCTTCTAACTTAGTCACATCTACAATACCATCCGCAGAGGAACCCGCAGAATCGTTTGATGTTATTTGTGTATTGTTATGAAGGAGCCCACCCTTCTCTGGAATAGATATGTTGCTATTCACTTTTAAGGCTGTAAATTCTGCGACATTTTTTCGCAGATATTTGAGGTCGCATATATCCCGCAGCAAGTCGAAATCTTCGTTTGGGTCCTCAACGGTGATCTCCTTCGTAGACTCATCCGCCATGTACAAGTCAAAAATGGTGTCGTAAAGAAGAGCGCCGATACCTTTGCCTTGGTAAGGAGGCAAAATGATGAACTGCGAGATTCGGGCGCGGCGGGGGAGGTTGGCGAGATCTAGATCACCCTGAGGAAGCTCCCAGGAGTCGTCACGTCTTGGTTGTATCGGCGCCGTCGTCTCACGCGTGCTGCTGGGTGGTAGAGGTAGTTGGTACATCCAGAAATCGTACACTGTAGAGAAGCCTTGGAAGATATATTCATGTTTCTCTGCAGCATCAGATGATGCCTGCTTCTTATATACGAGGAAGACAGTCCACCTCGCGAGCGAATATTCGGGGTCATCATTGCCATCGGCGTCTATTCCAATGTAAGAACCACCTTCGATAAAAAATAGAACTGTAATCTGGACACGCCGAATGAGTTGCTTGACAGCTGGGTCAGCCAGAGTTCCTCGCCATATCTCGTAAGTTTCCCCGTTCTTCTCGGTCGTCTTGACAAGAGTACCAGGAGGGGCCCACGTGTCCTGCACATCCTTCAGAGCTTTCTCATATTCGGACCGTGTCTGGAATGCAACTTCATGGTGTTAGACAGCATAGCTGATGGATGTGACCTTGGCGGAATGAGAAACAAACCTCCTGGGAGAAACTCCTTCATGACATCTCTGACATTGACGGCCTCCACCTCGCCAACCGAGTTGAACTTTTTAGATGAAGAGATAGAGAGATGTGGCCGAAGATTTCTAGCGTCATATTGAAGGTTGACTTTCAAGCCCTTGTATCCGAAAATGCGCTCCTCTTCGCCGAATATGGGGTAAGTGAACCTGGGGTTGAAAGATGAGACCTTCTCAATTGACGAAGCGGAGGGCCTCACGAGCGAGATCGTGAGGGCTTCATTCGCGTTTTGCGTCCCTAAGGAGCGAGTTAAGTCAAGCCTTCAACCAAACGAACATAGTATACATACATTCGTCTTCCATAGCGAACGCGCTCCTGCGATATTGATGATGGGATAGGCGATTACTGAGTAAAAATGATTTGCGATATGTGACCACTGACCACTAGCTAGACTAGCAGGCAATTTACGCGTCGATAGATATAGATACGTAAGAAGTAGCGAGGCGCGTTTAGTGGATCAGGTAACTTACCTGCATAGGTACACATAGAGTACCTAGGTAGACGTTTAGTCTGGGCGGTACTTTTCTCGAGTATCGGTACCCTAAATGTATCTACGTACCTAGGTAGGTACCTACATATACCTATACATATGTAGGTATAAGGTACCTATCTAGGTAAGGTAAGTGCACCAGAGTGCACCTAGTAGTGGGCTGAGCGCTAAAAGTGACGTGGTGCTATTTGAAGTCTTAGGCAGGGGCCTATTCTTTGCCTAGCGTCAAAGTGCTGCAAGCTTCGAGGTTGAGGACAGACTGGATATGATCACAATCGCAAGACGTCCAATTTTTATTGACTTCCTATCCCTCCTCACCTGTATTGTCGTCATTGTAGTCCAGCTCATCCTCGAATCGGCCAACTTCGAGCTCAGGTGCTAGTATCGATCGCGCGTGCCAATGCTTATCTTCCCTCCGGTTCGAATATTCGCATGAGCTGGTGATCAGAGCGTCTTCTCTCTTCCAAGACATATCACAGCCATGGCCGGGGCTGGATTGATTCTCCTTTTCCCCTTAACGGTAAGTCCAAAGATCATATGCGTCATATATGCGCTGGACTGCTATCCTTTGTCCGGGACTGATCAATGTGAAACTACAGGTGGTAATGACACTGGCGTAAGTGTCTCCAGCAATTACGAACCGAGTTCCGAAACTTGACGACTAACGGCAGCAGCTCCTTTCTGGCTGGCGCACTACCACTTTCTATGACTCTTTCGCAGTCACAGCTGCGACTGATATCTAGCATAGGGATAGGAATACTAGTCGGCACTTCCTTGATTGTTATAATACCAGAAGGTATCGAAGCGGTCGCTGAATCGTCTATTGAAGCACATCACCCAACACCGAGGGGTTTACATATGGCCAGAGATGGCCCTTCGGCTCAGTGGGTAGGAGGACATCTGAGTGCGCAAATGGTACAAACTTGGAGCACGGCTCCCGAGCAGATACCATCCTCAGATGCTTTAATAGTGGTACCAGATGACGCTGCAGGCGGAGCTCTTCGAGTTAGAGCTCCAGCAGACGGATCGGAGGTGCCCAATGAATCGCCTTCACGCGCCGAAGGGTCACCAGCCGGATCTGAAATGCCTACGCTATACATTGGATTGTCTTTAGTCCTTGGATTCATCCTCATGTTCCTTATTGATAGGCTGCCTCGTCATGCCTCAGAAAATTTCCAGCCTACAACGCCAAGGCATATTAGTCTCAGCAACCTTGGAGCATCCTCACTCTCGCCGAATGAAGAGGAGTCAGAGGGATTTCTAGGATCCCTTACGCCAACCCCGAAACAGTCCAGAAGTCTGGCGACGACAACAGGCTTGGTCATCCATGCCGCCGCGGATGGGATTGCAATGGGTGCTTCGGTCTCGTCGCCCGACACAAAACTAGGCCTCATCGTCTTCATCGCCATCATGGTACACAAGGCTCCCGCAGCTTTCGGTCTGACATCGGTGCTGTTGAAACAAGGTTTATCGAAGCGGGCAGCTCGTGGTCATCTTATCGTGTTCAGCTTAGCCTCGCCGTTTGGAGCATGGCTAACATTTATACTTGTGAGTTTCTTGGGTGGTGGTGGACAAGGAGCGGTCAGCCAATGGTGGACCGGTATGCTCCTCCTATTTTCAGCTGGGACTTTCCTGTAAGTCTCCTCTTTAGTTTCGCCTTATTCGTTGTCTGTTCACTGACAGTAATAGCTACGTTGCTATGCATGCAATGCAGGAGGGCGAGTCATCGAGCCATGACGTTGGATCTGGGCCCAATGGATATGCGGATGGAAGCGTTTCTCAGAGGAAAAGTGCTCAGCCTCAGATGAGAGAAACGCTCGCTACTGTGATTGGCATGTTACTGCCTTTATTGACGCAATTTGGTCACCATCATTAATATCTTGATGGTTGCCCCCAATTTCCATACCAGCGCGGGCGTAATATTAGAATGGGAGCAAGACTTTATGACCAACACGATGTACGACCATGAATCCAAGACTTCTCAAAAGTTTTGGAGCGATGTACAACGTATAATTTAAGCTGTATAAACTTTCTAGATAAAAAGTATATTGTTCAGCGTTGCTGCCCACATTTAAGCCGTGTAAATAGGGGAGAGCAAGGTTGGACTTTCATTTCCATTTTATTTCTAGACTACGGAATTCACATTATTTACCAATCATTGAGGTGAAGAGCAGTAAATGATGACTTGACGACACAATAGCAGTATTGCAATAACGACAAGCTGAATTCATTTGGAAAGGTACTTAAGATGGTACGTGTCTATTAAACACAATTATCCGGGCGCAGCCCTGGCTCTATAATATTTCATATTTTCCCGTCCCTTGCAATGAATTTCAAGATTTTTAAGCGTTGACTTTGTGCCTTACTGACACTGGATCCACCGTGAGGGGCGGTTCATTACTATTTATCGGCTAGTGGAATGTCATTAAGTAGGTATGTAAAGGGGGTAGCCGATATAGGAGAGTTATGGCTTGCGACGAAGCTATCCTGAACTCCATCCCTTCCTAGGATGCAAGCTTGAAGATATAAGTATTCTACAAGCAACGAAATGATCATCGAATATAGGTGATCTGACATTTGACAGCCCTTACCAGCTCGTCTCAGTTTCACCTAGGTAAAATCGCTACCGGCGCCATGGCCCCCAGGATTCTCATTTTCGGTACAGGGAGCTTGGGCGGTGTCTATACATGGGTTCTCTCGCGTGCTATACCGGAAACAAATATCACAGCTGTCTGCCGATCAAATTACGAGGCAGCCTCTCAACGCGGATTCACGATCAACTCGACACTCTGGGGTCAGGGTTTATGTGTGCGCCCGCACGTAGTGCGCTCTGTGCCCGAAGCGGTGGCACAATCCCCCTTACCTTTCGACTACATCATCGTAACTGCCAAGGCAGTTCCCACCACCCCTTCAACTGCGGAGTTGATCCGCCCAGCTATCTCCCCCGGCAAGACGGCCGTGGTGCTAGTACAGAATGGCATCGGGATTGAGGAGGAGTACGCGAGCTTGTATGCCGGCGATGATGTCCCTATCCTCAGCACTGTCGCCTATCTACCCACAACGCAGACAGCACCAGCCGTGATAAGCCACCGCGAGATCGAGCATCTGCATGTAGGCACTTATCCGGCGTCCGGAGTGCCGGAGACGCATAAGCGCGCCGCAAAAGCGTTCGTAGACTTATTGACGGCCGCGGGTGCGACGGGCACATTGTACGATGACGTGCAGGCGCAGCGCTGGGCAAAACTCCTTGTCAATGGATCGTGGAATCCTATCTGCGCACTCACTAGGCTGAGGGACGCGCAATTTATAGACTCTGGGAAGAAAAATGATGAGGAGAGTGAGGCTTTTGAACTTATCCGGGATGTTATGCGCGAGATCGCTAGTATTGCCCAAGCATGTGGGTATGAAAATGTTGATGATAAAATGATCGACTTTCAGTTGTCCCGCATGACCGCTAGGGGCCTTCCTGGATTGCAACCATCTATGATGGCGGACGCCCTTGATGGGAAAAGTCTAGAGGTCGATGCTATTGTTGGGAATGCAGTCAGGATAGCTAGGGACAAGAATATCCCTGCGGTTCTACTCCGGGCTGTATACGTTCTTGCTCAAGGTCTAAATGCAAGTTTCTCCTTACCTAGGTAGATAGAATGAGGCGCTTCCTACAATGAGCAACTATAATTGACATATCATCATGAAAAAGAGAGTGTAAAGGCCACATGGAAATTGTTGATGTGTTGTCATAACCTTTGTTCTCTCAAGGTGTTATACAAGGTAAGTTACATGTATACAGTTGTTCACCCCATGGCTCTTTGGGGTTTCGTTATAGTATGAGCCAGCCCACGCTGAATGTGTTAGCATTCGAATGTAGATTTGCAATTATTCCATAGTCACGGTAGCACCAAGCTCCTTCATCATAGCAACAATCTTCTCAGCTTCTTCCTTGGGCACAGATTCCTTCATCATCTTAGGTGCACTCTCAACAAATTTCTTGCTATCCACCAAGCTCAACCCTAGCAGATTCTTGACTTCCTTGATGATCTTAGCCTTCGCGCCGGCGTCGAATGCTGTTAACTTCAGGGTAAACAGAGTCTTCTCTTGGGCGACAGGAGCGGGCTCGTCAGCCTCCTCGGCGGCGGCGGCTGGTGCAGCAGCAGGTGCAGCGGCAGCAAAGCCACCAACGGGTAGATCAGGGATGTTCAGTCGAGACTGATCGGATATTAGCATTTGTCTTGGCCTAGCGTCCGCGGCTTCTATGTGCACTGTAGCCTTACCTTCAAGCTAGAGACTAGGTCGGCAGTTTCGAGAAGAGTCAGCTGGCTAATCTGGTCGACAATGCCGGAAATCTTGGAGTTTGTGGGCGCGGCCTCTGTCGAGTTGTGCCGCCTTGGTGTTGATGCTGTGAACGGGGCTGCGACTCTGAATGAAGCGGGGGACCGTAGTGACCGCGCGCAGCTACGGGCTGCGTATCTGCATGGTACCGACATATCGTTGATTTGGAGTTTTGGGCTGGTATTTCGGAATCAATTGCGCGTGGGCTGGCTGGCGGTGGGACGGGCTCGAAGGCTCGAAGTTCGTAATACACTCACTCACTCAAGAATTTTGCTAGATGAAAGCTAACCTTAGGTCTCTCTGGGTTGTCGTCCCTGCCCTGCTAATCCAGTCCAATTAGCGCTTGTTGGCACCCTCGGCACCCTCAGGTCCCCTCTGCTCCTCTAGACTCAGTTGCCGGTGCCCTGCTAAAGCTCAGCGCGCTGCTGGCCCGTCCTGGGATCTCACCGCCTAAATTTTCCAGGCGGCAGAAAAAGTTACAGTGGACAAGGATTCGTTCACCTTATCGCGATACTAAATTCTTGTAGTTTGGGTCGATCCAGCAAGCGATTTTGCGTTAATCAAGCACATATCTTGTGTTTATTCACCAACCATGGCGACAGTCGATCTCAGTCTGCAACGGACGTTGCTCCTTGACGACGAGGTTCTTTTGAACCAATTACCGCCAGAATTATTGGAAGTGATTCGCAACCAAACCACCGCGAACTTCCTCGACGCCATCGCTGCTGCGGCGTTGATACCCCGGCTCACAAGCCCTGTTTTCGTTTACTTCGAGCATGTCTTTGCCGACATCTGTGCACGATGGCTGCTTTCGTCTCGCAATGCGGGACAGGAGGACCAGATTATCGCTGCTTTTGCGAGAATCCTCCCTTTTGCACCTCATTTTTCTGTCTTCTTAGAACAGTATATAAGTGACACCTCAGCTCTGCATATTATTGAAGCACGGCCCTTCACCCTCAACTCATTGAACTCATCAAACTCATCACATACTGGCCAATTATCCGAGTTAGATCTTGTGCAAGCTCTTCTTGCTCTCTGGAGACTCTTGAATTTTAATCAAGGAACTTACGGCTCACTTGTACAACCTTCTCAAATACAAGCTTTATTTGGTCATGAGAGAGCTGCAGTGAGATATCTTGCAATCAAGGTATTCTGTTGTCAGATGAATGCCTCGGAATTCAAAGAAGACGAGCTTATGAAGACTCATGTCAATCTTGAGTCTACTCCTACTGATTCTCTATTTTCTGACCTGGATGGAACCCATGTTGACTATGCTTTCCTGTCTCTATTTGAGCACAAACGGGCTATAGAGATGGACATTCTTCGCCAGGAAGTGAAAAACGCTTACGCAACGAGATCGCCTATCGTCAGGATCCCTGCACAACAACTAACAGACAGGGTATTACGGTATGGAAACATCATCTTCCCTCGTCCCAGTGGCCCGCCTTCTTCTCGCTCAAATTTGGTACATACCCCTACAACCTTGACAAATCTTGAGACACTCGCAGCAAACCTTCAGAAACCCGGGCCTATTCTTCTTCATGGCCTGCCAGGATCTGGAAAGACATCGATCGTACATGAATTAAGCCACGAACTTGGTATGGAGTCTAGCATGGTGACGCTGCACCTTAATGAACAGACCGACGCCAAGATGCTTATTGGTCTATACTCAACAGACTCAAAGCCCGGCTCTTTTTCATGGCGACCAGGCGTCCTGACTACTGCCGTTCGCGAAGGCCGTTGGGTTTTGATTGAGGATTTAGATAGGGCTCCTAATGAGCTGATGAGTACACTGCTTCCATTAGTTGAAAGTGGTGAGCTATTAATACCCAGTCGAGGAGAGAAGATTGAAGCATCTAGCACATTTCGGCTGTTTGCCACTGTAAGAACTACGAGAGGCACACATGGTCAGGAAAATATACCAAGTTTTCTGGGCCAGAGGTTCTGGAATCTATCAAGCATGAAGACACCCTCTTACGCAGAACTGGAGCAAATAGTCGTCGGAAGTTATCCTTTATTACACAAGTATACTTCTATGATCATGGCTGTTTATAAACGGCTCTGCAGCGCCACCTCAATGAACCCTGGGCGTGCTACTGAACGCCCTATTACTCCTCGAGATCTTCTCAAATGGTGCCGCCGGCTTACAGAACTACTTGTTGCCGCTGGTTGCAAGACAGGCGAGGAGCCAATTAGCGAAAGAACGCGAGACTGGATGTTCTTAGAAGCCATTGATTGTTTTTGTGGGAGTCTTGCTAAACAGGAAATGAAAAATTTTCTTCTTAGCTGCGTCGCCGAGGAGATGCACATACCGAAGCAGCTCATGGAGCATTACCTCGATGCCTATGTTCCACAACTAGAGGATAGCCTCAAAATTTTTAGAATAGGCAGGGTTACGTTGACCAAACATCGCCATGGGAATAGGGTGGCGAAGTCAAAGAAGCCTTTTGCAAACACCAGCCACGCAAAGCGACTCTTGGAACAGATCGCGATAGCCATCAAACTGCAAGAGCCTGTGCTCCTTGTTGGCGAAACTGGAATCGGCAAAACAACCATTGTGCAGCAGTTGGCAGACACTCTTGGCCATAAGCTCGTTGCTGTAAACCTGTCACAGCAGAGTGAAGTGGGCGATATTATTGGAGGATTCAAGCCTGTCAATGCCCGTAGCCTCGCAGTGCCCCTGAAAGAGGAGTTCGAGGATCTATTTGCTTCGACTGGTATATCCGCTGCGAAGAACCAGAAATATCTTGAACAAATAGGGAAGTGTACCGCTAAGGGGCAGTGGACTCGTGTCTCGAAGCTATGGCGTGAAGCGCCTAAAATGTTCAATAAAATTGTGGATGAGCTTCAGGCAAGAGCGGAAGTCAAGAACGGAGATTCAGATGAGAGACCAGCTGTCAAGCGACGCAAAACGGAGTCGAAACTGCAATCTTTGATTGAACTGAGACCACGCTGGGAATCATTTTCGAAAAACTTGGACCAATTCGATATTCAAATTTCCGGAGGCTCTGGTAATTTTGCTTTTGCGTTTGTGGAAGGCAACATTGTTAAGGCTGCGAGGAACGGAGACTGGGTTCTACTGGATGAGATCAACCTTGCATCTCCTGATACGCTCGAGAGCATTGCTGACTTATTAGCGTCTGGACCCAATGATGAGCCCTCTATCTTATTGTCTGAAACCGGAGAGATTGAGCGCGTAAAAGCCCACCCGAACTTCCGGATTTTTGGTGCTATGAACCCAGCTACAGACATTGGCAAGCGGGATTTGCCCCTAGGGCTTCGCTCTCGTTTTACCGAATTATACGTTGGTAGCCCAGACAAGGACCTGAAGGATCTCCTTACCATCATCAAAGCCTACTTAAGTGGGAAGAGCGCGAAGGATGACCAAGCTGCGGATGACATAGCAAGATTGTATCTGAACACCAAAAGTCGGGCGGATGAGAAACGCCTCGTCGATGGTGCCAATGAAGTACCTCATTTCAGTCTTCGAACACTTACCCGCGTTCTGACCTATGTTAATGATGTGTCACCTTTCTATGGCCTGAGACGATCGCTTTTCGAAGGATTCTCCATGGGCTTCTTGACGCTCCTTGACAGAGCGTCGGAAGAGACACTTGTTCCTTTGATTCACCATCACCTCTTGGACAGACATGGCAATGCGCGATCACTACTCTCCCAGCCGCCCAAACATCCCAGTGACGGAAAAGAATATGTGAAATTCTTGAACAGAAATAAGGACCGCCATTACTGGCTACTAAAAGGTGCCGAAACACCAATGGAACGCTCCGACTATATCATCACACCCTACATAGAAAGAAACCTCTTGAACCTTGTACGGGCCACATCTACGAGACGATTCCCAATTCTTATTCAGGGTCCCACCTCAGCCGGCAAGACCAGTATGATCGAATATCTGGCAAATTACAGTGGCAACAAGTTCGTTAGGATCAATAATCACGAGCACACTGATTTACAAGAATATCTTGGAACTTACGTCTCAGATGCTACTGGTAAATTACAATTCCAAGAGGGGCTCCTAGTGCAAGCCTTGAGACAGGGACATTGGATCGTGCTAGACGAGCTGAATCTTGCCCCAACTGACGTACTGGAGGCGCTTAATCGACTCCTGGACGATAATCGTGAGCTGCTTATTCCCGAAACACAAGAGATAGTCCGCCCTCATGAAAATTTCATGCTTTTCGCTACCCAAAACCCAGCAGGTTTATACGGCGGAAGGAAGGCATTATCACGCGCCTTCCGCAATCGCTTCCTTGAACTCCACTTCGACGATATACCCGAAGATGAGCTTGAGACGATTCTTCAAAAGCGAAGTCTGTATACTGCGCCATCTGACTGTAAGAGAATTGTCAACGTATATAAAGAACTATCAAGATTACGACAGACCAGTCGTCTTTTTGAGAACAAGGATAGTTTTGCCACGTTGAGAGACCTCTTCAGATGGGCCTTGAGAAGTGCGGAATCGCGAGAGGAGATTGCAGCCAATGGTTTCATGTTACTAGCTGAAAGAGTAAGGAATGAGGAAGAGCGCGTAGCGGTCAAGAAGGTTATCGAAACCGTTTTCAAAGTAAAAATCAACCAGGATCAGCTCTATGATTTGCAGCGATCCCCATTCTTACGCGTACAGCCTCCGGACAACAGTCAAGGCGTTGTATGGACTCAAGCGATGCGTCGACTTTACGTTCTAGTCGCAAGCGCTCTTCGCCACAATGAACCGGTGTTATTAGTCGGAGAGACTGGTTGTGGTAAAACTACTGTTTGCCAGTTGCTTGCTGAACACCTGGGCAAAGAACTTCACATTGTTAATGCACATCAGAACACGGAGACGGGGGATCTTATCGGGTCGCAGCGACCTATTCGAAACCGTGGGGCAATCATAGACAAATTGCTGAAGGATGTTATACAAGCACTTCAAGTTCTGGGCCAACATGCAAATGGTGATCTAGATCAGCTCTTGTCTGCGTACCATGCTCTTGATAGCTCATCCTTAGCTAAAGTTCCAAAAGACTTGCAACAACGAATCTATGAGAAAGAAGTAAAGAGCAAGGCACTGTTTGAGTGGGCTGACGGTAGTCTTGTCCAAGCCATGCGCAGTGGCCAGTATTTTCTTCTAGATGAGATATCGCTTGCAGACGACTCTGTTTTGGAACGACTCAATTCTGTCCTGGAGCCGCAGCGCACCATTCTGCTTGCTGAGAAAGGGATTGACAACTCTTTCGTCAGGGCTGATGCTGGTTTCCAATTTCTAGCAACGATGAATCCCGGGGGCGACTTCGGCAAGAAAGAGTTATCGCCAGCTTTAAGAAACAGATTCACAGAAATATGGGTGCCACCATTGTCGGATAATAGCGATATCCTTCAAATCGTTTTATCGAAACTTGAGAAAGGCCATAAACCATTCGCTAATGCGATAGTTGACTTCACGTATTGGTTCGGTAAAACTTTCCGGTCCACAACCTCGACAGCATTCTCGATTCGAGATATCTTGGTCTGGGTTGATTTCATTAATAGCAGTCGGAATCAAGACGGGGCATTCTCCGTTGTACAAGGAGCGGCAACCGTTTTCATTGATACACTTGGCGCGAACCCGTCGGCGCTGATTGCTATTGACCCTAAAAGCTTGGACGAACAGCGGCAGAAGTGTGTCAATAAGCTAAGTGAACTTCTCGGCTCCGATGTTGCTTCGATATACCATGCACACTTAAACCTTTTCATTGTACCCACTGAGCTACGAATTGGGGAATATGCCATCGGTCGAAAATCAGACGCGAATTTCGAAGTTGGCTTTGCTTTGAATGCGCCGACTACCAAAATGAACGCAATGAGGGTCATACGGGCACTACAAGTGCAAAAACCTATTCTTTTGGAAGGCAGCCCTGGTGTAGGCAAGACAACGTTAGTTAGTGCTCTTGCCCGGGCTTGCGGTCAGCCTTTGACGAGGATCAACCTCTCGGATCAAACTGATCTCATGGACCTATTCGGCACCGATGTGCCAGTTGAAGGCGCCGAAGCTGGTCATTTCGCATGGAGAGATGCACCATTTCTACGAGCTATGCAGAATGGCGAATGGGTGCTTTTAGATGAGATGAACCTTGCTTCACAGTCAGTTCTTGAGGGTCTGAATGCTTGCCTTGATCATCGTGGAGAAGTCTACGTCTCTGAACTGGACCAAGTTTTCAAGAGACATCCAAACTTTCGCCTCTTCGCTGCTCAAAACCCGCACCACCAGGGTGGTGGAAGAAAGGGGTTGCCCAGCTCATTTGTTAATCGTTTCATTGTTGTGTATGCAGACGTTTTTCGCGATGAGGATCTTCTTCTAATAGCAAGCCACAACTTCCCCAGTATCCCTTCCGAAACCGTTAGCCGCATGATCAAGTTTATTTCTAATCTTGAGACGCGTATACAAGCTGAGCGGGCTTTTGGGTCCCAAGGCAGTCCATGGGAATTTAATCTTCGTGATACTCTTCGTTGGCTTCACCTGCTTACTTCAACAGATAGCCTCCTTTCCACAGGAAAAGCTGGCGATTTTTTGGACATCGTCATACGCCAGCGATTTCGAAACGATAGAGACCGTTCAGAAGTCAGTAAATTGTATATCGAAGCTTTTGGGGCTCCCCCTGAAAATCACCAGCTATACCACAGCACCAACGCTTCAGCTTTCCAAGTGGGCTTAGCCTGCATGTTGCGAAACAAATTTCTAAAGCCTGCACGCCCACCGGGCATCAACATTATTGCTAGGCTGAAGGAGCTAGAATCGCTACTTGTATGCGTCAAACACAATCTCCCTTGTATCTTGGTTGGGCCCTCGGGTTGTGGCAAGTCTACACTTCTCCAGCATATGGCCTCTCAAGCTGGCAAGTCGCTCGTTACGTTTCCGATGAACGCTGACATTGATGCCATGGATCTCATCGGCGGTTTTGAACAGTTAGACCCTTTAAGAGCGGTCAATGTTGCGATGAGGAAGCTGAAATCGACTTTGATATCGTCAATTCTTGATATTATGCCGCAGACTGTTCCCAATGCGGCTGTTGATCTTATACACACCCTTGAGAGTACAAGCCAATATCTGAAGAATCGTACTTATCTGTTAGGTCTAATTGATGGGCTCCACGCTCAAACATCTTCTAATTCAGACCTTGTAAGAGCTCTCGATGAGGCGCAAAGCCTTCTTCAACGCGCGACGACTATCGCAGATCCAAAGTTTGAATGGTTGGATGGAGTTATCGTCAATGCTCTACAAAACGGCGAGTGGCTTGTACTCGACAATGCGAACCTTTGCAGCGCTTCTGTCTTAGATCGGCTGAACTCGTTGTTAGAGCCAGAAGGGTCGTTAATCATGAACGAGCACTGTGGAGCTGATGGGGAACCTCGGATCATCAAGCCTCATCCAGACTTCCGCATATTCTTAACAGTTGATCCTCGATACGGCGAGCTCTCTAGAGCCATGAGAAATCGTGCCGTAGAGATCTACATCGAGCCATGCTCTTCAACTATCAAGGATTGGGCAGGGAAAATCCCAGATGTCGAAGCAAGACTTGAGAGATATAAACTGATGGATGCAGCCAGGTCTCGTGATCGTGCTAATGACCCAAGTTGGAGTCAGTTAGCTATAGATAGTCTATGCTTTGATGACCTGAAACTTACCTCAAGGCTAAAGAGCGTAACCGGCTTCTCAATTTTGGCAAACACAACTTATGGACATCATCTCACTGCTGAGCAAATTGACAACTCAGCTGGTTCAATCGCTCCATCACAATTGACTGTTGATGTACTGAACTCGACAAGAAGAAGCTTATGCGAAATACCAACCGAAAGCTCTCTCCATGGCATTATGGATTTTATGGCAAGTATTCTCTGCGACTTCTTTTCCTTTATATTCTAACCCAGAATACAGACGTTGCATCCATTGCACAACTCTCCCATCGTATCTCTTTTGCACGGGCACTCTACGCAGTTGCCGTTCTGGTTGGCAATATGCTACGAACTGTCTTGGACGTTAGCAGGAGCTTGGAATGACCTTGAATTAGAAAAGTCTCGAGCGGTCAACCTCCAAATATCTGGTCTGAATAGACTCCAACGTTCTTTCGTTGCAGATAAAGTCGCCGCTGTTCACAAAGACTCAACTATACGATCTGCCAAATTCCTTGTGGGTGTCCTGCAAGCAATTGAGAATTATCTTAGAGAACGATTACAAGTCCCTGATTCTTGGAAAGTGAGTGCGTGCCGTTGATATTGTATATAATGCGGGACTAATGCAAATAGGAAAACAAATATGTTCTCCGGGACCTACTTCACTTCTGGAAGAGAACATTTTACTATCTGGTTCAGTCACCCTTTGAAGAGGCAACGTTTCAGGCCCATCTTGGTCAGATGTCTGCAAATTTGAATAATCACTTGCTCAGTATTGACACTGGTGATACTCGTCAATTACTTGCTGATATCGCGAACGGATTGGGCGAGTGCTTCAACTCTGGATTCAAACTCTCGACAGGTTTGGGGATGGAGAGCTTGTGGAAACTGCTGAGGCCCATACCGGTCCAAAATGAGCGAACGTTTGAACAGCTTCTTCGCATGGAGAGCCTTGCGGCCCGTTTTGACCAAGTAAAATGGAAATCGATGGCTACCCCGGCGGGCCTGTCTAAAACTATGGACTCTTTTATTCGAGCCTATCGTCTTGTGCGGCTAGGCACAGCCGATACCGATGGCCTCTTCCAGTTGCTAGAAGCTGAGATTGAACAAATGCAAGCCCGCTACGTCGATGATAGTGCACCTGTTCCACCATTTCTGGCCACGGAGTTTGAAACCATCAGGCAACTTACCATTGTTGACCATATTTGTGAGCAACGCAAACTTCCACTCACTGTTAACGAAGTTGTTTCGCTGTCAGACGCATCGTTAGCTACCCTATTACGTGTCGATAGTGCGACCGATACAGCCCAATCACTACAACTGCTAGAGGCCCTCGTCCAAACTGAGCAACGACCACCACTTTGGGGAGAAAGCTTGTCGACAAAAATCTTACTGAAACTGAGAAGTATTCGCTCAGCGCCACTAAGCCGTCTCGCCTCGCTCGAAACAGAGCTACCCCTGGTAGCGAGGAATATCAGTCGGTATTCGGATGCAATTACTGCTGACTGGTCTGAGAAACTTAACAAGGTCTTATGGCATCTCATGCAGGAAATTCTGACTGCCTGCGATTCTCCTTTGACTGAAATGTTTGTGGCGACTTGGGGACATCTGCCCCGCGACTCCATCTTTGAATCCATCAGGTTCACTAAAGAAGGCTTATCCGTCAAAGTCGAGAATTTTCTACCTCACCTTACCACTAGTCACCTTGGTGGCCCCTTCGGCACAGTTAATAAGCATTTCGTTGCTGCATTTGTGTCCTTGATAGCGCATAGAGCCAGTGGACCTATGGAATTTCGCTACTTGGCAAATGCCTGGGTCCAGTTCTCTGTAGCCTTAGTTAAGCTATATATCCCCGACAAAGCTTTTGATCCCCAGCTTCGCCCTTTAGTTGAATTGACGAGCTACGATGATCTATTCAAAGCTTTAAAGGGGCAGTTGGAAATTCTAGAAGAGTACGCAAAGTTTCAGACTGGCAATCCAAGCAGCCTACGGTCCGAAATCGCCAAAGAGAATATGGTGTCTATCGGAGAGCGGCCAACTGCAGTTCAGGTCGCATACCGGCCCAGAACTTCCGAACTCGCCAAAGTTCAGGCGGAATTTAACAATATTCTAAAGGTATTGCTAAGCGCTAATCTTGATACCATCCTATCGCAGCATATTCTCGGTTTCGAGGCAGCCACCCAAGAGCTTCAAGTGATTCATGAAAACGTGTCACGGATCAGCTCCAGATTGACGTACCACTTTCGAGTATATGAGGATATTACGCTTCCAACAGTTAATATCTTGCATTGCCTGGATATCGGCCTGTCACTTGCCAATGAAGTGAAAATACTGTCGGCACGTCAGACCTCTCCGTCCACGGAACTCTTGAGCTTGACACCTTTGTTGAATGGCAAACCATTAATCTCTACCGTGCGGCTCGTAAAGTCCGCAGAATCCGAATTCCTAGATTTTGCAGTATTAGTAAGGAGCATCGAAGGGTTGCCTGGCATTCGTCGCATCCAGGACCCTGTCTTTGAAGCGATTCATGCGTTCTGCCATCAGTGGACCCAGAAACTCGAAGAAGATAGGAAGGCAGAGGAAGTCAAGAATAGTCTATATCGCTATAAAGGCGGACATGACGAAGAAGAAGCCGCAGAGAAAGCAGCTTTCTCTGAACTCTTTCCGGATTTTGGTGACGAAGCAGAAGAGCAAGAACTGCCTGCACAGCCTAAAATCAACAACGCCAGGGATATGGCGATTAAACTAGCTCAGACACATAAGGCGATTTTCTTGGCACCCCAAAACTCGCCAGAGAGTCTCAAAACCCTGATTAAACGCGTCGCGGACCATGCCTGTCGGACAATTGACCGTGGTTTATTCGACCGAGATTTTCTATCAGCAGCCCTCCTGACTCTTGAGAGAGAGGTGGAATGCCTCACTACTACAGCAATACCCATCAATTATAATTTTTACACGGATTCTAACCCTGTGGAGTCTCGCAAGCTCATCCATGTAGTCAGGGATATCCGTGCACGCTTTCGCCAGCTTCAACATGTTGATGAAATTGGCCATCTGCAACCTCTTGCTGATGTTGTATCAAACTGTGATCTGGTTTTTGAGCTTGGCCATGTTGATCCGCTTGCCAAACTTATATCAAGAGTTGAGCACCTCCATGCCTTCGTGTATGAATGGCAATTTGGCGGGTGGGCGAGCAAAGCCTACGGTGTATTACCTCTTTATACTCGGTTGACCGATTTACTTGTCTCCTGGCGGCGCCTAGAGCTCTCAACGTGGAACAGGCTGTTCGACATGGAAATAAAGAAATGCAACGACGATGCAGATTCCTGGTGGTTTATTGCGTATCAGGCTATTATTGCAGCAGCAATGAACCTTCCCCCAACTACTGAAGAAGTCCGAGGCCATGCTTTGAACTTAGTAAAGGAACTCGAGACTTATTTCTCTTCTGCACCAGTTGGCCAGTTCGCTGGCCGTCTCAGTCTTTTGAAGCAGCTGCACGTTCAACTCACACTTCTTGTCTCAGAGTTTCCATTGTTGGCCATCATAAGTAGTAGCTTGCGTAACTTTATTGACTTCTATGCCCGTTACGAAAAGCCCATCGCAGACTTGATACATAGGGGTCGAGCTCCTATCGAGAAACAAATGAAAGACGTTGTACTTCTAGCAAGCTGGAAAGACACCAATATTGTGGCCCTAAGAGAGAGCGCTCGGAAATCCCACCAAAAGCTATTTAGGATCGTCCGAAAGTTTCGCGATGTGCTCAATCAGCCTATGCGACTAGTCATAGACCAAGGTTTACCTGACGTAAACCAGGAGGAAATTTCTGCTTTGAAAGCACCTCCTGTCTACCTTTCATTCAACTCAGATGCTCTTGACTTATGCCGAGAAAGCGTTCCAGGCTGGGCAGATAAATACAGGCGACTAGCTAACGTACAACGTACCGTTCAACTCATGGGCAAAATGAGTCAGCTGCCAGAGTCCCTTGTCGATGCAACTGGAGTTATTGGTAATTTCCTAGTCGACTTGGACACCCACATGAACGAGCTACGAAAAGAAACGCCTTCGGTTCTCAATGATGACAATAAAGCCCTTGTCAGCCACCTCAAGTCACGGAAAAGAAAGCTTTTCGCGGAGACCTTGAAGGCTGTTAGACAAATGGGATTTCCGTATAACCTCGGCCTCGATGTGCTTTCTAAACAAAGCTCGCTATCTATGGTATTCGTATCCATATCTCCTCTGGCAGAGAATGAATTGGATGGGGTAGACTGCGCAGACTACTATTTCCACAAGATCTTAGATCTAGCCCCCCGTGTGCGAAGTTCAGCCCAAAACCACTCCGAAGACTTGACTACAGCAGAAGCCACAAGAAGCATAGGATTATTCGAGGGTATTATATACAACACCCTTCTACAGAGAGGTGAACTTCGAGCAGCAATGGATGATCTTACAGCCTTGAAAGCGTGTACAGCTTTGCTTGATTCACTTGCCAGGGTGAAGGATGGGAACACGATCCAGGTCGGCAATGTTGCTAGCGATTATCAAACATCTTGCGTCTGGCTTATTGAAGTTTTAAGTGTTGGTATTCAAATCATTGAGGCACACGCTAAGTTTGGCGAGCTTAACAACGAAAGAGTTATCGACTTTCTCTGTGTCTGGAGGGAGAAGATCAAATCTCTATCAACTAATTTAAGCTCTCTCCCGACTTTACCAGCCGACTTGATCACTATAAAACATATGCAGCTCTCGCAAGAGATCCAGTCTTCGCTGAACGAATTTCGTGACTGCCTGAATGGTACGTGCCAGGAACGGCCAGATCTTGCTTTTCTACTCAACCAAATCCGATATTGGGCTATTGTTCCTGAAGATGCAAGCGATGCGCCCGTAGCCAGCAGTCAAAACGTTGAGATTTTGATGCAGAGCGTCAAGAGGCTCTGTGACAGTATACTTGTTGCTGTGGAACAATTGAGTAAATCTCTGCCCAAACTCATTGGCTCAGCCGAGGACAACAGTTGGCTGCTCGACCATCAAAAGCATTTAGCGGTTTCAATTCGGACGCTTCATATCGCTCAAATCAGGGGTAGTATACATGAAACGCTCGAAATTTCTAAGCAAATTGACTGGCACGACCCTGGTGCTAGCAAGCTGGCGCCGTCTCTAATAGCTATAGTTTCTCCTATTGTGCAGCAGTATGGAAACATTTGTAGCTATTTCATCCAGTCCTATGCAAATGGCCACCAAATGGCATGTAAACTGGGTTTTACGTTGAGTAAGCACTTTGTTCACCTCGCATCTCAAGGCTTCTGCACCCCACAAGAGAAGTCCGAAGAATCAGGTGGACAGAGTGATAACCTTGAGGGTGGCACTGGACTTGGAGAGGGCGAAGGCGCAGAAGATATAAGTAAAGACATACAGTCCGATGAAGATCTGTCTGAACTAGCTCAAGAGAAAAATGCCGATACAGGCCGGGATATAGAAGATGAGAAAGATGCTGTTGACATGGCCGATGAAGATCTAGAAGGGGACACCAACAGTGTTGGGGACGAACAAGAGGACGAGAATGGATCGAATTCTGGTGACGATGAGGATAACGACGAATTGGACGAAGAGCGCGGTGATGTGGATGACCTAGATCCAACAGCCGTCGATGAGAAGACGTGGGACGGTGAAAACGAAGATGACGCAGAAAAAGACCAGAAGGGTGACAAACCGAAGGGTCAGAAAAATAAAGATGAGGAAGCCGCCGCCGGTGAACAGTCTGAAGCTCAAGACCTCCAGAAAGAGGAAGGTGAACAAGGCAATGATGATGAGGACGAAGAAGCAGGCGTAGAATTGGAGGAAGATGTTCAACAACATGACGATGAGCCTAATCAGCAAGACCAAAACGTTCAAGAACAGGAAACTCTTGCTCTACCTGACGACATGGAGATCGATGGGAATGACAACGAATCTCTCTCGTCGATAAGCGATGACGATTTGGATGAGTTGTCCAATGTAGATCAACAAGAGAAAGAAGAGCGGGAATTAAGTGATCAGGAGGATAAAGACGACGAAGAGATGGAAATGGATATGGGCTTAGTGGAGGATAGCAAAGACGAGATGGAAGAAGAGTCTGTGGATGACAAAGCCCAGCCACAGGAAAGCGAGGAAGCACATGAAATTGAGGAGGAACCTGCAGTGGAACAAGACAAGGCAGATGAAGCCCCTCAGGATGATGCCAATGCAAACAACGACCACGTTGTGCCAAGCGATTCAAGAGGTAGCGGGCAAGATCAAGATGCCGAACAAAGTGAATCTCGTGATAACTTCGAAGATTCAGACGCTCAACAACCAGATGGTCAAGCAGGCGAGGATACAACCGATCAAGACAAATCTGACGGCCAGAAAGGTAGCCTTTCCCAATCTCAGGATCTTCCCATGGAAACCGATCCTAGCGATGCTACAGAATCTGCGGAATCCCACCCTTTCAAAGCATTGGGAGATGCCTTAGAAAAATGGCATAGGCAACAGCGGGAAATCAAAGCTGCTCAAGAGAATCAGATTCAACAACAGGCAAATGCAGAGCAAGACACAAAGATCCATGAATTTCAGCATTTGGAGAATGACGAGGCTGCTCCAGACGCACAAGCAATGGGCACTGCCACAGAAGAGCAAACTCAGCCAATTGACGATGCTATGGCAATTGATGACGACGAGGATCAGTCTCCGAACGATCGAGTCTTGCCGGAAGATCATGATCCACCGTCACCAGAAGAGGCTGACACCAATGAGATGGACACATCAAAGGCCGCAGAGCAGCAAACTGCACGGGACGAGCAGCGAGAAGAGCGAGATGCTGGTGTGACTACACATCAAGGTGCTTATAATCAAGACATGACACCGCCCACACATGGTGCGCCGATCTCAGAAGAAATTGAGGAGGTAATACAAGAAACCTCCACGCAACTATCGTCCACCCACCTAGAACCGGAGTTGCAGTTAAGGGACTACGAAGAGTCGATGCGACAGTGGACCAGTTTCCAAAGCAAAACACATGCGCTATCTCTGTCGCTTACTTCACAACTTCGACTTATCTTAACACCTTCACAATCAACAAAGCTTTCTGGGTCCTACAGAACTGGCAAACGGCTCAATATAAAGCGAATTATCCCATACATTGCTTCTAGTTACAAGAGGGACAAGATATGGATGCGGCGGGCTATCCCAACCAAGCGCTCATACCAAATCTTGCTTTGTGTGGATGATAGCAAGAGTATGGGCGAATCTAGCTCTGGCGTACTTGCCCTTGAGTCTCTTGTCATGGTATCACGAGCCCTGACGATGCTTGAAGTTGGTGAAATCGGCGTCCTAGGCTTTGGTACGAATGTGTTCACGGCCCACGAGTTTTCAGAACCATTTGCCTCCCACGATGCCGGCGCTAAGGTGCTACAGCGGTTCGCCTTTCAACAAGATTATACGAATATCAAATCCCTTGTACGCCAAACGATTGAACGTTTCCGACTAGCGCGTCAGCAGAGTGCCAGTCGTAGCTCAGAAGACCTGTGGCAGCTTGCTCTCATCCTCTCCGACGGCCTCACACCATCTTCCGAGCATGAAGACATTCAGGTCCTCCTTCGCGAGGCGATGGAAGAGCGTATAATGATTGTATTCATCATCATGGATGATACGACGCAGAAGAAGGAGCAAAGCGTGCTGAAACTCAAGAAAGTGAAGTTCTTGAGCAACGACGAGATCAAGACAGAATACTATCTTGACACGTTTCCCTTCCAATACTACCTCGTTGTGCATAATCTTGAAGATCTACCCGGTGCGCTTGCAGGATTGCTGAGAACATGGTTCGCGGAGGTAAACACTTGATTTCGCAAACGGCTTTCTTTATGTTCATAGTATTAATAACCTCAACTTATACACAATGATACCACAATATAGGCTTGTCAGACCTAATTGAGCGCCGGATTATGTCCTGTCTCTCCGAGGATGCTACGAAGTCTTAGACACGTCCTCATGCCTAAAAGAATGAGCGGTAGCAATGACCTCATGATTTGGATTCTTTCAGAATTCCGCTGAAGAATGTTTTAACGCTATGAACATCATCCAAAGGACTTAGTTGAGCAAGGTCTAATTCACTGTCAGCGCTTTTCCCCGTAATGATATTAATTTTGTATCCACATACATTGATCAGGCCGTATGATGACCGAAGCGCCTTGGCGAGGGTCTATACCGTATACCTCGTACGCACGTCCATATTCTTCATCGTCGACAAAAATCTTCAAAATGTCTTATGCACGATTATAAATCAGCATCATTTCATTCAGAAAGTTGAGTAGCAATCTCACCTTTCAACTTCCATTTACCGGTCTCGAGCATGAATACGTTGGGGATTGTTTCAAGCTCGATGTTTGATCGTTTAGATGATAATACAAGGATAATATTGAAGACACTGTTTGGATCGAATTTAGAAGGTGTAAAAGTGCGGATGAGGTCCTCTAAATCCAAACCGAGCTATGATTGGCAAGTTGCTCAAATTAGTAGCTGCTAACCCCTTGTCAGTATCAAGAGGCCATGACGAACCTTGTGTAATCTTTTGGCGGTATCCTCATCCTGGATATCTCCACCAAAAATAACGATATGCCATCGCGAATCCGCGGGCAGAGCCCTCGTCAGCCACATTGGTTTTGCATCAGCGACCCGTACGACCTGGGCGCTCGGAAAGCGCATGCCAACAGTCAGATTCGTAGCCAATGAGCTTTGACTCGTGGTTATAGCCGTGATCATGGAGGTTTCGTATTGGATTGCTAGGCCTGCTGTATAACGACCTGCCTTAATGAAAAGCTCGGGAGTAATGCTGCTCCCTTGATCACTGCTAGCTGAGAATAGCTTGGACCAATACCTATCGAAATCGATGAGGTCCGCAGCCGTCTTCTATTACATACGCTAGAGTAAGCAATCGCCAGACAGGGAAGGGGTTCAGCTCATGTCTCGAGAATATGTAGAAGCAATGATGCCCGAAGCTTGTCCAAGGGGAGAGTTATTGGGTCTAGGCAACTAACCTGACGCTCGAGAACGTACGTCTCGAGAAGCTTAGGAAAGGCTTGCTTTTGGAGCACCGCTGCTAGCTTCCAACCTAGATTATAACCATCCTGTAGCGATACGTTCATGCCCTAATGCGGTATTAGAGCTGTTGATTGCTATATTAAAAGAAATGACGAGATTGCGGCGGCCTCAGGCATGGCAATGGTTCGGAGGACCTATTGCCTCATTCCCAAATTTCATATTACTAACCTGACCGGCCTTTGGCGAGTGCGTATGGCAAGCATCTCCGCTGAGGAATACACGATAGTGTGCGTGAAACTCGTTGGTGACTAGAACACCTGGTGTCAGACATGTTGTGTGACAAGCGTGCTCCGGGGGTATTTAGATTTTCGAGGCTTTTAAGTGATAGTCTCGTTATAGGCTAAAATATCATACTCCTGGCACAGCCAGAGCAAGAAATGCATGATCGCTGAGAAATACTTACGGCGCTGACCAATGACATACGCTGACCACTAATACAGTTTACTGGAGTCAGTAACTACTCTTTTAAGAAAAATGGGAGCAGGTCTCGGGAGTCATGGATACTCTCGAGACATGCTTGTGGCCCTAACAAGAAAGCATGGCCTGCATGAGCTTCTAGGATAGGAGGAAAATAATTCCAAGGTTAGCATACCCAGGAAGTTTCCGGAAAGTCCATAGCATAAGGTTGGAAGATTTGTCGGGCTTTCTCATGCAGTTGGGCTAGCGTCACATCTCTGGCTGCTGCGGCGCCACCAGAAAGATTGATGTAAAAGCGCACGAGTGAGTCACCTTCTCGTGGTATGATCAGAATGGTCCCAGCTTCTGACTTGACGATGGCTTTCTTTCGAATATCTGGGAAGCTAGTCTTTGGGTATACGTCCATAACACCCCAGACTTTATCATAAGAAGTTAACAATAAATACAAAGAGGTCATAATAAACAGTAGCACTTGTGGAAATGCCCCAATAAGCTTTTAGGATAGGATTTCGTGCCTATTAAAAAAAAAAAAGATGCAAACGTTGCATAGAGAGAACGGGGAAGATATTGAATGTAATATTAATTTCGACTTACCCTCATCGCTACTGTCACCGATCATTTCGAAGCCTAGTGATTTTCGAACTTGACTATGCGCCCCATCACTACCCTTTGGAGAGTGTCAACATCATACTGTAGCAAAGACATATTCTATCGACGGATTGCATTGTATTGAAGGAAAAAGGCTCGGATGAACCCCTTACCAGTGCATATTTAGCCTTGTAGACTTTCTGGATACCGTCTTCTACAGCATTGACAGTAACACAATGTGCATCTGGGTCATCGACAAGGCTTGAATCGACTGATACATCTTTAACATCACAGCCATAGTCGATATTCGCAGCTCCAGACGCACGCACCATCAGATCCGTCAAAAACGCATTGATTCGGGCCTGGTTTAGGATGACATGGGGAAGATGGCTCAAGCCGATTTCTGTATCTGGGGTAATATGCGTGCGTCGAATGCCTTTCTTTGCCGATGCCCCATCTACCCCCTGCCGTAAGGCGCTTTCATCGTTCTCGGAGACGGGTGACCAGAACACGTCTTCTAACACATGATACGCCTCTTTGAGCAGTTCTTCCGAGATCCCAAAACTCTCGAACACCTCCACCGACCGAACCTGAACGCCATCCGCTTGCCCTTGTGTTAACATGCCGGGGCGCCGTTCCAATATCCGGTACGAGATGCCGTTGCGGGCTAACCAAACACCGGCGCAGAGTCCAGCAGAGCCGCCCCCTATTATCAGCACGTCGACTTTTGTGGTCGTCATCGGAAGGCAGTCTGGAGGATTTACATTCACATAAATGTATTATACGATGTATAAACAGAGGATTAGTATCTACTATTGCAACATTATTGAAACACCACGGTGGGGGAGTTGGAGAAGTATTAGCGGTCACCAAGGTGATATGTGCGGGGAAGCTCGAACCTGATTGCCGTAGATCCTCGGAGGGTGGAGGGCTCGGAAGTTTAAGCATTGGCATACAAGAACCATGATCAAATATGAGCCTTTCAACAACCACTAGGGCTGATTGCACACAGCTATGAGCCTACGACCGATTAAATCTCTTGTGTTTTCTTACATGCTTACTGGTAAATATGCTACAAAGACCTATTATTCACTATAACCAATGCTAGCATTCCCGTAGCGCTATCCATAAAGCTATTCATTGAAGTCGGGATGTTCACTCCGGTGGAACAAGACGATCATCTCGGGCTCCCGGGGAGTTTAGTTCGGGTGATAGGGACCAAGACCGGCCGTCATCGCCCGCACATTCTATATTGTCCCAAGTATAATGTTGCAACCAATATTGATACAGCGGAACCAGAAAGGAGAAAAACAATCAGCGTCGCAGCTCAAGCCCCTCCATGCAAAGAATTGCTGGGCATTTTTGTCATTTATTTCTTCTTTAGCTTTCAAACATGGAAGAAGAGGAAGAAGATGAGACAAGTATTTTGAATATGCGCACCCAAATAGGCATACCGCAGCCGCACTACTATCCGGCCATGCCGAGTTACTAGGAGAGATACTCGGTAATTAACGAACAACCAGCTAGGTGGCGTCTTACGGGAATATGAAGCCTTAGGCCATTGGACAATACATTGCTCGTGCTGCTTCCGGTTGAGCGAGAAAAATTTAGTAACTAACCTAGCAAGATGATGGCGTCCCTCGCTGACGTCATCTTGACTCGCCATTTTCGACGATAGCGGATCGCAATTTTTTTTTTGATAATGTTACTCACTATGTTAGTCTAGCATAGATTGTTTCTCATTATGTATATAGAATGGGACAAAGGACACGCTTGCTAGAAAATGTGTAAATAGAGTCCATGTATGAATAAAGATTGTAACCGTCCAAACCTAGCGGCCATGGCAACAGCTCTACCTATGAGGAGCATCACAAGAGCAACACGTTTCGCTCCCAGGAACATCATAGTAACTACATCGGCCAGTCGACAGGCTCTCACGAATTTTTGGCATCATGAACCATGGCGCATAACTGGAGGGCTGCGGATGGCTAGCACTGTAAGTGATACTGCTGCGGTAGCTATACAGGGCAAAACATCAGGTACCTATACCAACACCCGGACACTCTGCCTAGTTGTGAAGAGGTAAAATAAGCATGCTCACAGCTTTTCAGACCGGAAAGAACGCGTCGTGATATTAGGCTCAGGTTGGGCCGGGTATGCCTTCGCTCGAACACTGGACCCGCGAAAGTACGAGCGGTTTATGATCTCTCCTCGTTCATACTTCGTCTTCACGCCGTTGGTCGCGGGTACCGCCGCCGGGACTCTTGAGTTCCGAGCTGTCATCGAGTCAGTGAGGAGACTGAATCTAGACCATTTTTACCAAGGTTGGGCCGACGATGTCGATTTCGAGCGCAAAGTCGTCCGTGTTGAGGCGAACACGTCCGACGATGTAGCCGGCAGGACGAGGGCGCAATTAGCGCCGGCTCCAGGTAAACTGGAAATAGAGAAGGGGCCAATGTTCGACGTGCAGTACGACAAGCTCGTGATCGCTGTCGGCGCCTACGCCCAGACATTCGGGATCGAAGGAGTGAAAGAATACGCCAATTTCCTCCGCAATGTCGGTGATGCTCGCAGGGTCCGGATAAAGATTCTACAGTGCTTTGAGAAGGCGTCTCTGCCCATTACCACGGACGAGGAGAAGAGAAAATTACTTCATTTCGCCGTTGTGGGTGGGGGGCCAACGGGTATCGAATTCGCGGCCGAACTACATGATCTCATTGAAGACGATCTGCGCAAAACATATCCAGACCTGTACCAATTTATCAAAATCACCGTGTACGATGTTGCGCCGAAGGTGTTGCCGATGTTTGACCAGAAGCTAGCACAGTATGCCATGGACACGTTCAAGCGCGGGCGCATAGACGTGAAGACGGAACACCACCTCACACGCATCCGGCCCGATGACGATTGCGCCGGATGTCTGAAGTTGCGGTTCAAGGAATACGGAGACGAAGAGGTCGGCGCAGGTATCGTGGTCTGGAGCACGGGACTTATGCAGAACCCGCTGATACAGAAACTCGAGTCGAAAGAAGAGGGGCTGCAGCTCCAAAAGGACGCGAAAACAGGCGGACTCGTCTCCGACGCTCATCTGCGCGTTTTGGCCGCTCCGAAATCAGCAGCAGGAAAGTCCGAGCAGCAACAGCAGGATGTTGCCGTCGTGCCGAATGTCTACAGTATCGGTGACTGTGCCGTCGTCACGGGACAGCGATATCCCGCCACGGCGCAGGTTGCGAGCCAGCAGGCGACGTATCTCGCAAGGAGCTTCAATAAGGGTAATCTAGAAGCGAAACCCTTCCGGTTCAGGAATTGGGGTGTCATGACCTATTTGGGTAGCTGGAAGGCGATACACCAGAGCAGCGCCGACGAACTGACTGGCAGGGCGGCGTGGTTCCTTTGGCGCACAGCGGTATGTAATCTTTCCACCCATGATCTAGAAGTTTTCCCTTGACGTGATGTTCATAACACGTACTAACCCCTTGAGCTGTTATAGTACCTCACCAAAAGCATGAGCATACGGAATAAAATCATGGTACCGGTATATTGGCTGATATCCTGGGTTTTTGGCAGGGATATCTCGAGGTTTTAGATTTGGTTAACAGCATGGTAAGGTTATCTGTACTATTATTCCGTAGTCGAACACTTCGACTGGCCAGCATGTGCGTGTGAAGGGTAGAATTGATTGCATCTAGGGTGCCCAGCGAGGTTAAATAGGCTTGCATATTTGTAGCCTGATACAGCAGATGCTACCTTGTATTGATGTTCTGAGAATATTGCTTTTTTTTTTCCCTTCAATTGAAAGCATTTTGTTTATCTACTTAGATACAAACTTGGTTTACATTTTACAAGAGGTAGTATTTTTACCCGATTAGCACGAATGAGAGATGAGAGACATTTTGAGGTCACCTTGATGTCGCCAATCCCACTGCTTCCCGTACAAGTCTCATAGTCTCCTCGGCGTTCTGGCGCGCGGCCTCGGCACCCGCAGCCTCTATATCGTCCAAGTACTTGCCGCCCTCGCGCTCGAGCAGCTCGGTATACCGCTCAAGAATGCCGCTTAGCTCGGCGGTCACGGCCTCGATGCAACGGGCCTTCAGGTCGCTGAGCTTAGCACCCATGAGGGAGTCAGCCACGGCCTCGGGCGTTGTCGGCTCGGAGCTGCATTGCGCCGTAATTTCTAGGAGATTCGCAACTCCAGGGCGATAATCCGGTTCATATGTCACCGTGTTCAAATTGTCAGTAACAGTTTGTTGAATTCGTTGCTCGATCTCTCTAGGCGTTGACGTAATGAGGATCCGTGATTTCTCACTTGTCGCTGATTTCGACATCTTCTCGCGAGCATCTCGGAGTGACATGATGCGCGGTGATGGAGCTGATAGTGTCACGTTCAGATATCTTCGATAGAAGCAAAGCGAGAAGATGCAGGCAAATGGTGGCCACGACATCAGTTAAGGGAGACTTACTTGTTATGGTCTCAGGGGAGACAAGCAGCTCATTTTGATAAGTATGATTGAAGTTGGTCACGCACTCCCTGGCGAACTCCAGGTGTTGCTTCTGGTCATCGCCCACAGGCACATGTGTAGCGCGGTGAACGAGGATATCAGCAGCCTGTAAGACAGGGTAGGAGAATAACCCAAGTTTTAAGCGTGAGGCTATTGCCTCATTTACATCGCCTTGCTTATTGTCGGCCTGGAGTTTACTCTATCACCTTGGTCAGCGCGTGATACACTGAAGCGTAAAGCATCACAAACCTTATACTGTGTCATCCGGCCGAGGTAGCCCATTGACGCCGTACAACTCAGTATCCACATCAGCTCAGAGTGTTGCATAACCTACTCATATTCAGTTGAGGGTCATATATACAACAAGAGGCGTAAGCCGAGTTAGTCAGTAGAGCGTTCACATACCGATGATTGGTAAAACAGAGTCGACTTCTTGGGGTCTAGTCCAATGGCCAGTAAAGCGGCTAGCATCTCTCTCCTTCGGAACCTGAGAGCCTGGGCGTCTTGCGGCATCGTGATAGCGTGGAGATCAACGATAGAGAAGAGCAACTTGTCTTTGTCGCCTGCCATATCTTGCAGACGCTTCCATTGACGCATAGCCCCTAGGTAATTCCCTAAATGCGGCACGCCGGTGGGCTGGATGCCCGAGAATATCACAGCATGGTCGCGCTGACTTTGCGTGCTAATACCCGAGATCCGCGGTTTGTGCGTCGACGCAAATAAGGACTGCGCCGTCGAGACCGGGAATCGTCTGCTGCAGCACGTGCGCGCTATTGGCAACATTGAGATGTATATGTGAAATAGATATGCTCTGGCAATTATTGTGCCTCTAATGTGTGAGCCCGTTTCATGTGCATCGATCTGGGAGAGTGTCAATTTATGAGATAGCCGTATCGCTCAAAATTCAAGGTTACCGGAATTTCAATAGTATCATTACATGAACCATATTAGTATTTTGTTGGGTTTTAGATCGATTTGATGCCAAATATTGGTAGATTGAAGGTTGAAGGAGGGAGAATTTAGTATCAGCGAAGCTCGGGCCACCTGGTCTTAAGTCGTGCACTTTCACCATCAGACTCTAAAGCGATGACTAGGTGGGTAGACAACCCTTTTGACCGCAAAAGACCTCGAACCGCTCAGTTGCCGTACTTGGGTAAAAATGAGTACGCAGGCGCTTTACACAGAATCTATTTGATATACACTGATGATTCTACAGCTTGGTTTGTTTCCTTTACATACCATATATGCCATGCCTTCCTTTATGCTGTATGCTTAAACCTTTCGCTCTCCAACAACTCCTTAACTTTTTCAACTGTTCCTAGAACTTTGCTTTGCCCTAGGAGCTCCATCTTTTCATCGATTGATTTCTGCATTGATGGTAACTCTGAATCCATTTGCTTACTGGTATCTACGAGCTCGTTAGGTCGCCTACTCGTAAAGTCAAGTCGAAACACAACTGCTGTCATATCACTTACCAAGTGAGGAATACTCCCACATATTGGCCTTCATACCGATACCGTAGTAGGCGTGCTTCTGTAAGAATGCAAGCCACACTTGCACTGTTTCAGGGTGACCGTCTCTAATCTGGATTAATCTCCTCCTTGTGATACGTTCGAAATTTTCTTGTGATTTTTTGAAGATGAAGTGTGATCTCGGCACCGTCCATCGCTCTGTTATCTTGGGCAGAGGCACCGGCCCGAAGGCAGGGAGGTTGAGATAGTAAGCTGCACGCAGCGCAAAGTCGCAAAAGAACTCGAGGTTGGGGATGCTATACGACCGAAGTTGAAGATCGCACGAGGGAACACCATATTCGGTCTCACGTCGGAGGGGCTGGAGGTAAAGGGCCTGGACAGCTCGGGGAAGCCGAATTTCATTCTCCTCGGCGGGATTAGGCAGTTCGTTTCTAACATGTCATGAGTATGGAATCGCTGGACAGTCGGCGCAGGCATACCCACATCAATTGAACTGGTGCAGCTCTCGGATCAGCTCTGATCGAATGGCAAGTCAGTACCCGAGCACGGTGATATTGCCATAGGCGCAGCGTGGATTGGTCGACTCACGCTGAGGCTTGTGAACGCTTGCTCATTAACCCTGGAAGAGCATGTCGAGTTTGTCCGGGCTAAGAGACGTCAGCTAGTGAGCCCCTACCATAGATTTCAAATTGTGGTTTGGGAGACGAACAGTCGGCCGTAATAGCGCCTGCCCCAATGGCCTTATGAGACTCGTCCTCGACATGGTGCTGTGGTTCGCATTCCTCCGATTCACGATCCAAAACTGACGCTGGCGACTGGGGACTTGCTTCTACATACTTACAGTCGTCCTGAAATTTGGGGCTCTCTATCGATAACAACATAGGTACAGTACCTAGGTACCAAGCGCACTAAATTCGGGCCCACTAAGTACTTGTGAGGGTACTTACCATAGGGCTGATTTCAAGATGGGCAGTAGGTATCCTGTGAGCATAAACTCTACAAAAGAATAGAGCAAAGTCAATTTATCTCGAAAATATGAGCTTGGATTACGAGTATTCAACTTGAAATTGAAACTGAAAGCTACCCAAAAATCATGCCAACACTGGAAGACCCAAGTTCATCATACCGATCAATAAAGCTACCTCTAACCAGGTAGCAACTTCGGTACATAGGCGGGCAGTAAGGAGGTAACTAGGCACCACTCCCTTTTCCTACTGTAAGTACCGTAAGTGTACACAGGTCATAGCTATCCCACCTTCATTCACCCCACATCCCAATGACATCCAACTCAACATCCCACTTGTATTTGGGAATCGACCGAACTTGGGACTTTGGACCATCTTATTCCTCAAGATGGAGGTGGCTATGAAATCATGGGGTAAGTCCCTTGCGTCTCCCTCTGAGTTGTACCGTACACACCCATCGTACTCCCACTAACACTCGTCCCGTGTTTTTAGAGCTCGACAACGAGGTCAAGCTAGTCGATCCAACTCGTGATGCGCTCTACAACTACTCCCCAGAACGGCAGAATGAGAACAACGACTTGAGGCCATGGAAGTCCGATCCACACCATTTCAAGCACGTGCGGGTCAGCGCTGTCGCACTCATCAAGATGGTCATGCACGCACGATCGGGTGGCTCAATCGAGGTCATGGGGCTGATGCAGGGCTACACGGACGGCGATACCGTCGTGGTGACAGACGCGTTTGGCCTACCTGTTGAAGGAACCGAGACGCGGGTCAACGCCCAAGACGACGCCAACGAATATATGATTCAGTATCTACAGCTTTCTCGGGATCAAGGAAGTCGTGAGGAGAACGTCGTCGGCTGGTACCACAGCCATCCAGGGTACGGATGCTGGCTCAGTGGCATCGACGTCGGTACCCAGCAGATGCAGCAGAAGTTTAACGATCCCTCCGTAGCCGTTGTGATTGACCCTGACCGCACCATCAGCACCGGTCGTGTCGAGATTGGTGCCTTCCGGACCTTCCCTGAAAACTATGAGGCGAACCTTGCGAAGAGCGGTTGTGGTGATGCCGACAACACGACGTCGGTCCCTCTAGCGAAGGCAGAGGATTTTGGTGCCCATGCTAGCAAATACTATGCTCTTGAGGTCTCACATTTTAAGTCAACACTCGACACGCACCTGCTTGACCTGCTGTGGAGCAAGTATTGGATACAAACGCTGTCGCAGAGTCCACTCTTCACCAACCGCGACTACGGCAACAAACAAATGCTCGATCTTAGCTCGAAAATCCGTCAGGCAACGGTATCGGTTCAGCAAGGCGCTAGAGGCGCTGTTCTGTTCCAAAGCTCTAAAAAGGTAGACGTTGAAATGGACAAGATTGGTCAAACGGGTCACTCTGTTGCGATGAAGGAAAAGCAGGGTCTCGTGGCGACTGAAGTCAAAGCAAAAATCTTCAATGGGCTGGGATCTCAGACGACAGCGTAGAGAGATTGTCAGGGATAGGCTCGCTTGATGAAGAGCAAAAGCTTCGCTTCGAAAGCGGGGCACATTCATGTGATACGAAGCATTGATCGGCGTTATTGGGTGGCTTGAATTGATCTATAGATGAACCGACTAAAGCGACTATGTACAGGAGTTCTTCATGGCTACAGAAATGGTACAGGTTTTTGATACATTTTTGGCAAGAGAATTCCTCTCTCTTCTTACTCCTCGGATGAACCATGCAATATGCCTGCTACCTTCATTCGTAATGGGGACATCGGTAGGATATAGCTTCATACGTTCCTGCTTAGGGCTACCCGATGCGCCTTCCTCACACGTGCTAGCGTTTCCTCTTTACCGAGAAATACCATGCTCGGTATCAATCCGGGGCCCGAAGCGGACGCAAACATCACCCATCGCAGGAATTTCCAGCCCCAGGCCTCGAATTTCTTTCTAGTATCCATGACATAGCCTATTGACTTAATGAACGGCTCAATGCTACTCTTGATGTTCTCCTCTGTCCAACCCTCCGCCGGGACACCCTCAAGAGACTCCAGAAGCGTGGTAGCAAGCTCGGAGATCTTTCGCGGCTGTGGCTGCGTCTCTTTCTCAGTGCCTTCTCGCACAGCGACCTTGTGGAGCATGTTGCGTTGATTTGTTAGGGCAAACATGTACTCTTGCTCTGGGACCTCCCAAAGGATATATGCATTTGACTTTAGGAAGCTTGCAGGAGTTATAAAAGTTTTACCGTTCAGATGGAAAATTTTACTTAAGTATCGATCAGGTATCGCTGAAAAGGGATTGTCCTGGGTCCCATTCAATGACTCGACTGAGTCTACCCAGGTAGCTAGTGGTGGACCGATACGCACGCCCAACTGTCTATGCGGCGCGGAAGGGTCTTCCTGGGATCTCCGGTCTTCCTCGCATATCTCGAGAGCGAGTATGAACTGAGGCATAAGAGGTGCAAGGGGAGACGCCTCGCCCGCACTGTCGCGGTCTAGAGCTTTGCGCATATGTGCCTTTTGAAAGAATTCGTCCTTGTTATTTATGATAACATCACCTCTCGTGAATTTTAGGTGAAACTAGATAGGGGCTGACAGTTAGCGTTAGCTTCCTGATGGCAAAGTAATGACTCACCCTTTCGATCATGTCCTCTAGATCCATAACCTCTGAGGTTTCTTCGCTATCCCGGCTTGGGGACCAGCCCAGTAACAAAACATAGTTGAGTAGAGCGATCGGGAGGATGCCCCGTTCTTTCCAAGAGGACAAGTTAAAGCTTGCGTGGCGTTTGCTTAATTTTTGCTTATTTTGATCGACTAAGAGACCAACATGACCAAACTGGGGTGGTTCCCATCCAAAGGCGTGGTATAAGGCAACATGTGCTGGCGTTGAAATGAGCCATTCCTTTCAAAGACACCGAGTGAGTAGCTACTCTTAAATAGCAAGGAGTCGGTGCACCTACAGCTCCGCGAATCACATGAGTGATCTCCATTAGGTGATCGTCGACGACGTTGGCGAAATGATATGTGGGAAAGCCATCCCTTTTCATTATGATGAAATCATCCAGCAGGACAGGACTTTTGTACATGCCGTATACAAGATCCTGTACCACAGGATTTTGGCTATCAGGCCTGAAGCGAATGCAGTGCTCTTCGCCATTTGCTGCACGTTGAGCAGATTCTTCAGCCGAGATGTGAGAGCATGTCTTGTTGTAGACATAATCTCGACCTTCGCTCATGGCTACCCTCTTCATAGCATCAAGCTCCTCAGGAGTGCAAAAGCACCGATAAGCTCGGCCATCGTCTAATAGTTGATTGACATGATAGTGATACGATGGGAGCCTCTCAGACTTTCAAGAATGGTTAGAACAACAATATTTCCCCTGGGAGATGGGAGGCTGGTGTTACCTGTCTGTAGGGTACACAAGGTCCCCCAATATCTGGACCTATGGAGAGTCAGAATAACACGATGCATTCAAGACCAGCGATAAAATATAGGTGAAATATATCGCACCTTCGTCCCATTCGAGCCCAGCCCATTTTAAATCTTCATACATCTTCTCCTCAGCATCGGGCACCAGTCGTTTCTGTGTTAGAGTTAGAGCCATGCTAGTTCTAGTGATGTGTTCAACAACAGTCCGGATTTTATATATTTCTCACCTGATCTGTGTCTTCAATTCTAAGCAAGAACTGGCCTCCGGTTGCTCTGGATAGCAAAAAATTGAAAAGAGCGGTTCGTAATGAGCCAATGTGCAGGTACCCAGTGGGCGATGGTGCAAACCGCGTCCTCGTCGGTGCGCCTGGTAGGAGAGGTGTTGGCTCCTCCCCGCGTGCTGGACGGCCGAGCAAATTGCGTCGGCTGAACAAAATATGATGACACCGGGGCAGGGCCTGTCGGCGGAATGCGCCGCGGGCAACATACAGACTGCTCATCACTTGTTTTAATAAAACGGGCTATCGTCTACTCATCATCATTTAGAGGCGCTGTTGGCCGAGTTTGACTTTTATCGAGAGGCTGTTGGTGATTCCGGTCAATAGCGAGCATAGGTATATATCCATATCGATAGCTGGGCGTTACGACATGTTGTTCCCACCCAGAATGCACCTAAATTAAGAGCTACATACTTACTTACTGGAGTTATCGGAGTTTATGACTGTTCAACTACCTACCTAGGTACATACTTTTTAACCTAATGGTAGAAAGAGATTTCAGATCGGAAGCTTTTACCATTCAACTTCCATTTATATATATATATGTGTGTGTGTGTGTGTGTGTGTGTGTGCAGGCAAAACGATACAATCGAATAGAAATACTGCAGTTCTACGCTGTTTTTACACCAACTACCTACCTAGGTAATCACAGCACATTATCACTTATCCCCTGTCACCCCAGTTGGTACCTAGTGGCATCCGATAGGTACTTAAGTACTGAAACAGTGTAATGTGGCCGAAGCCAAAATGGTTTATTGAATAACTCGACCAGCGAGGGCTGAAGCCAGCTAGAAAATGAAGGTTGTAGATGGTAAGGTTGGTGGCCAAGGGGCCCTAATCTAGCCCGCTATTCTTATATGCCCTTGCTTCCGTTTGCACCCCCCACAGTACCTACTTAAAGTACAAGTAGGCAGTACCTAGCAGATGGATGCTTGACTGCATGCATGCACTACTCCCGGGTAGGTACTTATATAGTACATGTATAAGAGATCCATTGTATGTATAGCTCCTGTGGCGGAAAATTCTGCATGTCCATCAACCAACTTCTAATGTAGCATGCCATAGGTATCCTAGCCGTAGTTATTACATCAGAATGAAAACGTGAACAGATACATGCACTAACTTATCCATGCTACTAGCTTTTCTTCTTCTCTCTCTCCCTCTTTTTTTAGTCAGTGAGCTTATCGCCTAAGGCTGTGCGCGTCTTTGGGTTGGCTGTGTGGCCGCCTGGTTTCTCCCATAATTAAGTAGATATCCCATCCTACTACCCAGTACGTGGGGTGTAAGCTTGCCCCACCACTTTTTTCTCTGCCTACCCAAACTTGCACTCCATTGTATCTTCTCCTTTGACGAGACTGAGGGACAAGAGACTTCCTCGTTCTCCACGGCCTGCTACTAAGTTCCAATCCCTGAGTTGCTATCATGGCGGAACAGGATAACACAGACCTATACGGTAAGATACTCGTCGCTCCGCCGTCCTGCCTTCCGTGTAGAATTACGCGGGGTCCAATGGCTGACTTACAAATTCTTAGAGCTTCTCGGCGTCGACAGGTCAGCCGACCAAAATGACATCAAGAAGGCCTACCGCAAGGTCCGCTTGTCCACGCCCCTATCGGCCTTATATCTACATGCTGACTATTCAATAGCTTGCCTTGAAGCACCACCCTGACAAGGTTCCCGAGGACCAGCGCGAGGACTCCGAGCACATGTTCAAGCTCGTAACCCAAGCCTACGAGATTCTTCGAGACGATGAAAAGCGCGAAATGTACGACAGGCATGGAATGGCTGCGTTCGACCCCAGTAGGGGCGGTGGCATGGGCGAGGGACCCGATATCAACGACATCCTAGAACAAATGTTTGGTATGGGTATGGGCGGAATGGGCGGGATGCCTGGCATGGGCGGCGCTGGCGGGCCCAGAAGACCGCGTCGCGGACCTGACGAAGAGTCGAAGTACAGCGTCAGTCTAGAGGACCTGTACAAGGGCAAAACAGTCAAGTTCGCCGCCAACAAATCTGTGGTTTGCGGCACTTGCAAAGGCTCCGGTGGCAAGGAAAAGGTGAAGCCGCAACAGTGCGACCGTTGCAAAGGTAACGGTATGGTTGAGATACTCCGTCAGATGGGCCCAGGCCTAGTTGCCAGAGACACGGCTCCATGTGACAGATGCCAAGGATCGGGCAACTATTACAAGGAGAAAGACCGTTGCAAGAAGTGCAAGGGAAAGAGGACGATCCAGGAGACAAAACCCCTGGAAATCTACATCCCTCGGGGAGCATACCAGGGCGAACGCATCGTCCTGGAAGGCGAGGCCGACCAGCACCCCGATCAAACGCCAGGCAATCTTGTCTTCGTTCTTGTTGAGGAGCCGCATGAGGTCTTCAACCGAGTCGGAAATGATCTTTCTGCGGACCTAGAAGTCACCCTAGCCGAAGCCCTCTGTGGGTTCTCGCGTGTCGTCTTGACGCATCTTGACGGTAGAGGCATTCACATCAATCACCCAAGAGGCAAGGTCTTACGTCCAGGACAAGTGCTGAAGGTCACAGGAGAGGGCATGCCATTGAAACGTGGAGACACGAAGGGCGATCTATATCTCATCGTAAAAGTCGAGTTTCCGGAGGATGGTTGGCTCAAGGACGACGCTGCCCACGAGTCACTGACGAAGCTGTTGCCCGAACCTGCTCCTAAGATCGAAGCTAGTGAAGTTGACGACGTCGAGTATGACGATGATGCTGACCTTGACGAGGTACGTTCAACCCCGCTAACAGAATGGAAGTAGTGTTACTTGATACTAACTTGCGGCAGATGGGAGCTAATTCGGGTGATCCACGATATGGTGATGGTTGGGAAGATGACGATGATGATGAGGGCGGTGCGCAAGCTCAATGTGCACAACAGTAATGTATTATGAGATGTAATCTTTGCTTCGGCGACAGGGCCATGGAATCACTACGCAGGTCGAGTTTTGGGTTTCTTTTTTGTTTCTGGGACGACAATAACGTTCTTCAAGAGCGATCAGCGAGTCAGCATCGGCATCAATATCGGCATAGTCATCGGCATAGGTATGGGAATAGTGTCGATTAGGATAGAGACGAGTGAAGGGAGAAGGCCCTTTCCTTGTGTCTCTTCTGGGAAATCTGATAGACCAGATAGAAAGCCTAGAAGGCAAGACATGAATCACCCCTTACGAAGAATCAATGAATTCTATCTATGGAAACAACCTTTCATACTCAATGAGACTACCCGAAAATCTACGACAACGCATACCACAGCATGTCATAACAGTAGTTATTTCTCGCGCGGTGACACTTTATGCTCCACGCGACCATAACCCATGAAAGTGATTCACAGGTACCTCGCCTCTAGTTAGGTACACAAGGGTACATAAGGGTACCAATGCAACATAAGAGGTACTGCACATTCAACTACCTAGAAGAATTTGCATGTAGGTACCCAAGTACTGTAGGCAGATAGTGTGGCTAGTGCGACACACAAGCCACCACCACAAACCTTCATTCGCTAAATTTCCCCACTTACCTAAGACTCCCACAATTGCCCACGAACTTTTTCTCAACCTGCGACTCGACCAGACATCCGACGGCAGAACACCAACAAACCCCATCACGGCCGACGAGAAACCGCAGTCAAGGTGAGACGCCCCCATGCTGCAATTCTGCTTTGCCAATATCCTAGCTACGAGTCAATCCTCCAGAATACGACAGATTTCTAACTGATTGCCGTAGATGGTTGCCAAGCACATTCCCATCGTCAAGAAGTACGTCCGAGATTCTCTGGTTCAGCGTCACAATTTACACCCCTATTTATCCCAACTGGCAATGACAATTCAATTGATGTTGCGAAAAATCGAGACGGAGGATGGAGAGAGGATGGAGAGGGCATTTGACGCAATAATCTCGCTTCTCGAATTCCCCCTGGACCTTTTTCTCCAATCGAGCCTTTACGCACGCGAACAATGGTACATTCGAGGAGGTCGCTAATTATACAACAGGAAGACGAAGAAGTTCAACCGTCACCAGTCTGACCGGTTCAGTACGTCTCCTCCCAATTGAAGTTTACTAAGGATTGAGTATTAACTTATCGCGAACAGAGTGCCTTTCTGTTAGTATGCCAAACCAACGGTACTAGAACACGGACTAACCCACATCACAGTCAAGCTGGAGGAAGCCTAAGGGTATTGACAATGCTGTCCGCCGACGATTCGTAAGTTGTCAAGGGATCAACCATTCAGGTGATTTGTACTAACAGCCAACTCACAGCGTGGGCGCATGGCTATGCCATCGGTACGTAAATAGACCAGGCCAGCGGACTATCAACCAGGTTCTTGTGCCTTCAAAGAAGTGTTTCACTAACAACCCTCAAGATTGGTTATGGAAGCAACCGCAAGACCCGCCACATGGCCCCTAACGGCCTGAAGGTAAGCTGATAGTTGTCGATACAACAAAACTAAGCTAATAGAATTAGGCCTTCCTTGTCAGCAACACCAAGGACGTTGAGCTGCTGCTGATGCACAAGGACACCTACGCCGCTGAGTACGTGAATATTCATTACGTGATGAAGAATAAATACCCAGAAAACTAATATGTGGCAGGATCGCCCACAACGTGTCCTCAAGAAAGCGAGTCGATATCATTGCCCGAGCCAAGCAATTGGGAGTCAAGGTCACCAACGCCAAGGCCAAGGTTACAACTGAGATCTAAAAAATGGGCGGTTGATATGGTGACACTGGAGTTCGGTTTTCTCGTTTTCGGCACTTTGCATGTATGGGAAGGATTCATACTCTGCGGTCTACGGACGGTTTGAGCTAGCAATTTCGTGCTAGGAAATGCAACACGAATTCTACGATGACAACCACTCGTCTCCTCGGGGATACATGACACGAAAACACCCATGGACATGCTTCGTGGATACATCGTAGCCCGGCAATCACCAGTTTGCACATGGATTTCGCCCCACTGAACACTGGTAAAGATCAACGACAACATCTCCGAAGGCAGCCATCTAGACAATTCCAGAACAACAAGTGTTGGTGCATATACTGCCTACCAGCACACCTGTCTTCTTGGAGTGGTTTATATCAGCTGTCTCGGGTTGACAATGAACCGCTTTTACCCAACGAATAGCGTTAGGCCACCCCTATCTAGACAATTGTCTTTTGGGGGGGAATGGAAGTCTGAAATCGACTTAACACTAATAAATACTAAGAAATGTGATGTGCTGCCATGATGTGTGTAATTGGTGACGATGCTTTAAGGCTAAACTAACTCTCTCTACAAGCAATTCTGAAGTCAAATCTAAATCTGCACAAATCAAATAAGTACTATCGTATTTTTCTTGTATGGACGATATCACTCTTGTCAATTGGAGTGAGCCCAGTGCAACAATAGAAAACCAGGGTTCTGTACCAGTTGAACCTCCAGGTTAACCGTTCCATTAGAGACTGTCTACATTGACATTTAGTGTACATCTGTTGGTTCGTCCTTAGTTAACGCCGTATTATTGTTAATTGTGCTTAGTGACCTTAAGAATTCCGTGTTCAATCTTGCTGGCCTGAAGAAATGGAATACACGGATTTTGCTATTTCTATGTATAGTTGGTAGATCTCTGGTGTCCCATCATCAACTGACTTGACGCAAAGTACCTATGTCTAGCGATAAGCTGCGAGTACCTAGGATTGCTTCGCGAAACCTAGACATCTGTAGAAAACTATTTCTTTATTTTCGTACAATTGCTTTATTTTCGAGGGAGATTGTATTTCTACCGGGTGCTATTGTTGGCAGAAGAGCCGGCATGAAGGGAAGAGAAAAGAAAGAGGTCAATAAGACTAGAGCTGGCTTGACAATGCCATTGTTCTTTCACGGGGTTTCTATTCATCGTCAGAATCAATGTGTTGGTAAACAAAGATATTATTCATGTCGTGCCGAAGCTTTCGTAACGTCAATGAAACTGATTCCTTGGGAGTTTATTCGATCAGGTACATACTGCTTCAAACACAATGAGTGTCTCATAGAGATTTTAAGATATTTATAAAGTGCTTCGCTAAAATAATTGACCTGGAAAAGCCCCCATTGAGTTTGTTCTTGTAATTAGCTTCGGTAGACAGACTATAGGATTGTTGCCTCCCAGTTGTCGCAGTTATCTTAGAGACCTAACAGCGAAACTTATTCAGAAATCTTAAGCTCAGAATGACAAATACACTCTCAATAGGGGAGCTCATATGGTGCCGGTCCACCACTATTGTGGGAGTGATATACGGCACAGACGGACAGCTGACCCAGAATGTCATTTCCGGGCCAAAAGTCGCCTCTGACTCCATTTCGGAGGAAGGTGTATATATCCTGCATGGCAAGCGAGGACTCCAAATCGCTGCCGCGTGTGAACGGCGAACTTGTGACATCACCCAGATATGCCGCTGCGCAGTACCGGGACAAAACAGAGACACTAACTTCGAAGCCGGAAGACAAGCCGAGAATATATCTCCACAGACCATTACTGACAAGGGCCTTTACAAACGGATAGTATCATGGCTTCGCCTCTACAAGGCCGCATACCAGATTCGCTGCAGCAAGCTATGCTTTCTCGCATACCCACGAACACTCTCCTGGGACAGTATACTCGGCAGCGAGGCATTCCACTTCGACCATGATCTAGAAGAGCATTATTCGTCAATACGCGGCTCTACAGCGCCCCCAAGAGTTGTTGAAGAGAATCCACAGGAAGCTGTAATAGATTCCATCGCCGATACATGGAGTGAGTTTCTCGCAAGCGGGGAGTATTGTTCTGAGAAGGCGATGAAGACATCACGACGAGAGAGCAGCGAATGGCAGATTATCGGCAGAGATATCGCCAGTGATAGCAGTGACGATGCGGAATCGGGAGAGAACCCCAGTGAAGGCGAAGAACGGCCTGCACCGGTTATTACCCCGCCGAAGAATATGAATGTTGGTCGTGGCCTTGAGTAGCGACAATTAGCCCATTGCTATTTTCCGAGTTCCGAATTCTAGTCACGGATACCGGAAAACTGTGATATTGTAGGACGGTCAACTCTGGCATGAGTACCAACAATTAGAATGAGGTAATTACCGACCGTCTTTGCATCAATCTATATAGCCTGGCGTAGTAAAATAAAGATAGAAAGAACATTCTGTGAACTGACCAGCCTAAATACAGGCAACAACTCGCCCTGGCATTACATAGGGCTTTTGAAGATTACGTAAACTAGATTGATGTACAGCCCGTGGACTTCAGTGATTCTGAGTAAAAAGTTAGTGTCTAAAAGACATCAAATTTAATAAGAGTTAACCGAGTGCGCAGTATCCAGCTAACTTTTTCTAAAAGAACAAAAATAATAATAATAATCACTAACGCCCAGATAGTACCAGTACCTAGTCACCATTTATCCGTAGAGGATTTATTCTAGTTTAGCAGGCTGACGTCTAGTATCCCTATTGACTAATGCTCACACGGCTGCACGGCTCAGGAATAGTAGAGGAGGACAGTGCTTTTTGTAAAACATACGTCTTATTTCCCATAACGACTACGATTTACGACGCATATGCGAAATTAGAACCTCTACAGGCTAACCAGAAGTCGCGTACCACCTGATTCGTAGCTTTGGCCCCGCGAAGGCTGACCAGTTTCTTCACGAACAGAGCTTTATCGTGAGGAGACACCTTGTCGCTAGGGAAGCTTACGTCGTTTAGCGCTGCCTCAAGCCATTTTGAAGCATACACATGTTGGACAATAAGCTTCTTCAGGGGCTCGCTGAGCTTATCAAGGTCACTGCGGGAGGCTCTTCCTCCAATGCTCTGCATTAATGATTGGGAAAGTTGGGGCCCAAAGTGCATCATTGCGTCGTTCAAGGTGACCTGGACATTCGCATCATCTGATTTTGCTGTTATGAAAGTAGTCTGTGATAGTTGTTAGCTTTTTTTTCCTCTTTTTTTTCTTCCCGCAATTGTCATATAGGCTTAACATACCCAGAATTCTGCTGCAGCCGCTTTGGGCAACGGTTCGTTCCCATTGAGAAGCTTCATTGCAAAGCTGAATAAGAATTCAAGAACGTTTGGCGCTTGAGACATTAGCACTTCTGGACGTCTCAACAAAACTCTTTGAGCGAATTCAATTCCGTATTGAGATAGTTCTGGCTCGGCTTCTGGACCTAAAGACTATAAGCTTGAATGTTCGGCTAGAGGTGAAAGACAGGTAACTTACCAGGAAGTTGGTGGAGCAGGTTAAAGACCCATGGTAGTAATATACCGAGTGTAGGAACAGCATGCTGCTTGAATCTTCCGGCGTTGAGCGAGCTGGCAAAGATGTTTGCAGTGTTTACAACAGTTGCAATCCGGCTTTGCCAATTACTGGTAATAAGTTCTGTGACCATAGGTGGTGGAAATACGAACGGACCAGCGTCTGTTTCCGAAAACCCAGCGCGCAGGATCGTACAAATGGCATCCACGACCTCAGCACTGCTCGAAAATAGATCTTTAAGCTGGACAAGAATCCCCTAAACTCATATTAGCTTCTGTATAACAATTACATGATATGCGTTTGAGTCCATCAAGGTTAGTGATGCACGCAATCAGTGTGTTTTATGCTTACAATTATATCAGCATGAATCCGTTCTAGGTCTCGTCTAGTTTCCACTTGGACGGACTCATCGTCAGAATCCAAATCCACAGGAGCTTGAAGTCCTTTGGCTATGCTGCAGAGACATCGAAGTGCTCTAACAGCAAACTGCAATGCAACCTCATGCGCTAGAACGGGTGAAGTTGGACGTTGTGATATATCATATGCTCGGAAGACCATCTGGACTAGGTAAGAAAAGGCCGCGGGAAATTCGTGTTGGTTAAGAATCAGAGGGCAACTCACAGGATCGTTATGATCAACTAACGCATTTTCTTGTGCAGAGTTAAACTGCAGGCAGGCACTGACGTCCATACCAACCATTGTTAACAACCTCTGGACAGCGTTCAACTTATGCTCCTCGCTGGGGAGTGACTGTATGATAGCAGCGATGGCGCCAATAACCCTCTCCTCAGCTAAAGAATCCAGCTCCCTGTTGTTACGCAGCGCGCTATACTGTTCTAAAAACGCATCGATCTCGGAAGTCAGAAGTCTTCGACAAGAGGAGCACAAAGTAAGGATGGATTTTGAGGAAGGAAGTGCTAGATGGCGATCGGCCACAGCACTAAACAGAAGGTTCAGAGCGGCTGGAAGATACTCTGCGTGACGCACGAAATACTCTGAATAGCGCTCGATTAGATAGAGACATGTTTGCCGGGATCGAACGGGGACAACCCCCTGTCCTTGCCGGAGGAGGTCGAACAGAGATGAGCCAAAAACCTTGGTAAGAGTTTCATCATACGAGTTTCCCTCCGAAACACTATCGGACAGTGCACCTAGACAAAACGAGGCTGCCTCAAGTTCAGCCCAGGAGTTGTCTGCCAAAGCTCTTAGAATGAGATCAACGAATAGTGAGATCAGTGGCAGCCCTAAGATTGTGTAGACGGCCTGGAGGAAATCTGCAACATCCTTCCGCGCGTCACCAAAACCAGCCTTTTCTGTCGAGTCCCATGAGTTATAGACATCCGAAGATGGGTACTGGATTTTTTGCCAACTATAGGAGACCACTTGCATAACCTGTGAAAGGGGTGGTTTGTCCCATGGAAGGTCGTTCGTCGACTCTGAGTAAAGAGTATCGACCAAGTTCTCGACAAAGGCCGACCATAGCTCTAGGGCAGGAACGAAAATCTTGTCCTCGGCAGCCGGGTGACCTTTTGCTATCAGCAGTCCAGCCAAGCCAGTTAAGAAGGCTTGGGCTCTCGTATCCGTTGAATCCATCATTTCAACCATCTGGGCATCGCCAAATGCTAGCATGAATAAGCCAAATTGAACTGCATCGAAGTCGAAGTCGCCCCTAACAAGGTCTTGGTATCGCTGGCGTGCCCAGTCACTCTCGAACAGGGCATAGAAGGAATCAATGTGATGGCGGGTGAAGAACTGTTGCCAGTTTCCCAGCGTGTCGGTTAACAGTTCAACGGTAGTCTCATACAGCTCATCAACCAGCAAGCAGTTGATCACAGGCGGGACCAAAGCTTGGAGAAGCTGGATCAGAGGTTGCTTCGGGGTACGTTGAGCATATAGAAACCAGGCTTGCAAGCAGATTAGCGCCTCCCTCTGGCTAGAAATATTAGAAACTCCATCCGAAGGCGCTAGGGCACTGGCCATCAAGGATGCAACGTCATTTGCATTATCAAGAACACGCTCATGGAGGCCGATATACTTGGTAGATTTGGTATCTACCTTCTCGGTTTCCTCAGCTAACGCCGTGGCAAACCAACTTGCGGCTAGGAACTTCTGGGTGTCCAACTGCGCAATGATCTGTTCTAGAGGTACAGAGTCTCCGATCTCTTCGATCGAGGTGACTGCATTGCGGTCCAATGAATGGATGAGATGACGTATGCAGTTGGACCATGTATGTGAGTAGTGGATGTAATACGTTACCAGCGCTGAGCAGAGCTTCCTGATTACGATAGGCCCTGAACCATCGCCGAGGGAGTGAATAAGCCAAGTGATGAGGTTCTGAAGTACAGAAAGAGCATCATCATCAGATAGCCTTAGAGGGAGTTAGCAACAGTTCTCAACAAGGTTCAGGGTCCAAACCTTTCAGTGTTCAGTTTCACGATAATAGTCAAGGCGCCAAAGAACTTGATATTATCACCGAGTCGTGCTAGTAAGCTTTGGGCCAATTGCCAACCCTGGGGTGATTTCTGAAGACGCTGGAGGGTTTCTTGGATTTGCGAGATTGTCTCGGGAGGATTCGGCTTGTAAAGCTCATTTATCAACTAGTTTAAAGTCAGGCATGTAGTGCTTGTGTTGAGATGGATTACGCCATTGAGGAAGCAGGATGGGTAACCTACGTGCTCGACCTCGGGTAAGGTGGTAGGAACAGGTAAACTGGTTTCCATACTGTTCTGTCTCGTCCATAGCGGAAGGGGGAAGATGAGTTTTTGCTTGGCGGCCGGCGGCGGACAGCTGATGTATGGTTGGGATTAATTGGTTCCAGAGTGAAAGTACCAGGCGCAAGGTTGGCAATGGATAGGCACCAGTGCTAACAGAAACAAGGCGGTGCTAAATGCAACACAGATCTACCTGAGATTTCTGAGAGATTTCTGAGAGATATCTGTTTGGCGCGATGGGATGGGATATGGGATGTGTGACGAGGGTGCGTGACGATGGGGCACCTCGTCGTGGCTAGAGCAGGACCTCCTAGCCTTACGCAGGTAGGTACTTGAGCAGTTATAGAAACCTTGCTACCAAGCACAAGTAAGGTAAGGTCATGAGTTAGCTCAGTAGTAGGAGCCAACTCAATATATCTCGAGGCAGGCTACCTTGAGCAAAGTGAAAAGAACGAGGCCACTCAAGTCACTCAACCGTATCATGGCTGTCTGTCATGGCTGTGCCGTCAATGTTTCCAGTTAGTTAGGACTTGTCTTGTCTTGTTTCGTTTCGTTTGGGACGGGATGAGATTGACCAGAACCTCCCCCACCATGGATCGACAAGGTACCTACCAGGTAGGTTACAGGTATCTCGCCCTTGTTAGACAAGTTGGCGGGGCAGTACCGGGACTTGCAGTGTAGGTATTTCTCTGTACTCTAGGTGAGGATTACCTAATAAAGATACATTGGTGCTATCTGACTCTCTACTAAGATCAGTATGAATCATGAAGGCCCGTGTTATGGAACAGGTATTTTCTCCCACTACCCTAAAGTCAACTATGTACTTTGTAAGTATTCACTTAAGCATAGGTACTTACATATGTACCTAGTTGTATAAGATGTACATGTAGCTCCTCTAATACTCCTTGATGCCGGCTTTAATAATCCTATAAACTTTAAAGGCACTAGAGTTTGGCCTCTTCATAGTCAACTTGAAGTACCGGTATATGTAATTACATATGTAGGTAAATATAGTGGTAAATATATTGGTACTCTGTAGGCACGTTGACAAGTACTTATGTGTGTATCGAAACTTACTTCGTAACTTGTACGTGACACTAGCAAAATGCGACTGTGTGTATGTATCACGTAGGTACCACATCCCAACCTACCTACCCAATCAATCTACCGTACTAATGTGCCTCTGTGGGTGAAGGTGCTGCGGTTAGCAGATCGGCGGCCGAGATAAAACATCCTGCCCAATCTGAACAACGTCAAGAGCGCGCAGCCATCAATACCGCATTATACAACTTCCAACTCATATCTACCTCCCATTCTACTCCATATACTCTTCTCGCCCCTTCCCCCCCTTGGTTCTTTATGGTACTCGCTTTCTTAGGTGTAATTTGGAGCGACGTCGTAATTCACAGCCTCTGCCTGGGTGCTTTGCTGTGCCCGCATCTCTATTCCTCCTCCCTTAAAGTAACTAGCCGCATTCATTCAGGGCTCTCTGCAGGTAGTTAGTTGTGTCTCCTCCTCTGTCTGTACTACTACATACATACATGTATACATACATACACACATACACACACATACATATTTACATACATCGGTGTCCATCCCCTACATGAAGCGCAGCCCATGCGGATCTTAAGAAGCCTTACCGTACTGCCTGTGGCCTCACGACCAGTCCTCACTGTTTTTGTTCCCAAAACCTCTAATGCCCGTCCTTGTGCATCTCTCTTCAGCCACCCGACCGTACTAGGACGTCACTCAACTGTTCGCTTTCAGGGCACTGTCGCTCTCGATATGGCCAAAGTCGACACCACCAAACGGCTCACCGAGCTGCGCCACCTGATGAAGGACCGCAAGATTGATGTGTACAGTAGGCTCGCTAATATACCCATTCCCTCAACTACTCGGTCTCCCGCCGCTGACATGTCTACCCCAAGTCGTTCCTTCTGAAGATAGCCATTCCTCAGAGTACATCGCTCCGTGTGATGCCCGCCGTGCTTTCATTTCTGGCTTCACTGGCTCTGCTGGCTGTGCCGTTATCACCCATGATAAGGCTGCCTTGGCCACGGATGGCCGCTACTTTAACCAGGCTAGCAAACAGCTCGACGACAATTGGTTGTTGCTGAAGCAAGGCATCCAGGATGTGCCCACATGGCAGGAATGGACCGCAGAGCAAGCCGAAGGTGGCAAGGCTGTCGCCGTTGACCCGACTCTTCTGACGAGCGGAGGCGCCCAGAAGTTGTCGGAGAAGATCCAGAAAAATGGAGGCAAAGAGCTGGAAGCTGTTGCTGAGAACTTGGTCGACCTTGTCTGGGGCTCGGAAAGACCTTCCCGGCCAATCGAGCCGGTAATCATTCTCGACCAGAAGTTCGCCGGGAAGGATGTGAAGACAAAATTAGAAGAACTACGCCAAGAACTGGAGAAGAAGAAGTCACTGGCGTTTGTCATCTCGATGCTTGATGAGATTGCCTGGCTTTTTAACCTTCGAGGAAATGATATTCCTTATAACCCTGTGTTCTTCTCATATGCCGTCGTAACTCCAGAACAAGCTACTCTTTACATCGACTCTTCAAAACTGAGCTCGGAGTGCCAAGCCTCCTTAGAGCAGAACAAAGTGGTTATCAAACCCTACCAAGATATCTTTTCAGATGTTACCGCTCTTGGTCAAGTCGCCAAAGCCAAGAAGGACGAAGCCAGCCAGAGCAGAAAGAAGTTTTTGATCTCTAACAAGGCCTCGTGGGCTCTGAAGCGTGCTTTGGGAGGGGATGATTTTGTGGAAGAGGCTAGGAGTCCTTTGGCTGATGCGAAGGCGATCAAGAACGAGACCGAATTAGAGGGCATGAGAGCTTGTCATATCAGAGATGGTGCTGCTTTGATTGAGTACTTTGCCTGGCTCGAGGACCAATTAGTTGTCCAGAAGGCAACTATCGATGAGGTTGAAGCAGCCGACAAGCTGGAAGCCTACCGTGCCAAGCAAGACAACTTTGTGGGACTTTCATTTGATACCATTTCGTCTACTGGCCCAAAGTAAGTATTAACACTTCCACTTGACTAAATCTTATTGACCGCCCTACCTAGTGCCGCCGTGATTCATTATAAGCCAGAGAAAGGAAGTTGCGCAACAATTGACCCTAACGCTATCTATCTATGCGACTCCGGAGCACAGTATCTCGATGGAACTACAGACACTACTCGCACACTACATTTCGGAACGCCCACAGAGCGGGAAATCGAGGCGTATACTCTCGTACTGAAGGGAAATATTGCTCTAGACACGACTGTCTTCCCGAAATTCACAACAGGCTTTGCCGTGGATGCGATGGCGCGCCAGTTCTTATGGGTAAGATAGTCTGTGCGATTCTTGCAAGATGCTGAGCTAACCTACCACGTAGAAACAAGGGCTGGACTACCGACATGGCACCGGCCATGGTGTCGGGTCATTTCTCAACGTTCACGAAGGACCTATCGGAATCGGGACGCGGGCTCAATTTTTCGAGGTTCCTCTTTCACCAGGCAACGTCATCTCTAACGAGCCGGGCTTCTACGAAGACGGCTCCTTTGGCATTCGCATAGAAAATGTTATCATGGTTAAGGAAGTCCAGACCAAATACAAATTCGGTGACAAGCCGTTCCTGGGGTTTGAGCACGTTACCATGGTACCGTACTGCCGCAAGCTGATCGACCCCAACCTTTTGACGGCGGAGGAGAAACAGTGGCTCAACGATTACAACGCAGATATTTTCGAGAAGACCAAGGGGTTCTTTGAGAAAGACGAGTTAACCTTGGCCTGGCTCAAGAAGGAGACACAACCACTCTAAATTGCTTTCTGGGCCTGGTCTAACAGCGGAGTATATATACATATAGTAGATAGACTTCTCGCATCTTGCGCGCTCCAGTCTAGAACTGCATAAAGGCAGAAAGAGCGAAGAATATGCCGAATGAGAGCTTAAAGGCCGGATCTTTCTCCAGAGCTGCTAGTACTCGTGACTTCCCCAGCCGTTGCTTTAAGCGTAGCTGATCTACTAAATTAATACCGTATTGCGCTGCCACCTAATTCGCTGGTTCTTAGCATCGACTCATCATTCTCAATGCCTCCAATATGAAGAGACAAAAAAGAAGTATATATTTCCACATTTTGCAATTACAGTGGAGGGAGAAGGAAAGGAGCGTACCTGCACAATAACCACCCCAACGCCCAAAAGCAGCACCAGCGTCCGCGAGAAGACACTAACGAGAACGCCCAAGAGAAAGCCCGTCACGCTGCCCCCGGAGAGCTGCTTCATGAGCTCCGGGTTCAGAACCTCTTCTTTCGTGTCGCGGGGGCCCGGGGCCCCCGAGAGCGCGGGCGACGACGTCGAGAATGGCGATGAAGCCGCGGCCGGACTGTCGAAGCGGATGCGCGGCGACGACCGCATCGCTAGGCCCGTGCCCACGGAGAGTCCGAGGCAGCTGCCTGCCAGCACCCGCTGGCGCTGCCGCGTGAGTACACGGCTTGCCGTAGATTGAAAGACGCGGGCGGACATTTTTTTCTCCCCTTCTTCTTCTTCTTCTTCTTCTCCTTTTTGCTTTTCTTTCTTTGGCGATTATGTAATAGGTAAGCTCTTATCTATTTACGTCCGCGCCAAAGCTGTTGGCGAGAGCGAAGTGAGATAGATGGGAGAATGAAGCCGATGGAGGGAGGGGGGGGGGGACTTGGCTTAGAGCAGGAAAATGCGGTGACAAAAAAAAAAGGTTTTGTTTTCGGCGTTTTATGATATTGAATGGAATTAGGACTCCACGAGATGGATTGACTTGACGAGGTGAGGCGGGATTGACTGAAGTAGGTAAGTAGAGATGAGGCTGGTGAGCTGAGTGGTTGGTTCGTGTAACCCGGTACTCTGTCTTATTCTATTTTTCTCAAGAGATCTGCAAAACCTCCGATTTACATACATATACACTAGCTATTGTAGCTAGGCAGGCCGATCAATTATGCTACGAAGGAATCTTCGGGTTCGGAGCTCCTGGATTTGGTAAAGGAATAGGGAGGAGGTTAAGTGGATTTAGCTGACGTCACTGACCGTGATTCGGGATAGCTCCTATTCCTCAGCGAGCCTGCATACTATACGAGAAGAATGACACTCTACATCCGTTGGGACGCCGTAAAGAATCATTCATACGCATGGGTTGAATCCTCTCAGTCAATTTCTATTCTGGATTCGTAGCAGATTCCATGCCACAGGCCATAGATTCATGGGGAGACCTCATATAACCTAACATATCGATTTACAGACAACAATAGCCCAGAGATTCATAGGATAAGAGTTATTATATATGCGACTGGAATTACTTTTACTAGTTCATTGGTATCTTCTTAAACACATGCCACTATAGCCTCGCCCGGCCCCATCCAGGACAATGCCAATAGTCCTTGAAAAAGATGCAACCCGAACGCCCGCTGATCTTTGCTTCCTCTCAGTCAATTACATCTGAGGGTAGTATATAATTATAACACGTAGGCATATTCTTACCAGAGCTCGCAACACTGAACAGGCAGTAGTCGGGTCCCGGTGAACAAATTAGTAATGCTCCAAGTATCTCCCTATCCAGCTTATGACAGAAGTGTAGGTAGCCGACTTGAAGACAGCGATGAGCTGTCTGGGAGCTTCAATTTAGCCAATGCCACCCCAGACGCCACGGATCCGTCTTGCAAGTTGTATGTCTTTTTGCATGATTGTGACGCGCTTCGCATGTATAGCGCATAGATTCGAGTCCTCGAATAGGTGGACAAGGAAGGCCTCGGCCGCCTCCTGGAGCGCTAATATGGCCTGTGATTGCCAACGCATACCTTCATCTCTTGGCCGTATACTAAGAGCTATTTCACGAACCTGCGAGGCAAACTCCCGTCAGCTATGCTCTTGGTGGTTTAGATGCGCAGCAGCGCAATCGCAAGAGTTAACTTACAACTCTCGAGAATGGTAACTTCCTCATCAACAGGTCTGTACTATTTTGCAGCCGCCGAATTTCTTTCAGTGCAACTGTACCAGGTCTATATCTTCTCTTTCTCGGATATGGGAGTGGATCACCCGCTGTGGTGCCTTTGGATTAGCATGCTGAAAATCAAGGCTCGACGGAGGTTACTCTTGTAGAGTGTGAGTACGTACGTCTATTTGCGCTGGCAGCACCACGCGCCCTTGCTCTTGGACGTCCGCGTCCAGCCATGGCTTATACTCGCTGAAATCAAAAGAGCGTAGATGTCCGCCCCGCAGAGGCACTCGGATGCGCTCGATTCGCAACGAGACCAATGAAGGGATTGGGTCGTTCTCAGCTCTCACGGAATATGCACCGTAAAATAGGAAGATTGTAATTCTTATGTCAAAAGCACGATAGAAGCTCAACGTAGTCGGATCGTAGTGGTCAATCCAAATGGCCGGGCGTGGGTCGGAGATTGGTTTGGCGCTGGTGTAGGTTGATAGAGCGATGAATAGTATCGGCAGCAGGATGGGATTATTGCTTTGTTCGATCCAGGACTAATCAATCATGAATGCATGTCAATCAATCAAAGAACCGAGAAGATGAAAAATGGGCTCAAAGACAAGAGTGAAGAAGGGGGAAATGGCAGAAAGTTCCAAGAATGGGAATGTACAAAGTAAAGTAGTATGGGACTCGAAATTGGACGGGCGAAAAATGCAAGTGGCTGGTAAGGAAGTTCGACATGCGACAGAGCACTAGGTATCGCGTTGTAAACCCCGCGACGCGACTTTCCCAGCCACTTTTAATTAAGATCCCTGTCAAAGAGATACAGCCAATCATGGACGGCCATATCCCTAACCACTGCATATTGAAAGGTACCTAGGCACATGATTATTAAGCAGCACACATACATACGTATGTATCTGATATGTACCTAGGGCACTTCCTGTTGGTACAACATCGTGATAATACCTAGCTACCTACGGTATGCATCAGTATTGCTCTATTTCTTGCTCTAGTTTGTGCTCTTGTCGTCGAACGCCTCTAAGATAGCGTAGACAAAATAAGACATTTTGAATCATATTATTAGCGTCATGCTTAATACAACAATCATACAATGCGAATCGCGCTGCCCTTCATTCCATCGCGCCGACATGTACGCACGCTATCGGGGCACCCAGGCTATGCCTCCCTTGATATGTATGTTTTCCCGCTTGATGCGCCACGTATATGAATGAATTTCCCATCCTTTGAAGCTCCGCTCATCAGTATTTCCTTGAGAAAAAAAAACAAAGTCTATACCAGAAACAGGCAACCCATATCAGATGCTGGCCCAAGTCGAGCCATTATTATACACCAAAGCTCGTGGAAAGAGGCCGGCAAAACCAATGTTTTGTGACGAATCTGTTCATAAGAAAGCCTTCTATTCGTTCGAGCCCATTCCAGTGTCGACTCTAGAGACCACTGCATTCACAAGGCTTGTAAAGTATACGAGTCCCTTCTCTTCTAGGAATTAGCCGCATCGCGATTGCTCTGGGAACTGGCGCTCATGGTAGGTTGGGCTACTGGAAGTGTGTTCTTGGCCAACTCTGATTGGCGTATCTTGGACCACGTGAAGATGATTCCACTGATGAAGCCCAGAATGATAGCTGAAACACTTCCCAGTGTAACAGGCGCCGCGAAGAAAATGAGACCGCTAACAGCAATAGGGAGCTTGTTCAGAGCGCCAACCATTGAATAAGTGGTGGATGAGGTAACACGGATACACCAAGCCGAGCAATAAGAGATGAGAATGGCACCAAGGCCAGAGTAGATCATGCCAATGAACAGGGAATTGCGTGTCTCCACTGGGAAGTTCTTGGCCAAGTTCTCGCTAGACCAATCTTCAGCGATCAAGGAGCAAACAATAAGAACGGGGATCGTAAGCAAGTTGTTGTAAAACATGGCTATCAACTGTTAGCATGCAATGGTGATCGTAGTGTGCCGAGCTCAACTTACTGTCCCAATCCTTAAAGTTCATACTTTTAATAACCTTGCGCATGCTCAGAATGTAGGAGGCAGTGCAGAAAACGTTGAGACCCATCCAAGCGTATCCAGCATTCAGGGTTGCAAGGGCCTCAGCAGCGTCGAGAGTCTGGCCGGCATAGCGTGTGTCCGCCCAAGCAGCAACGACAGAGCTAAGAACCATGAGGCCGAAGGAGAGAAGAGCAAGAGGTGTCACACTACCCCCAAACCAGAGAACCTCACCATAGGCGATGACGATAATAGTCAAGTTCTTGAAAATAGTATACACAGGAACCGAGAGATACTGCAGGGACTTCGTACTCGTGTAGATCATACCTACAAGGAGGAGAGAGACGGGAAACCCTATTTCATCATTAGCAAAAGGCAAGTCTCGTGCTTATTAGCTTTATGAGCCAGGGGCTCAGAACATACATCTTCGGCCCTTGTTTGCGTCGAAGGGAGCCAAGTTGGTAATTACACCGATTTGCTTCAAGATTTGAATCGTGGCGATACAGACTGACGACTGTACACAGAGAGCATCAGCAAACAATTTTGAACGAGATAGAGTGAGTTTCTGTTACCTGAATACCAAGGTAGAAGAAGTTGAGATTCCATTCCGAGCCGGACACAACGTATTTGTTCACCACGGTCATGGAAATGGAGGCAAAACAGTAGGCGAGAATCGATGCCGTTGGGTTGTTCTCAATCTTGGCGAAGCGTGAGGAGAGAGAGTTATGTGAAGCGACTCTCGAAGGCCGCGGTGGGATGAACGGATCTTTCTCCCCCCCAAAGGGACTCCGGCTACCCGACTCGGGCATGCCAACTGCGTAGTCTTCATTCTTCTTGTCCGACATGGCTGCGGTAGGCAGTAGGCGTCAAATTGTCAAATCGAACGTTTCGCAATCGGGGTGTCGTCTAGCGTAGGTGGGAAAGTGGCAGAGAAGAGTGGTCGTGTGAGGCAGGGAAGGGTGACGGTGAGATTGATGCGCAGATAACAGGTGAACACGGAGCAAGAAGATATGATGGTCACAGCGTTTGAGACAAGTCGCGACAAGCCCAGATGATGTCGTCGCACAAAGCCTCTGTCTGTCGAGAGTGCCAGAAGATCTAAAGGCGAGGGCGTCAACAGACGGGGGTGTCGAGCTTTAATCGAGATAAAATTAATTTGCAGCTTGAGTCGAGAGGCACCAACATCTACCTATCTGCATGGGACCGTGGCCTGGATGGATGAGACTAGGTATAGTGCTCCAATGAGGGTTAGCGGTTCGTCAGTGGGGAATTAGAACACGAGTCGCCCGTGCCAAGGCAGAGCCAAGGGGGAAAGACCCGCCCAAGCCTCAACGGGGATTAGGGCATGACTTGCGTACTTGGTACTACCTAGGTACCTACTGGTATCTCTGGAAATAGCATACATACATACAGTAGGAGATAGCGAGATATTTAACTACCTACTAGGTAAGGTACATCTTGGGTAGTAGCTTAGGTATCGAGTTCCTAAGCGTTATGTGTGGTAGATGTGCCTATAGGTAGACAGTAGTACAAGGTATTGTTTGTAATATAGGTCCCTATGCCGCTCAGTGTTTGGATTGAAAATCGCGGATTCCCATCATCTAAGGGTAAGTTACTTAATAATAGAAGCGCATACTCAGTCTCATGTTTACTTCTTCATGTCTCTTTTGCAATCCATGTTACGCCCTGTAGATAGTATCTGGATTGTTGCTGTAGACCAGTTGTTTACCAGTGATTCCCTTTCAGCCATCAAGCCAACAACCAGAATATATGACCGATATGTATATTGCAAGGGGAATAGTTCTACCCCTTTCGGCTTATGATACAGTAGAAACAAAACCTCAAAGTATGAGGAAGCAAGTTTTTTAGCTCTTAACATGATTAATAGACCATGAACTAGATAAACACCCTTGGAAAACTGATAGCCTTGAAAGTTTGATAGAGACGTGTTGTCCGCCCGAGACGTGTCTTTAGTGTCAGAGTACCCAAAAGCGGGCAATACGATATGTATAGCGATGCGACCAGTTCATCCAACTTCTCATGTCCCAAATTTGTTAGAAGAGCGATTCAGTAGTACAGCGCTCTCGATTACTTACTAGCCAGGACAAGGAAATCAGAGCATGCCACGGCATCCAGTCAAGTATGTAGAACCATCTGAGCGTTTATACGTGAATCAAGTAGCAGGCTCTTGTGTTTCAGTGTCCACATCTTCCATAGGTTCCTCGCGTTCAGTGCTCTTGCCCTCGGTGGTCGGTGCAGTCTCCGCGTCCAGAGTCGCGGGATAATTCAAGTGTTTCCAATCCTCAAGTTCTTCGGTGACTGATCGGAGGCGATCGCGAATGCTTTCGATGGCGTAGCTTCCCAGCACGAGACGCAGCGGCGGATAAGAGCAGTGTCCCAGCTGCCACACCAGCTCGGCACATTTCACAGCGCTCGTGGGCTGTCGATCGCCGAGCCACTGCACCATGCGCTTCGCATGTAGCGCCGGCGACGAGGAGTGGGCATAGGCCTCGCTCGCGGGTTTGATGAGGAAGTGACCCCAGGTCGGCAGTGGGTTCCCCACGGAATCTGGCTCGTCGCGACGCACGAGGCCCGGCTCGACGAGCGTTGCCTTGATGTTGAATGAGTCGATCTCATACGACATCGCTTCTATCAGGCCTTCAACCGCATATTTAGTCGCGCAATACGGACCCAGCCCGGGGACGCCGAGGGCGCCACTCGTAGAGCTGAAGATGAGATAGCGACCAGAGCCCTGAGAGCGAAAGTACGGAAGAGAGGTCTGAATTATGTGGAGCGTACCCATGAAGTTGGTCTCGAACTGATTCCGGATCTCGTGCTCGTCCTGGTCCTCGCACGCCCCAATCACACCGTACCCGCTGCAGTTGGCGATGACATCAATGCGGCCGAAGCGCTCTAAAGTCTTCTCGATGACGCTTGCTACGCTTTGCCGTGCGCGGACGTCGCACAGCATTCCAAGACAATTCTGTGTGCCCCTATCCATCGACTCGGGGCTCGTCTCAAACGTACGTCCCACGTCGGTCACGAGATCGTTACGGGCGAGTGCACACTTCACTAGTGACCGGCCCATATGGCCGGTTCCCCCAAAGACCTATCCTTACAATGAGCTCGGCTGTTACGTTTGGATGAGGCATTTGGGATACGTTACAATCCATACGAGCTGCTTGCGCGGCGAATTTGGAGGGGGAGGTTCACAGCTCGGGGGTAGAGCTACCTTGCCTCTTTGGGCACTGGTGCTGCTGGGGGACGCGGCAGCGAACTCTGAATTTGATTTAGAGTCCATTCCGCCCTGTTATAGAATGATCATGCTGGACGACTGCTTCGATTTTTTTCAGGGCTGGCATTCTTGCAGTACAGCTGACGAGTCTCGCCGATACCGTGATGTAGCGAAGTTGATTTGGAGAGTGCTAGTTGATAAACGGGTAACAAGGCTTAATTGACTGATGTGGGGTACTGGAGTGACCGTCACAATCTACCTGGTACTATTATATGAAGGGGGATGAAGGCCGTTGATGTGAAGGAAACTAGACTATGGACAGTTACAATTCTCCGGTGGCTGGTTTTGACCTGTTCGACTATCTATATACTTAAGTACCTAGGAATATAAGGGAGCAAGAAGTAGCCATTACGATGATTGCTACATTGATTAACGGCCTGTTTCTGATGGGGAGCATATTCACAATTCGATACAGCTTACTATCATTCCTGAGACTAGTCGATCAGTTATACAAATTCGTCGTAGTAATTCATACTTCGTCAATCTACCGGATAGCTTCTTCTCCGCCACCCACCTACTCCCCCGGCTAACTACTTACTGACTTACGCTTAGTTCACGTACTGGGAAACGTAAGCCTTACGGTACTCATTTGTATCTAGATCATTGGATCTGTTCAACGGTGTCCATTTGGGCTCCTCTTTGAACAAGCGCATTGCTTGGATATACTAAGGACAAGATGTAAGCGGTTGTTTTGAGATTGGCACTATGTCTTGATGGATTGTTTGGATAAAGGGTTCAACCTACGTTGTCTTCATCTGTGGTGAACCTGTGATAGATACCAGCCGGAAGGATTATCAAATCATCCTAATATCAGTCACTCGATTAGCCCCAATCCGATCCGTGTGGTCGCTGGCTAAGGTTGGCGATGATCTCGCCTTATAGACAATCACTTCAAGCCCGTGCTCTTTATAGGCACAAGCTGCTATTCCCCAAAACCTGGAGCCCTCCTCAAAAGACCATGGGGAAGAAAAAACGCTTACCTTTTCAAGCTGAATGCGCACCCATTCGTCGCCTTTGGAGCGCACATCAAAGTAACCCTTCCCATCGCGGATGTAGCGGATCTCCTCGTCCTCATGGAGATGCTCGTCGAAGAACATGCGGACCTTCTGCTCGTAGACATCGCCCATCTTAGCAGGCGAGACGGTGATCTCGTCACGGTTCTTATAGTCGCGTTCACGAGCTAGAGCATCCACACCGGCCAGCTCCGGGATGCGATAATACAAAACGCCAACCTTCTTCAGCTCATCCTCGTTGACTTCCCTACCGGAATCATGCGGCAGGCGTTGATCGCCCTATCAATGGTGATTAGTATACGCCACGGTGGAAGTAGCCGACAAAGACAAAGATAGGGAAAGGGTAAGAAACGGTCGTGTATATGGGCCTCGTTGATGAGTGCGTGCCTTTTCAACAACCGGAGAAGTTAGGCACTTACTTCGAGATTGTCGTACCAATAGGCCCGCATTTTTTTTTTTGGGAATAATGCTAGCAAGGTATGGAGTTCTTAACGCTGTTGTAAAGCAACTTAAAACTTAATGGAAGATGAAAACGAACGCTGCTCTCTTCAAATATGTTGCTTAGAAGCTATTACCGTTAGGCTGGTAGAAATTTATACGTCACGAAATATCTAGAAGGGTGACGTCGCGGGGTTTTTAGGATAGTGGGGTTAGGAATTGCGCCATGCCATTCCACGCTATTGAGGTTGGTCAGCATCCCGACTCGGCTGAACGACAATGGCCTGGCATTAACCATGCCGTGGAACCTCAATTTGACAGCGCAGAATGTTACGATACGTCTCAAGATGGGTCAAGCTTTGATAGGTATCAATTTATTTACCGATGTAGTATCTACCCTTGGGGGTATTCGAAGATCTATCCAGTCTAAGCCAGCTATGTACTAGATCGCCGGTATGAAGATCCTTTGCAACTGGCATAACTTCACTGGTGCGAATACAAGTATCTTTGCGAAATCTTCTATTTTCTTGTGCTAATGATGAACCTAGACAAGCCGTGCCTAGTAATGTAAAAAAAATTTTGGGCCCAAGGCAATCCTAGTAACGCCAATCCTCTCATGCCCATGCAGGGGATATGCACGCAAAATCCATCATAATGTAGCAGTCGCTTTCCTAACGCCCAGGTAATGAGGATATGCATAAACGGAATCCAAAATAGCAATGCTTAATAACTGTCATCATCATCGTACGTCTGCCGGTGCCAGCTCAGGTCCACCACCTACAGCGAATTCATTGTTGATGGTATCGGCTGTATCTCCTCTCTGCCGTCCCTCGAAAAGTCGACGCCACCACATGGGCGGATCTAGCGGACGAGAGCCATTGTGCATGGGAGGGTATACGTCGGTGAAGAAATACCAGATGTGGCCAATGACGACACCCATGATCTCATCCTTAGGTACGGACCCGTGCATAACAAGACTAAATCCCATCAAAACCCAGGGTAGATACGGCGCAGTGAAGACCAACAGCCCAAGGAAACTTAGCCGGGTATCAGGGTTTCGTCGCGACCATATATACACTAATGTCGAGGACAGTGGGTGGCCAAGGAAGGGCATGGAAACGAGCGGCGATAGGACAATCAGAAATGTCATTGAGTAGACCATCAGCCAAGAGAAGTGGGCGGGAGAGCGACCAGACGACTCCTCTAAAAGACGGGAATATCGTTGGAGGAAGTACACATGGAAGAGAAGGTCGAGCGAGAAGGGGCCGAAGTAGAGGAATGTTGTAAACAACCGCCAATACTATTGCCACCCCAAAGGCCAGGTTAGCACTTGATGGATGACTACTGAAGGGCAGGGCGTAAGGTAATTCAGGGTATGTAGCGTACCTCTCCCTTGCTGAAAACGGTTCGGACGCTGTAGAATAGCTGAAAAGGCGTGACCATCTGGCACTGGACGAGTGCGCTCGTGAGCACGGTTGCGGTAGTCCACCAACGGGTACATATGGGCATTTCCCAAAACCATGCCTCGAGCGGGTTGCGGCCGCCATCGCCGATCATCTGATCCATGGTGGTCGGATAGGAATAGAAACCGATGTAATCAATCTTAAGAGGAAGAGTCAAGAGCTGTCGAATGCTAGATAGTTGCGCAAAGGTCGTTAATGAGGATGCAGGAGTAATAATAGCATTTAAGTCGTGCTGGTTGTTGGTAGGTTGTAGTTGTAAGTCTAAGTGTCGGCATCTCGGCGCATCATGGTTGGTAGGTAGGTAGGTAGGGTCCCCTCCTCCGCACTTACCGAGTAAGGAAGTCGCCTGCCAAATATGGGACAGACGGGAGTTTAGATAAATCTGGCCTTATCACACTAGCCTAACCGGGGCCAGGTACTTGAGAACCTTGGTGTTGGTTACGTTACCTACCTTGTAGGTGTTACCGATGAGGTAGTCATTTGTTATAAATGCTACCTACTGAAACAGTATGAGTTCAATCCAGAGTGGTCAGATTCAGATAAGGATGAAGATAAGTGTCAGGTAGGTGGATAATCAAGCCAACGGCAAGATCACTACCCCCTTAGGCTTATCTTATCGGCTATCTAATCAGCTGTCAAAATCACCCCCAACACTACGTTGTGGGCTACCTAGGTATTCTGTAAGCGTGTAACACATAGGCACCTACCTACATGGTACGTATTCTTCTTTGTTCCACTCTTTGTACGTAGGTAGTAGATGGCGATGTCTTAGTACACTATGGACAGTTCCTTGTGCAGGAATTATCAGATAAGTCCGGCGTTACAGCATCTTTGTGCACCTTGGTCAGTGTGCCTCAATAAACCCCCAAATCTTCCCAATGGGTGGTCACAAGATGGAAATCCAAATACTCTTGATACATGAGATGTTGATTATACCTTCCTACATAATGTACATCCATAGTAGATATATAGGCAGAATCATGGGATAGGGAACCCAAGTTGGGCACCAGCCACTATTTTGCCCACATGGCCCTTGACCCGTGCTGATTTCATAGGTCAGTTGAGCAAGGGTCTCTGGTCAGTGGTGGGTGGGTGGCCGATCGGGCGGGATCCCATATGACATCAACCACAAGCACCAACAAGCTAGTAGCTTCTTAGCTCGGGGCCTGCATCGCGCAAAAATATAGAATGTTACCAAAATTATAGCTTCTTCAGCCCTCTCTGACCCTCAAGTCTGTCTCACGCCGGCACACTGGTTCCTAATCACTCCTTGGGGTCGACAACCGTAGCTACCTGGCTAGGTGGATTAGTCTACGATGCTATTCTCCCTATGATTCCTTTACCTGACTCCACCATTTACGGTACTCTTGTCTGCTTTCTCTTGACAACTTGAGGCTTCGACGAACGTACCTACTTGTGCAGAGGAAACACAGCCTGTCGATACAATGCTGCCCTTCATAAATAAACGTAGGGATCATCGCATTACACTTGAGACGAATTCAAGCTAATATTCCTCTAGCTTTCGAATTACTAGCTGGAGCTGTTGGGGCTTCTCCAGATGAGTGTACATCCTCTCCCCCGCTTTTCAACTCTCTCTCCCAGCTCTGGACTGATGATTATGCGCCGAAACAGTGAAGCTTATCTTCTCGTTCTTGCTCTCCTACCCTCTTGCAGGCCTTTTGAAACGAATTCCCGATGGACGCCCAGACTACAAGAACTTGTTCATTATCAGGTATGGAGAGCCCAGGGTTAACGAACAACCAGAAAGTCACACTGACCCGTATCCTTGATAGTGGTGGTCTCTTTTACCTTGTTGGGCTATACTCGCTATGGGCCGGCGTCCGAACACTACTTATATCCTCAGCGGTGACATACGGGCTTGCCTCCTACCTGCGAACGTCTCCATACATGCCATGGATCGCTTTTGTCTTTCTGATGGGCCATATGGCTGTTAATCAGCTCTCTCGTCAATTCGCCAACAACCCATCCGCTGTTGACATCACCGGAGCGCAGATGGTCCTGGTGATGAAGCTGTCCGCGTTCGCTTGGAACGTCTTTGATGGTACCCTACCTGAGGACCAGCTCAGCGATCATCAAAAAGACCGACGAATCATCGAACTCCCTGGGTTCTTAGATTACGCAGGCTATGTGCTGTTCTTTCCCTCTCTATTTGCTGGGCCGGCGTTTGACTACAATGAATATCGAGGCTGGATTGACTGCTCCATGTTCGATGCGCCTGCAACGGTAGACCCTGCGAAAAAGGCCCCAACTCGGAAGAAACGCAAAATCCCAAGGAGCGGCACTCCGGCTACATGGAAGATGATATGTGGGCTGCTGTGGATCCTGATATTCATGAATTTGGGCAAGTGGTATAGCCCAGATGTTCTCTTCTCCGACCGCTATATGACGTACAGCTTCCTTCGTCGTGTATTTATCCTTCACATGGTTGGCTTCACAGCACGTACGAAGTACTATGGCGTGTGGTTTCTGGCAGAAGGTTCGTGTATCCTCGCTGGACTGGGCTACAACGGCATCGACCCCACCACAGGAAGGGTATCTTGGAACCGTTTGCAAAACATCAACCCTTGGGGAGTGGAATCTGCCCAGAACAGCCGGGCGTACCTTGAGAATTGGAACATGAACACTAATAAATGGCTGCGATATTATATTTATCTGCGCGTTACGCCTCGGAATAGGAAGCCTGGTTTCCGCGCAAGTATGGCTACGTTCGTTACCAGCGCTTTTTGGCATGGGTTCTACCCCGGATACTATCTTGCCTTTGTCCTCGCAAGCTTTGTACAAACTGCTGCAAAACGTAAGTCAAGTATACATAACTCATGTTATGATCGCGCTAACGAGCCTCAGATTACCGTCGCAATATACGCCCTTTCTTCCTTGATCCCACAACACAGAAGCCCTTGCCAAGCAAAAAGTACTACGACTTTGCCTCTTGGCTCGCTACTCAGACCACCTTCTCTTTCGTTGTCGCACCCTTCATCATTCTCGGGCTGAAAGAATCTATCCAAGTATGGTCCCGTGTCAACTTTTATGCTGTCATCACAACGTTTGCTACTCTGGGCTTCTTTGCCTCTCCCGCTAAAGTGCACCTGCGGAAGATGCTTGAGGAGAAGTCAGGCACATCCACAGCAGGTCGTTTGACCCGCACGGCTAGCACAGAGAGTATAAATGGGACCCGACCGGAGCCAGTTCTCGGTCTTAGCGCCGACCCCGGTAAGGACATCAACGAAGCTATAGGAGAGATCCACGCCGAAATTGAAAAGGCAAAGCAGGACCTTAATCAAAGAGCTCCTCAGAAGAAGAAAGCGAAATGATGGGTAACAGATAACGGCTAACGGGAAACGGGTTACGGAGGGTAAATTTTTCTGGAGGATGGATTGGAGATCTTTAGATTCGACGGTTTTTGCGTGGCGCTCGGGGGACTTAAAAAAAGATATAGAGTTTTTTTCTAGTTGTTTAAACAAGAACAAGAAATGTAGACATGATGTTATCAGTAGAGTGTGCATTAACGCGCGTGCTTTGCCGTCTCTGGATATAATCGCACTATCAAATTACATGATATCAACTGACTGCAGCAACATCAATGACGATGGCCCCCAACGAGCCCACAACTACGGGTTCTAGTCGCAAAATGAACGAACAGGTACGAATAAGTTGCACGTGGGCTGCAATTTTTCTTAATTCATGTAGGCATTTTCAAAATCGGGGAGTAGTATCCAACTCGAGATAAGTATCTTGTCCAGCATCTCTTGTAGCAATGTAATCTCTCGTCCATTCAACGACAAACAGCCCAATATAATTTCAAGAACTAATAAATAGATCGATCTCCCCACCGAGCAACTTCTCCTTTGCTCGCTGTAACATAAAACCAAAAATTCCTAGTTGGGTTCCGTTGGACCCCGAGGCATTAAGTTCCTCCTCAAAATGGATGAGCATCGGAATGCAGAAAGTCAAATATACGCCGGGTATCGTATTCTCGTGGATGCAAGCGTGTCTATTGGTCGCTGATGCAGAACAAAGAGGTAATGAAGTCTTTTAAAAGCCCAAAGACGCCGGGGTTCGTGGGGTTTCGGTTACTATGCCGTGAACCGTAAATCTCATGGATCCCATTGTGCGTCATTCCAAGCCCGTAATTGGTACAGTTCGATCAAGTTGTGTAAAAAGAATATGAGTAGATCTTGCAAGTTGCAAGGAGAAAGGGAAGCATGCGTTAATGCATGGCACAGATTGTAAAGGCCGTAGTGTACAGATTAGTCGTTTCGAAACAGTTGAACGTGGGATTCGAGAAAATAAACAAAAAAGGATCCCTCTGATGTAGTGAGAATTCCTGGTGTGGAGGCAAGGAACATAAGTATGAATCGTGGGCATCGGACAATCATGTCATATGATGCTCTCCTTGAGCAATAGAAGGGCGTGAAATGGCGTAGAGCGTGAGTAATGCTGGCATCCTGGTACAGAGTGCAGGATGATCATTTCTATGTATTCGAGTCCGTTGGAAGTCTCAACGGCATTTCTCGTAAAATTCGTCATTAGTAATCATATTCGTAAAAGGGAAAGGCATCGGTTGTCCCGGGTTTCTTGTCGAAAGTAAAATATCATTAGAGGATAACATGAGTCGGAATGAGTGTGAGAGTTAAAGTCAATCGGGGGTGCCGGCGTGTTGATATTCCATCGTCATTTTCCCCATCCTTGCTTGACTCCGACCACTACGAGTGCAACGATGGCGCCTAGAATTAATATGCCGAAGATGGACATATAACGGTTCAGGTGTCTCCACCACCGTGCGCTCTGGTATGACGTTTCATCAGCCAGGGCAACCCGGCTATACACTGGCCCACGCCCAAATTCATTCGGCGGTTGAAGCTGTGTAGTACTTGTGCCTACTTCCTCCATATCTAAACGAGGATTAGGAGGTAATGGCAGGAGGCCCGCAATCATCCAGGCTAAGTTAATATGACTAGTTAGCTCTCCCGACCCATGCCGCACATTTTCAGTTGTAGCTTACCGAAAGGGAAAATGAAACCAAAAACAAACAGCACAACTTGAATATTGCGCCGTCCTAGTATACGATTCTCGGTAGACCAGGTGTCTGACGGGGGCTGCCATATACTGTAGCGGCTGAACCGATTATCTGGTCGAAGATGAGGTGACCAAATACTAGACGTCTTTTTCTTCAGTCCTCGACGAATATTTCCAAACACTGGCGTCGTCGTATCTACCAAAATGGGCTGCGGGCCGTCGTTTGAGGGTTCCCTTGGTCGCCGGCGGGGGTTCCGTATATCTTGATGAAATTGTTCTGGGGCAGGAGAGCCACCTGGGACCCACGAGCTAGGCGGGCGATTATCATCACCTTCGGATATTATTGACGGTGAAGCAAGCCAACGTCTCTCGCCACTTCCGTAATACAACCTGTGACTTATTAGCACTGACCGTTATCACACATTACTCTATAGGCGTTTTAAGTACCTTGCCCAAGTCGGAAGAGAGTTGGATGTAAGACTGCCGCTTCGGGAGCTGGTCGAGGAGCGCAAACTTCGGTCAGACGATTGTCGAGAGAGAAATCCGAGCCGAGTCCGAGAAGATTTGCTCTGAAGTTGATGCATATGTTGCAAATCTGCCAGCCCATCGCCGTGTTCATCATGATCCCTGACTGTGGGAGCTGGTGGGCTCGGAAGTTCCCTCGCGCCTCGCATGAAGGCCGCACCCGGTCGGTCGAGTGAACCTGATCGAGAGTGTGTTTGGGGTATTACCTGGGTTGTCTCCAGATTATCGAAAATAGAAGACGAGATGCTCTGAATATTTCTGCTACCTCGACTGCCAAGGGCACTACTGCCCCGTTCGCCTGCCGAGCCATGAGAAGTTAGGCGAGAGCCACGATCACTACCCTCGTACTCAGACATTACGGTAGAGAGTTGTGAGCTCCATTGATGCTTGTCCATCCGTAATTTTGGTAGTCCACTGCTGTTTCGGCCAGTCCATAAAGCCTTCCGTACAGACGAGGTAGATGGCGGTGTATATCCCAGACGAACGACGTTTGGTCCACTATCCTGTGTCAAGACGCTGGATATTGACGAAAACGAGTTCGCTCGCCCGTGTGCGTTCTCCTTGGAGGCTCGTTTCAAGTACAGGTTCTCCGAAGACGATCTCTTGTGTGGTCTTAACGGTGGAATGACAAGGCTTTCTTGAGAGTAAGTTTCTTTGACTTGTCGTCGGAAGCTATCGAAGGATGTTTGCTCGCGAGGTCCTCGAGTATCCGAATAGACCGAAGGTGATGGAGTGATGTTGTCATGGACGATGAAATTCCTGCTCCCTGGTGTGTCGAGCGAGATTTGTTCAGATGCAGGATAGGAATTGCCGTGTACTATGTAATTCTTGCTGCCCGGAGTGTCTAGGACTGCGTGTCCGCGTGCAGGGGATGAGTTGATCGACTGGTGGGTAGATGATTGTCCTCCAAGTAATTGATAGTTCGAACTACTTGACGACGGCGGTACGTCGATGCTATCGGAATCCGGTAAAGGAGGCGAGCTACGACCAATGATCTGGTAATTAGTGGTCTCCTCCGAAGTAGAGTCGCTAAGTTCGGTAACGAAAGACGATTTTTGAGTGAGAGGGATATAAGGCACACAGGGTGCGTTTGTTGTTTCCTGTAATGCTGGAAGTTTTGTGACAGGTTCCTTCTCCTTTCCCTTGGCTTTCGGCTCTGGAGTTATTGGTACTTTGCGTAGTCCACCAATCATACGATAATTCCAGGGAGACGAAGTATAGTTATCCTCGTTGGGTTTTGTTGGCGTAGCTGCAGCAGCTGAAGATGAGGGCGAGACGCTGCGCTCGGGCAGTGAACTGAACAGAGAGCTGGGATGATCGTCGGTAGGCGCATCAAACGACGTCTCTTCATGCGAACTGAAGAAGGAGGTATTAGAGTTGAGGTACGATCGAGCTGTAGACTCGGAGCCGGTCGACACTCGAGTATTTGATTTTAACAGAGAAAAAGTCTTGTCTGAGTTAACGCTGATGACCCTTTCTCGTCGAGGCGCAGCTTTCGCCGTTGTGGGAGATGAGGCTTGCCCATTGTCGCGCTGGCCCTGTGACTGTTGGGTTGGCGCATTAACACGTCTAATAAAACTGCTGTGAGACGTCCTCAGAACAGCAGGGGGTGGTGGGGCAGGATGCTCAGTGCCTGGCGAGTCAGACCCGAACCTCGATTCCGAAACGCCTTTGCCTTTGACCCATGTCGAAGAAACGATAGGCGACGAGGACGATGCCGGTGACGATAAAGCAGACCCTATGAATCTCTCCCTTCCGTACGATGTCGAGGCATTGCTAGTGCGGTCATTGGTTTTTTGAAAGGCAATATTGCTTCTGGGAGTTTCTGGTTCCGGAGCATGTGATGCAGTTTCTTCAGCTGTTATCTTCGGAGGAGTATAAGGGACTAGACGAATTTGCAATTTGTTCTTTTCCGAGTCTGTCCTCTCATATAAAGGTGTCCTCTGCGAATGAGACGAAGAGGATGATGATGATGATGACATAGTTCTACAGTAGACCAGATCCGTAGCTATAGCTATGACAATCGGCCTTGGATTTTTGTTATATTAGTTTGATAAAAGTGGAAATCTCATCATGGCCATGGCACGTCATGCGAATGTTCGAGCTGCATACAGGCAATGAACGTGTTCGCAGCTCTTGACCCTGTCCCTAAGCAATCATGTGGAGTCGGTAATGCGAGAGTTTTGAATGAAATCCTGGCTGTCGGCGATAGTGTCCCAAAGTCGTTTCGTGATATTAGAATAGATAATATTAAATTTGACGAAAGAAGTGAATTATCCTAAATCATAAAAAGAGGTATGAGAGCGAGAGTAAGGAAGAGTAAAAGAAAGAAAAAAGGTCGAAAGCTCAGGACTGAGCCTGGATTAGGAAGGCAGACAATGAAGGTGTGGCCGTTCGCATGAAATATAGGTTATTGGGTGAAGCCAAAGTTGGAGATTGGCAGGACAGCCGATTATAGAAGATTCAATAATGTCGACTTAGCACATATATCCTAATGCTAAGGCCACACGCCCACCGGGTTCGAAAGGAAATAAATGAGTGAATGACAAGCAAAAGATGCTTAACGATAGACAGGAGGGTAGGAATGGTTTCTTGAATTAAGTCAAAGCCGCGACTATTGATCGATTGGCTTAGGGCAGAGGATTTTGACTGCTGGCTGGCTGGCGGGCCATGCAACCTAAAAGGAGTAACAGTCTGTGGCTAGGGTAAGGGACTGTACACTACATGCGCATGTTCGTCCCATAGAAGACAGGCTAGACCGGGGCACAGGTAGACCTTGGCGAAGAGAGGCTGACATATTGCCAGGGTTGGGAGAAACTAAGAAGCGAGTACCAGCGCTGGGCTCTTCCGTATCCTAGCCTTAGGTATCGTGACTATTACTAGGTAGAGATGATCTCTCGCCATGGGGAGGCGGGTACGTACGCTACTAAGAGCAAGTGCTAGAGAGGGTGAAACATTGGAACAAACCTGATGATTATATGTTATGTATATAGACGCCAATACGTAGCCAGGTGCCCATCTAATATCCATTTCATGTATGCAGGTCGCTATTTTTTTTTCTTTGAGGTATCCTCTGTCTTTGGTGGTTGAAGCGAACGGCGAGCAAAGTGCAAGGATTTCATGGATCAAGCGGAAGCTAGACCCGTTGGCCTGCAGCTTCTACTGCAAGACTGAAATGAGAGCGAGAACAACGGAGTGGTGAGAGATAGAGCCAATCGCATGAAAGTATTCTCTTTCTGACCCCCACTTGAGGTTCATACCAGCGGACCGTTATGACCGTTGATACATGTAAACTTTGCTGGTAGTGTATCCTACATATGAGCAAAACGCTAAGGTAACTTCTCGTTCATTCGTTGTCCTCTATGGGAAAAATCTCTCCAAGGTCGTTGTAGAGTCGTATAAGCATGCTGACTTAGGCTTCGGCATCCTCCCGCTCTTGTTGAGAGCCCGAGCGACTTCTAGTAAGTCTGTTATATAAAGTACCTATATTTGCCCTTGAGTACCGTAACTGGGCATCATACCAGGCGTGTGTACACGTGTGGTGTAGGTAGGTGGTGTGGTACCTACCTACCTGTCTAGCCTGTCGAGGCCTGTCTTTCGTCATGAGCGAGATGATCGACGGCGTCCCTGGCCCCCTCCACTGACCAGGGCGATACCAGCAGGTAACTATCCACTCACTGGTTCGATATAGGTAAGGTAGTACCTAGATATGATGCACTGGGTGAATCTTTCTGCACGCTATTTAGCCTTGTGCAGATTTGATCGGGAAGAAGAAAATGATATGCCTACCTACCTAAGGTACCAGGAAACCATTCTGCATCGTGATAATCCAGCATAGGTACCTGCTCTACCACATTACTTCGTATCTACCTAACAGGTGGTGGTCGGGATGCTGGGAGTCGGCGGTGAAGAAAGATGAAATTAAGAATTGGACAGGACAAGCTCAATTGGCTCGTTTGGTGGGCGGGCCAAGACCTAGTCAGGGCAGCCCCTGCGTACCTAGGCACTTAGCAGGCACTAATGAGGACGCTAAGATAGGTACCCACAAGCACTAACACAGTCTAACAGTGATTTACAGTTGCGTGGATTTGAGGGCGTCAGGCGTCTCAACCACCACAACCAACACTGTTGTATTAGGCCTCTTCAGGCCTATGGTTTTCCAGCCACTCACTGCCCCGGATCCCACTGTCTAGTAGAAAGTGGTCCGCCTATGATATGCTTAACCCACGCGCTGGGTATCAGGATAACGCGTTCACTTCGCGTTCAGTTCCATTATCAGCATCGTGTTTCGACTTGCAGTGTGAGCTGTTCACATACCTATGAAGTGCATCATGATGCTTAAATAGGTACCTACACTACTCCATAGCTGCTGAGACAAGGCGGTTTTATAATCTACTGCACGGTGAATTATTCTCAGACCTTCTTGCTTTTTCTCGTCTGGTTATTAGATGTTTTACCCCAGGGGATGATTCATGGCCGCCAGCACTCTGCTCTGTCAGACATCGAGTGCACGCTAGTATCCGTAAATGGGAGGCTTTCTCCACGACCTCAACCCCTCAACCTTCCGGGTATCCTACCGAAGATACCAAACGAAAAGGGGAAAGGCCCCGTGATTTGAACGGTTCTACTACCGAACGACTATCTACTCCGTACATGTACAATACTACGTAAAATCTGTTGTATCGCGTGCGACGCTACATGGCCCCAATCGTCCCCCAGCATTTCACGTCCTGCGACAGCCATCAACATCGCAGAGTTTAGCTCGCTCTGACACAGGGGTCCGTCTTGTGTTGCTGTACATACGTGTAACGTGTTGAACGTACGTCTCCAGGTGCAGCCTATCAAACGCGCTTATGCGCTCATGGCGCTTATAACACGATCGACTGACTGCCAACTTATTAAGCGCCTGTCGGTTTACACGTACAAGGACGCCAGTCTACCAAATATCGTGGAGTTCGGAGTCCGGCAGCATTGAGACATCCATCCCTTGGCAGGTAGTGTACGGAGTAGGTAATAGAGCTCGCTGGATCTACCTAGAATAGGTATAGCAATTAGGTAATTCGCCGTGAGACTGGCTATCCAGTTGCCAGTCTTGATCATCAACCCGTGTGTGAACTACTTCTACGCACTCAAAGGGGGCCGTCTTTATCTACTACCTTGGCAAAGCTTTACTCGAGGAGATATTGCCTACAGTAAGGGCCGACTCTGGCCGACCTTCGTTCCTATCGCTAGTCGCCGTTCTAGTTCACCACTGGATCAGAAGATCATTCCCATCTCAAGAAAGGTCTGCCTCGGGATCTGCCGGCCCACCTCCAAACCACCCACCAAGCATCATCCCGGGAACTCGGGTTGGCTTTCACGATGCCGGCCATAACGGATTTCATACATCGCTATTTGGGCAAGGAACAAGGCAAGTGCTACCGAAACCTATGTGACATCAATTTCTGTTTCGAACCTGAACTGACCAAACATGCCAGCCAAACCACCACCGCCAATCAGCACCGGCACCGCAGCCGCGCTTCTCGTGAGTCTGTCCATTCATTCAGACAAGTACATACACGCGTGCATACCCGCACATACAGGAGTCCCCGCAACTGTAGCCGCGCGGTCGCTGCTACACGTTCATACACGCTTGGCGAAAAGAACCGCATTATTAACGAGAAGCGCACCCTGACCAGGTCATCTACACCCTCATCTACGTGGTGCCATTCTATCTGTCCTCTACCACGCGCCCGTCGAGAACTCTCTCCCGAGATGCGCCGTCCGTCATCCGGGCCCGCATCACCTCCGTCTCTCTGACCTGTGTCGTCTGTTCGCTTATTACCTTTGTCATCCTCACGTCGCACGGCCGGGCCACCAATGGCGAGGCCCTCCGTTCCATGGGCTACTGGCCGCTGGGCCTCGCGGAGACGGGGAGATCCCTCCTTCTTACCGCCATCCTCTTCAGCGGCCCCTTGTACGAGACCCTGCTCGTTGACGGGGCATGGAGACAGTGGTTGAGTCTGTATCCCGTAACCAGCCTCTTCAGCAAGTGGACTCGCTGGCGCAATCTAGTTGCCGTACGCTTCATTCCTTTTTCACACCCTCCCCACTATTCATCGCGTTTATTCTCTGGGCGCAAACGTCTAACGCTTAACACAACCAAACAGGGCCCGTTCACGGAAGAGGTTCTCTTTCGCTCGGCCTCCGTGCCGCTGATGCTCGTCGCCCAGACGTCCGTGGCACGCACAATATTTCTCTCGCCGGTGATCTTCGGCCTGGCGCACTTTCACCACTTCTACGAGTTCCGCGTGACGCACCCGCACGAGCCCGTCGTGACGGGTCTGCTGCGCGCACTGCTCCAGCTCTCGTACACGTCCCTGTTCGGCGCGTATGCGACTTTCCTGTTCCTGCGCACCGGCAGTCTGCTAGTCATCTTCATCGTGCATGCTTTCTGCAACATCATGGGCTTGCCGCGCTTGTGGGGGCGTGTTGAGCCCTCCTATGACATGGATGACGCCGAAAGTAACGAGGGCGAACACGGTGGGAGAGCCGGCGCAAAGAGGACCAGGCCATCAATCTTATGGTCTGTTATTTATTATGTTCTGCTTGTTGCCGGTGCCATCGGGTGGTGGAGGAATCTCGGAGTTCTCACTGCGAGCACCAACGCTCTGGTTAATATGAAGATATAACGAGCAATAATACTATCTCGAGAGACCATCAGCTGCATGTCATGTTAATTTACACATTAATGAAGATCTATTCACAGACTAGTACATTCCACGCTAATGAGAGGCAATTTTGACTATGGAGTAGAATTTTTTTTGTGAATTCCTGTCTGTGGGATCTTAAGTCCGTAATACAAAATACAGTTGAGAAGTAGCATCTTCTCTTTATCGCTGTTCTAGTTTCTAATTCTACAGTGTGATCCGCTAGGAGTTTCATATGCTTCCTCATATGTCCAGTGGATATTCGAGTTGTGGATAGCCATGTAGCCGCCTTCATTAACATGGAGCTTTGACTTACTTTTGGAATATCAAGCGGTGTGCACATGAGCACAGACTCGGGTTAAGGCGGGCTACCTTGCTATAATGTAGATATTGAAGCGTGGAATTAAGCTTCAGCCTCATAAGGATCAGCCCAGTAGACTTCTTAAGCGCTTTAATGCGCTCAGAAAATGCGGAGTGGGGCATTGGCGCTTATGTATCGAATCACGGTTAAGACTGGTGTCAGGACCGCAAGTTTAAGTCCATGCCAGGGAGAGAGCCTGGCATACTGAATGAGTCGGATCTGATATCATCGTCTCGTGTTCTTGCCCGCCTATACCTCATATGATCTTGATTTAATTCTGGCCTCAAGTTGGCTCCGGAAGCTGAAGTTTCAGCCTGAACCTCCTGACGAGCTTCCTCGCGGAGGGTATTTAGAACCTCACGGCCTTTGCCTTTGCCCATACTGCTGCCAGAAGAGGATAAGGCATCAAGACCATCTTCGCCACCACCCCGGGCATTTTTCATCCTTGGCCACAAGCTAGGCAGGGCAATTTCTTGAAAACGAGGTTCGACAGCACGTTCATCAAACCAGCGGTGTAGACGTGATTCGATTAGTTGAGCAATTTTGGGTACGTCCTGTAACCGTGAGCGGCTGCCCACAAGACTACGAATTGAAAAATCAAGTCTATAGTCGTCGAGAAAGCTGAACGTCATCATTGTCGGTGTTGACTGCGAGGGGTTTGAAGGTATAAATGAGATGCTCAAGGTCCCGCTGAATCGCACGACGCTAACAGCAAACGCGACGGGCAGAACAGCGGTTAAGCGTCTCGGGTAATTAAGCAAGATTTTGGTCTCTAGGGCTATTGTAATCATGTCGCTCAGGTCGACATCCATTCGCGCCTGAAGGCGGGAACCCTCTAATAGTTTCGCGCGAGCTCCAGCAATGCCAGCTTGCCCCGAGATCCCTCCACTGTTTCTGTTTTCCAGGCTCATCCCATCCTCATCGACGGGAATAATCCGACAGTTACTGAAGATTGGGAAGTCCTCGCCGAGTGTCAGCTCGGTGACCTTGATCTCGTCAAGAAAGTCTGGGCGCGAGTCACCGTTCAATGCCTTGGTGAGAGAGTTCAGGATGGCGTCATCGTGCTGAGCATCGCTCCTAAACTGCGCAATAGTTTGGGCGACCAGCACATTGAACCAGTCCAGCGACTCGGGCTGGTGGCTGTCAACATTGTAATATGTTTTGTTTAATATGGAGCCGATTGTGAGTGTTGGGGGGTTGCGCAAGACACTTGATTTCTTCTTCTGCAGTGTAGGCTGTGGCTGTTTTGTGTTTGGCGTCCGCAAGGTGAGAAGCGACTGTCGGTGGGCGAGGGTCCGAGATCGACGCTCTGTGGCACGGATAGATGCTGTCACTTCGGGAGATGGGGCTTCGCCAAATATGAAGAACTTGATAAAGGCTGCTATCAAGAGCACGACAGATATCTGGCCGACGATGAAGCCTTGGGTGAACGACAGGCTGGTCAAATGTAAGAAGTCAGCCACATGATTCGTGAACAGAGGGGTACGCTTTGCGCAGGCTGGCCCACGTTGGTTCAGGCGTCGCCGGACATAGATTGTCCGCGGCCATGTTCTTGATGTAACGTGGAATGTATGCGATGCTTCACATCGGGGACGCTCGAAATTGGATCAGTCGCCTCCCCTCAACACGTGTAATGTATTCATGCTGAAGGGCAGAATGGTTGCTTCAGCGAATATAGTTTGTGGGGAATATCGAAGCGCATTACGCAGACGAAGGGCTAGAGTTCTGGCGTGCTGGATAGGTAGAGTTGAAGCTTCGAAGCTCCAAGCTCAACTGCCGTTCTTATCTTATCAAGATGACGTATCCTGTACTCCAAATCCCCAGCTGCTCAGTCATTACTGAAAGTACTCAGTACCTCACTTGTCTAGCGGCCATCTGAATCCAGCAGTTAGTGGTACCTTACAGCGCAACCCCTGTCCGGTGACGATGCATCGTCCACCTGTGAGACCTGTGAATTGCGTATGTAGGTACTACCTAGGTAGCTACTTCAGCTCATGCTCACTCAATGGTACATGTGATATCTTAATCTACAGTCATCTTGAAGCAACCATCTCATCAGAGCTAAACAACAACACACGGTCTGCTTGCCTCTTGTCACTGGTCTTGTTGTAATTTCCACATTGATAGTCAAATCATCTACCCACCTCGGCCCCGTCAAGATTCCCGTTGGACAGCGGAGGCCATCACCATGGATGTCGTCCAGGCCGTCTCCGGCTACATCTCTAAGATGGTGTCGGCTGGAGACAGCGCAGTAGGCGGTCCATCTGCAAAGATGAAGATTCTGCTCCTGGATCGCGATACGGTGCCAATTGTTTCAACCGCCGTTACTCAGTCGTCACTCCTCAATCATGAGATCTATCTCACCGACCGCCTTGATAACCAGAACCGTGAGAAGATGCGACACCTACGGTGTCTTTGCTTCGTTCGTCCGTCGCCAGACTCAATCCAGTTTCTCATCGATGAGCTTCGTGATCCAAAGTACGGCGAATACTACCTCTATTTCAGCAATATTGTTAAGAAATCGTCACTCGAAAGATTGGCCGAAGCTGACGATCACGAAGTTGTCAAGTGTGTGCAGGAGCACTTTGCCGACTTTATCGTCATCAACCCAGACCTCTTTTCTCTTAATATGTCCCTCCCTCAGCAAAGATTATGGAGCGGCACCCCAGATATGTGGAACTCGGACTCTTTACAGCGTACCACTGAGGGCATAATCGCTGTCTTGCTGGCCCTCAAGAAGAAGCCACTAATCCGTTATGAGAAGAACAGCCTCATGGCAAAAAAACTAGCTTCCGAGGTGCGATATCAGCTCACCCAAGAGGAGCAATTATTTGACTTCCGAAAAGTTGATACACCACCGATTTTGCTCGTCATAGACCGGAGAGAAGACCCTGCTACTCCTCTACTAAACCAGTGGACATATCAAGCAATGGTCCATCAGCTCTTAGGAATTCACAATGGAAGGGTCGATCTAGGAGATGTGCAGGATATCCGGCCGGAGCTTAAGGAAATTGTCCTCTCACAAGACCAAGATCCTTTCTTTAAGAAGAATATGTATTTGAACTTTGGCGATCTTGGAGGGAACATCAAGGATTACGTGGAGCAGTACCAGTCAAAGACGAAGAACAATGCCAATATTGAGTCGATAGGAGACATGAAGCGTTTTATTGAAGAGTATCCAGAGTTCCGCCAGCTCTCAGGGAACGTCAGCAAGCATGTGACTTTGGTCTCAGAGCTGAGCCGGCGGGTAGGTTCAGAGAACCTGTTGGAGGTTAGTGAGGTGGAACAAAGTCTAGCATGTAATGATAATCATGCTGCGGATTTAAAGGTGTGTCTAAAATATCTTCTCTGTGGCAATCAGCTGACACCGACAGAATGTTCAAAAACTGATTCAACACCCTTCGGTCACACAAGAGAACAAGGTCAGCTTAGTCGCATTATACGCATTACGCTATGAGAAACATCCTTCAAACTCGTTAGCCATGCTTGTTGATCTATTAAGTGCGGCTGGAGGCGTACCCGCCCGACAAGCCGACTTGGTTGCAAAACTTCTCATATACCACAACTCGCTCCAACAATCCCAGGCAGCTGGTGGTATTGCGGACATTTTTGAGTCAGGAGGTATATTTTCTGGCGCGAGGGCAATAAAGGGTTTGAAAGGTGTCGAAAATGTCTATACGCAGCATTCGCCGCACTTAGAAGCCACTCTGCAAGATATGATCAAAGGCAAATTACGAGATCAGCAATATCCCTTCATTGAGGGAGGTGGGACAACGCGAGACAAGCCCCAGGACATAATTGTGTTCATGATTGGAGGGGCAACATACGAAGAAGCAAAGACGGTAGCCAGCATCAATGCATCTTCGCCCGGTGTCAGAGTTGTACTTGGGGGGTCTACCATACACAACGGCGCTACATTCCTAGAGGAAGTCGACGATGCCGTGTCTTCTTGGCCAGAGCCTCCTCCAACCACAGCAGCGGGCCGGTTGCGGAAAGAAATAGGCCGCAGATGATTCAAGAGACAATGTCCACTTGTTTTCTCGTTAATGTATATCCATTGCATGGCAGCGGAGCGTCATAGCTGTAATGATGGTTCACGGAGTTTTCATTTGGAAACTCTAACTGATGAAACTCGCTCAATGATATGTACTCGTCCGTACCAAGCGCCCAGATTGGGAATGATGCGAACAGGCTTCTAAATGAGATACCTACAATATTGATTCAGATCTACCTGTCCAACTCTAGTCTTGGTGATAAGTCTCATTGTCACGGAACGACATAAGGAGTGCAGTACTATGCCACTACGCCACCAAAAGGTAACGACGAGTTATCAAGTCGAGAGCTTGACGTCTCTGCACTCACTATATAGTACTGTACTGTGACACTCATCATATTCCAATAAGTCAACTTTACTATATGCCGAGCTGTCAACATCGGAAATTAGTCCTGTCATAGCATCAAAAAGACAAGACCTTAACCAAACATCATACTTATAGTTGAAGTACATTTAAAAGACTGTCAACCGGACAGCGGACTTGGCTCTAGTAGGAGTCGAATTCTAAACCTATAGTCTATAGCTCCGAGCCTACCTTGTCAGCCTAAACTTGTACATATCCTCAAACGATGTGACTACATTCGTGAACCTGTCGACTGTCAACTCCTCAAATCAAGGTATTTGCCTAGAGATATGGGTTGATTAACGTTGATAAAGGAACGCAGATTTGTGTGCTGGGTCGCTCTGATACCTCTCGAGACAAATAACCTGATTTTTGGTATTATCTCATCATCCGCTATATCAACAATGTCGATCTGTACAAGCCTTCTTTGACGGCCCCTATTAATCATAGGGGTAGAAAATGGACACACGTTTACCGCGATAGTGGTTTTCAACGTGATAACGACATGAGGCTCCGTGCAAATCCAACTATACGGGTCTCTGAAATCCCGTATAGAGTCCTCGCACCTTTACACATACACTCCTTTCCAGCTTCGCGCCGAAGACCAAACGCTGTGGCACATTCGCCACTGGATGTAACCATCTAAATGTCTTGAAGTTCCATCAAAATGTTGAACAGGGTCCGGTGGTTAATAACATCGGTTCTCACTCTGTATTTGAATCATGTTATAGTTACCTACCAGATAAGTTTACTCTCTAGACGCAAACTGTTTCCAGTTGTCGATTTCACGAGAAAGAAAGCAGAGAGAAAATTCATTAGATCAATATTCAACGTAGGCGTCGACTAGGTAGTAACTTGTTACCTTCCAATATATATGCGTGGAGCACGATAAGTCGAGCTTAAGGCCACATGGTGTAGGCCTTAACCAGCAGGTGTTTTGGCTAGATTAGTGAATATTGATCTGATGTATAAGACGGTGGGAAAGGATCAAGAATTCGAGCTTATGAATGTCACGGACATCTCTATGTTGGGCCCCTGATCGCAATCTCAGCCTCTTCATCCTTGGATCAAGAGCAATGTAACACTGATAGGCATTATTCGAGTCATGAATGAACCTATGTTGAAATGGTTATTTGTATGGGTATGAAACGGACTGCTTTACCATAAATATCTCCAGGATATGTATAAGCCCTTCGTATTTTTGTCCTGGCGGGGGGGGGGGGGGGGGGGGGGGGTTGTAAGAATGTTTTCAATTAAGTAAAAATAAATAAATAAAAAAAGGAAGAGGTAAAAAAAAATATAGGGGACAAAAAAT